AGTAGTAGTAGTAGTAGTAGTAGTAGTAGTAGTAGATAACTACCTATACTAACACTTCACATGGTGATGGTTCGACTGATACAGCCTTCTACAAGGGCTCCTTCTTGTGCCCAGGTAGAGACAAGAAATGAAACGGGGTGGTTACCCCCCTGTTCGAGATCCGGACAAAGGTTTCATGATTCCTGGGATGCTACAAAGAGAAGACAATGTCCTGACGCTGACGAATACCAAGGGTAGCCGAATGGGCTTGATAGAACGATAGATGGTGTGTAGAGAGATTCCTTTATGTACTTTTGGGCATCTTCCTCGTTTATATCTATGGTATACACTCAAAATGGGAAAATTAACCTCCATTACATATACTGTACTATCTCGGTATCTCAGGCATGAAGAGTAGGTACCGGGAATTTTACACCTCCCGAGTACTCAATGCGTACATGGCCCATGAACATCCATGCTCCTGACCTCTCAATCTCGCACATACTGTAGTGCACATTTGAACGCAATAGGTAGTATCTCTGATCATCTCATACAACTCATTGATTCTTATTTTAATTCGTCACCAATGTCATGGATCAAGCCTGTTTCAAATAATCTTTTGCATATATTTAAGAGACCTCCTGGATCTTAGAGGACTTAGCCGACTCCCCAGCAGCCTTGTCAGCCTCCTCAAGCTCGGGCATCTCCTCGTCATCCTAGAACAGCTAGTTAGCAATTGCAATCGTTTGACATTGACAACTTTGCCTGCGAAAGTGACGCAACATACCGACTCGCCCTCAGCACCTTCGGCACCAAAACCCGCTCCAGCGCCACCCATTCCCTCAAGGCCGGCACCAAGCTTCGAGAAGTCAATGTTTCCGAGACCACCGCCTCCCTCGCCGCCGAGACCTTCGAAGCCGCCGAAGTTGTTCGCATAGTCATCCTCAGCAACCTCATCCTGCTCATCCTCATCGACCCACTGCACAATTATCAGCATCGCACATACTCGCGTTGGTGGACAAAGCCGCATTCCATACCTTATCGAAGTCGGTCTTGAGGAAGTGGATCTTCTGAGTGGTCTCCAGAAGACGGGGCCAGAATTCCACCTTCAGCTCCTTCTTACGCAGGACCAACTCAACCTCACGGTCACTGTGGTTCACCTTGGAGTGGTCGGGGTCGATCTCAGCGTACAAATCCAGGGAGACTTCATAACGAACACCCTTCTTGGAATCACCGGCGAATGTGACATTGGTGGAGGTAATTTTGAGGGTCGCCGCGTCACGAGCTACATCGGGAGCTTTGATGTTCACATAAAGGTAATTGCGCTCAGCGTCGCTGGAAGATGAGCGCTGGGCCCATGTGACTGGAGGATCACCGTATGTTAGCGAACCTCGATCCCATTAGGAAAGAATACGAGCATCAATTCATAGATGAAAATGTGTTTTTTTTTTTTTTCATTGTGTCCCAGCCCCTTCTCCTCGACAAGAAAAAAAGGCTGATAAAGTAAGGTGGGAAGGGATAAGTTGGCATAACTTCCAACAAAGCGGGGAAAGGTAAGAGGGGGAGTCTGCAGAATTACGTACCTTCAGGGTGGACCTTAGAAAGCTCAGGCATTATGAAGGTGAGGTGTGTAACGGGGGAATTTATGCAAGTAGGAAGTGAAGATGGGAGGGGGGTATATTGGACAGTGGGAGGGAATGATATCGTGAAGGGTCAGTTGGAAGCTGAAGAAGTTCAGACTAAGCGTGTTTGGTGAGTAAGGGAAGAATACCTGCTAGTAACTTGTAGTAAGACCAACCAGAGCTGATGATCCGCTCTAGAAAGTACTGGAACTCTCACCCTCTCGCCTGGCCCGCTGTTTGACCTGTTTGCGGACTGTGGCCTGCCTGGGGCACTCACCATTCACACGACGTCACTGGAAGGCGGTAAACCAACAGACACCCCCCGCTGACTCAGCAGGAACTGGATCGTCCGTCTGCTGGCCACCATCATGTTTGATTCCGGATCAACGAGATCGTTCACAATGCTGATTACACTCACAAATGAGGATCATCGAACCCGCGGTGTGATCTGACACTGTTTGAAGTACATGGTGACACTGCTGACCGGAACTTATCCACGACTATATCACCACATTGCCGAGGAATTCTGTGCGCTGGGACATCATCCTGCCTGCATAACCCCACCCATTGCAACGACTCAGACCATAGATATTGTATCCTGAGACCTGTGCCGAGAGGGTCCCCGCCTTTCTGAATTACTTTATATATTCTTTTTCAATCGTGCTGTTCACTTATAGGCTTTTGCCGTACACTCTACAACGTCAAAAGTAAAACCTAGAGAGACCAGTGTGTCAGCCTGATTTATCATGGAGACTCTCAAAGCGGTCTTTTTCGGTCCTGATCCTCAGGCACAGGTGCGACCAGATAATATCTACGCTCTCACTGTTTGCCATTCTAACATAATCTCATGTACAGATGAGAAAATGCAACGCACTCATCCGCGCCAATACTCGCCAATTAGACCGCGATATTGCACAGCTCAGGACTTTGGAGAACAAGACGCGGCAATATATCATGAACGCCTCACGTCGGGCCGAGCGAAACCCCTCACAATCCAAGCAGGCCACCCAGGAGGCTAAAACCTTTGCTCGCGAACTGGTTCGGATCCGGAAACAATCTACCCGTCTGCACACGAGCCGAGCCCAACTACAGAGCGTCCAGATGCAGGTCAACGAAGCATTCTCGGTGCGGAAGATTCAAGGAAGCCTGAAGAAGTCGACTGGCATCATGAAGGATGTCAACACATTGGTTCGACTGCCCGAATTGAACGCGACGATGCGTCAACTTTCAACGGAGCTGGTCCGGGCTGGTATCATTGAGGAAATGGTAGACGATGCGATGCCAGACAATGAACTCTACGAGGATGAAGTCGATGAGGCTGAGGAAGAGGTTGCCAAGGTCTTGCAGGAGATCTTGCAGGGAAAGCTTGCGCAAGTCGACACGGTCAAAGCCGAGGAGCCATTGGAGGAGACACCCGCCGTCGAAGAGCAGTTCGAAGATCAAGAAGCCACTCTCGAACAAATGAGAGGCCGACTGGAAGCCTTGAAGAGCTGAGTCCTGTGAACGCCGAATTGAAGTCTACGCATGCCTGTAATATGATGTTACGAGCGACCCCGAAATGCTGCAAAAGCATTGTTCTTTGTTGATATATTCACTTTGGGAGTTCGGCCGGTGGAGCATTTGGGATTTGGTTCATTGTCAGTTTGTTTTGTGTCTACTTTAGAGGCAGGTCCTGATTTTTTTTGAGTATGAGAGGCTATTTTCAGCGTTGTCTTAATCCATGGTCATATCATCTAGATTGGGCACATGGTAGACATCATTTTTTCTTGTTTGTCTTGGAGTGGGGTCGAGGGGCTTTGCCTTTTAATCCATTCGTCGAATGTACAGGTGAATCGTTTCATTGATATTTAAGATCCTGCTATGCACTCAATAAGAAACAAGAGTTAAATAATGGAGAGAGAGAGGATATAATGAATGTTAATAATTGTTGGATACTTGATAAAGCAATTGTCAGGTCAGTGACGTTTTCTATTTGCGGACTAATGGGGCGACAACCCCCCAAAGTGGACTAGTGGCAGAACTCAGCCTCTCCTCCAGGCTTTCTTGTTGTCCCTCGACTTCCACCCGTTTGTCTTCCCGCATTTGCCTCTCTCCTTTTCATCATCTCAACGTCGCGTCTCTCATCCGAACGTGGTGTATAATTAACGTCAATACTTCTGTTCTACTCCACTGTCTACCACCTATCTCGCTAGTCACGCCTGTCAGAGCAACTGTCTTGAAAACAGACTTTTACCTGCCCTTGCTGTTGCGAACCTCTCTTCGGTGACGCAACGACTGACGCTTGAACTCCCGAGAATCTTTTTCAGAGTCGCTAGTCTCGCTCATATTCATCTATCTTTCACCTAACAAAATGTCTGGAAAGTTGGACAAGTCTCTTGACGAGATCCTCGTCAACCGTCGTCAGGGCGCTCGTCGCCGCAATCGTCGTTCAACCCAGGCCAAGGCTGCCCCGGCCGCTGTTGGAGGAGTAAAAAAGAGCACGAAGGCTGCGAAGCCCATCGGCAAGGCTGCCCAAGCTGGACACCCTATGTCAACTGAAAGTAAAATCATGGTCAGCGGCTTGGTAAGTTTCCAGTCCCGATGCTTAATCTTATACGCGCATTCTTAGCTAATGTCAATAGCCTTCCGATGTGAATGAGGCCAATATCAAGGTATGTTGATTAAGAGGCCTTCGCCTTGGGTTTCTATCGCCATGTCTTTCTTTCTCGAAACCTTCGAGGCGCTCCGGCTTTTACACGCGTTCCGACCCTTGTTACGACGTCCTCATATCTTCGTGACCGTTATTGGTCGCGTCAAAAGGCAGCGCACTCCTTTGAGCCATGCTCGCGCGCTACTTGAAACCTAGCGCTCCGCGAGTCAGCCGAAGTTGAGTCCTGCCTCAGTCTTGCGCAAAGTGTATCATGCTTGAGCGGATGTTTTAGCAATCCGCTCGCGAGATCGCTGCAGGCTGTTCTAGGAATGGTAGTTGAAACACCATTCTGAATTCATCCCGCTTGGCTGCACATTTTTCCTTGAATTTGCATTTCGGGTGTCGGGCATCAGCGAGCGCACCAGCAGACCAGTAGGGCATCAGTCCATACAGCAGGCATTTTCTCCCAAACATTTTTCCCATCGTTCTTGTCTGAGCGTGTCATTTTATATGGGCAGGAGGCAGCTCTCTTGTGACTTTGGGACCAGTTAGGCCTTGCTTCGCCCTGCGATGGGCTATTATGTGGGTGTCTGGGGGAACCTGATCAGTCTTCACCGCGCACCAATGATAATGTCTTGACTACGTCGGTACTGTGTATTTGGACATGGTGTTGGGTGGATCCGACCCTGGTTCAAATAAATGTGGAAGTGGATTGTTCTTGGTACCAGTCGACGTGGATTAGGAATTGCGAAGAAGACACGACTTTCAGTATAATGGAAATTATGGGCGGCCGTTGATGCAGACGTGTGGAGTCTGTGCGCGTTGCCGAGCTTTAAGTCAAAGCTTTGTTGCAGCTAATCCTCGAGGGCCTTGCTAACTGCCGCTGTGTGCTCGCTGATGCTCCCACTGTGGAGTTTCGGTCCAACCTACACGTCGTTTTTTCGAGCTTTCGCTCATGCCAGCGTCTACAACCATGTGACTTACTACTCATGAGCACAAGTACTAATCATATATGCGCGATATAGGAATACTTCTCTAAATCTGCAGGACCCGTCAAGCGAGTCATGCTCACTTACAACCAAAATGGCACTAGCCGTGGCATCGCCTCCATCGTCTTCAGCAAACCCGACACGGCTGCCAAAGCCGCCAAGGATCTGAACGGACTGCTTGTTGATGGACGTCCCATGAAGGTAATTTTCATACCTCATTTTGTAATTCCCGAATAGGTTGAGTCTAACGGTGTATAGATTGAGGTTGTCGTTGATGCCAACCATGCTCCCGAAGTCCCCGCTGCCAAGCCTCTTGGTGAGCGTGTCGCGTATGTTTATGTTCGTTGTGGTATGGAAGGACTGTTACTAACAGAAAATCAGACAAACCAAGTCCCAACCCAAGCCAGCCACTGCCAGCAAGGCTGCCGACAGCACTCGTGGACGTGGCCGTCGTGGTGGCCGCCGTGGACCCAAGTCGAACCGTCCCAAGCCGAAGAGCGTGGAGGAGCTTGACGCTGAGATGGTCGACTATTTTTCTAACGAAAACTCCGGTCCTGCTGAGGGCAATGCTCCCGCTCCTGCGGCCGCTCAGCCCGCCAATGGTGGCGAGGATCTTGGAATGGCTGAGATTTCTGTAAGTTGCCCCTGGTCTGGGTATGCTAGAAGACTAGCTAACATATGTATCAGTAAATGTATCATGGTACCTTCTATTCAATTGCAGAGGCAGGTTACTTCTGCCAAGTCAGGTTGGCTTCTAGTCGGCTAGGGATGCCATCTGGGCTTGATATTCAGATTTGTTTTTCGGTTCTATCTTTAGCCCTTGTCACCTTTTCTCGTCGTATGTTTTCTTAGTTTGGTTTTCTAATGTCTCTTCTGCTATTTGGCTCGTTGACGGGAACTGGGAGGAAGACTTGTATGTATTTAATAAACGGATCGTTGCAATGAAAACGCGAGGTGAAAACGTGAAGATAATGCCAGCACTTGAGCATCTGTCGTGCTCTCAACTGGTCGTCTTGGGCCGTGACGGCTGATCCAAAATGCCCCTGGCAAAGCCCATGCGTATCTTCTAATATGGTGCCGATCATATCACACTGTGTCTAGATTTCTGTCCGACACTTGTGTGAATTCAGTATAGCAGTGTCTGTTGTTTATCTAGCTTGATGCCACACATATCGTTAATGCAAAGTAAGCCCCATGAAAGACTTGAAGGAGGGAGATTTTGATTTTTGTATCTTCCGACCCCCTCAATAGCCAAACATCCTTTTGGTTTAATGAACCCAATTCCAAAGGATATCTTCAGGGCTGTATATCGTTTGCAGAATTCTGTTTAAAATGCAGGAAGGCAAGGCTAACATGCTCTGAAATATACCCTGCTCCTCGTATTTTGTTCTCATTTTTCTCACTCCTACTTGGGACTTGTGCCTGGATGTGTTCTAGCGCAACGAATTCGATATCTACACTAAAGCCAGGTGATGACCTTCAGAATGTTATGTGCCAGATATACCAACTCGTACAGATATCTGATATCGGTATTGACATGCACGAATCAAAATCAGAAAAAGACAAGAACTAACTAGTTCATGACGCCAGTAAAAAAAGACGGAAAGAATACCGATGTTATACACTCAGCGGCTCTGTATTTTAACTCGACTTCTTATCTAGAAGGACGGCCGAACCAAAACAGACCCAAAAGAACAGTGAAGAGTCTCCCCTTGCGCTTACTCCCTACACCATGATAGAGGGACCAAGCTACCAGCGTCCAGATCAAGGCCCATACTAGGAGCACGAGCTATGGTGCATAGTATTTTTTTTATTGGTCAAGTCGGCCCACCTGGCCTAAATACAGGCACGGGAATTCTTAGGTCAGAAGGCACCAAGCTCCAAGGCACGTTCGGCTATGTTGACTAATGACTCGGGACACTCGTCTGGATTGTTAAGACAACCTCTAAGTGAATCAAACTCGATTTGTGAAAGTCCTCTCACACGCTCTCTGAACTGGTCATCTGTAAGGGAATCGAAGCTCGATACAAGTTCTTCCAGAGTGGATGGATCACCGGATTGCCTTCTAACCATGGCAGCCGGCTGTGATGCAGCAGCGAGGAGAGCGAAGGTAGAAACGACGGCCAAGAAGCTGGTGACACGCATTTTTGGAGGAAGTAGTGATGATTTCTGGAATTATTGTTGGTATTCAAACGGATGGATGGGTAGAGAGGGGTTTTTCTTGGAAATGATGAACCGCGGAGAGATGAATATACTACTGACTGCGTTGGATGGCTGATTTTACCGCTTATATAGGGTTTGGTTGGGGGTTAACTAGTCACCTCAGCTTCGCCGCGTTTTTGGGGGTGATGATGATGATCGGTGACTATTGAATTGGGACAGGGTCGATCCACGATGATCTGTACGAAAATCGCACCCCATTTGGATGACCATGTTCGTATTCTTGATCAACGATCTGCATTACTGAAGCTAGTACTTACTAGAACCTTCACACAATGGTTCGGCAATCGTATGGGTTTCGAATCTCGTGCACAGGGTAATTCTATAGGCGATGACCTACATGGAACAAAATTTTCCGAGAGTAAAACTAAGCCTGTTGGTCGGGTCGGCAACCATGACTGGAAAATGTCCGTCGCCCTTTTGAATCAATTTTGTGGAGCCAGGATCTTGTGGTGCTATCTAGGCATTTTTGCAACGTAATTGAGTATAGATACAGGTGTAGGTAGTGTACCTTCCTCGCTTCCACTTCGGCCTCTCAGCCATAAATCACTGGCTTGTACGTATTTGTATGTACTGGGAAATAGGCCGGTGGACCTCCTGCAGTATTCCGTTACTCCCGTAGGATATTGCCAAACGATTGCGCAGCGGAGCGAAGCGTAGCAAAGCAATGTAGGAGGTTGCGCGAAAGGATCTGGGTTCTGATTGGCCCACGGCTCTGGGTTTTGATTGGGCGAGAATTGGCTGGTCACGTGTTATTACTTACCGCTTTAGTATCTAGACAGTGTAATCTACTATTTAGGCTATCAGCTGCACTGGTTAGATTCCTAGATCATTTGAATACGCGGCAATGCTTGCACAGCCTAGAAGTAGGGCAGGCAATTGAGGTAGTCTCGATAGTATAGTTAATATAATCGATTTACATAATCTTAGCAATTAGGTAGTGTAATAAAAGGTCATGAGATTCTTTCGTTGCGTAGTATTCAGCTAGGTCCTAGAGCTGGTAGTCCCTAGTATGCATATCAATCTTGATCCACTAGCATGCCCTATAGAGCCGGGAAATTAAATCCGTTGATCGTGGTCAGGTATGTAAATGCCGAAAGAAGAACCAAGACTACGCCGGATGCGGCCTCTTTTTTTTTTTTTTTTTTTTTTTTTTCTCCTTATGATCGCAACTTTGATACCATAAGGGTATTTATTCCCTAATGGGAATGGAATGGAATGTGGTCCGCATTCAGGTTTGTCAACTCAGATTTACAGGCTGTGCGTTTGACCACACCCAGATGAGTTGATAATATTTGGTTATAATTGCTACTCGTATATACCGACTATTGCATATGTCAAGATGTGTCTTAAGGTGTCATGATTAAAACGGTTAGCTCTGTCGAGCGCCAAATATTTGCAATGAACGGAAAACCATAATCGCGCATCTTTTCTTATTTGCACACCAATAACGGAACAAAAACTGAACCTCCCGCATGAAAAGCCCAAATCATGAGGATAGCGATTGTCCATCCACTGTGGTATTAAGTCCGTTCTCTGTTGCTGAATAGACTACCCGGCCTAGTGGGGATTCTTGAATGAGTTCAATATCCCCATCTCGTCGGCACGAGTCGCCAGATCGTTTAAATGTCCCGTACAAGCGCCTTCCGATGCAACACAACCGTGAAGTTTCTCAAGGTCTTTGCGAGTCAGGTGGGGAGTAAACGATTTGATTTCAGCCGGCGAAAGCCTATCGAAATCTCTCACAAGCCCATTCAGAGTGGGGGGTTCGTCAGCTCTGGCCAAGAGTCTGGATCGTCTTTGGGGCATCGTCGGCCATGAGCCGGAGAGGAAGGGGAACGTTGAGACAAGGGTCAAGAAACCCATCACACGCATGGTGGGTGGAAGGAGTTGTTTCGTAGTGGCTTGAAGTTTTAGATAAGAGTGGGTAGCTTGGAACCAGAGCACAGCAGTAGGCAACCAGGGGTGACTCCTAATTGATTAAGTAGACATATCACTATTTATATAGTTCTCTGGATTTTAGTTTGCATGGGAACATTAGAGAGAGAGAAACCATATTGACTTCTGCATGAGGAATAATATCCCGTGGTGCAAGATAATCTGCCTTCTAAATCCATGTCGGAAATGACCATAAAAAGTCAATTCCAGCGGTGACCTCTGTTCGCAGTATGGAACGCAGATCGATTTGCCGGACCAAGATCGGTCGCTTGACTCTCAACCAATAACGGGCCATTATACGTCAGTGATTTCAACTTTATAGTTAATAAGCTTTGTGTGCTGCTTCTTCAGCGGCTGCCCACGAAAACGGAATATCTTGAAGATACCCTCTCCAGTCTCAGACCCACTTGATGTTAAAGATTGTGAACCTATGAGATAACACAATACGTAATAATGCCTCGATATTACTGGAGCGCAATGCGAAAGAAAAAAAAAAAAGAAAAAAAAATTATAGCTTCGGAAAATGATTCTGTCTCCAAGGCTAGTAGAGGTATGAAGCGGTTAGTGGTGCCTACCTTGCTGGCTATTCTACTGACTTACGGAGTAGAGCATTCTTACCATGTTTATTAAACTCAAAGATTCGATTCGCCCTATCGTGGAGCTCCAGTAATGGGATAGGTTTGCCATAAATATCCTCATTTTTATAATGGTTGTGTATATAGGTTTTGCTATCTAATGTTGTTACCAGTTGTTTTCTTTCATATTCAGGATTAAACAGCCATCTAGCCTCTTTCCACAATGCCTACACTATAAAGATAGTTATTGACTCTGCATAGCTTAATAGCATTTTTGCTTCGGCCCTTTTTCCTTCTCGAAAGAAAGGGTTACGTATATGAAAAGCTTTGTAGGAGACACGCCCTTTCCTCGACAACTTAATATCAACTGCGAGTCTTGGGCGAAGGTATTCGATATGACTAGCTCACAAGTTCAATAATTATGCTTCGAGTTAGAAGAGCGTCATTTCGAAATAAAAAAAAAAAAATATGAGAGCCCGATACCTTGATGATCTGATTCTTCCATCACGTGGTGCAGTTTCGGCCCCAAGACCACATGGCAACCACGTGTAAAAAAAAAAAAAAAAAAAAAAGAAGAAAAAAGACTACAGTGACTTTATCACAACTCGATTGAGTCTATGATTCTCCAAAGAACGATATTGTGACTTCAATGAAGAATGGTTTATAGAAGACATTATTGACCAATATAAGATATGCAGACATCTATCACTGTCTTCCATTCCGTGTATAGACTGCTTTTCACTCTCCTTCTGTACAGCACATCAATCTGATTGACAGTGAGCATGCAGGATTATAGCGATTGGCTTGGCGCTACAGTTGCTTCCGAGTATTTACCATCCCGAATCTAGTATTTTGTGTGTCAGAGGGAGATGCCTTCATAGAGATCGTCTACATGCATGTGAATAGCTATTTCCAGGTCCGGAGTACATACCACTTCACTTCAGACCCTAAGCGGACCAAGGCAAGCTACCACATGTAAACTCTCCGAGCCAACTGTTGAAGAAAACGTCCTCCCCGGAGTGCTAATGTCAAGTTAGTCTCCTTGATATCTTCAACAACAATCGCACAGTCGGACCCCGGGGTTGCGGGCCGGAACTCCAGGAATTGGCAGTAGGGGTTGTTTCTTGATCCCATATGGACCCCAATCGGGCCCCACCAAAGAGGCAGCTTCAAGACTTACTCACCGGGGGTTTTCCGGAGCCGTTCATGTTTAGCTTCACCTAGGTAGGCGGCGTCCGCTCATTGTGCTGATCTCTAAATCAAATCCTCGCCAGTGAAGAGCCAAGACGGCATTACCCAGCGCTTACAACTGCCATTTCAGGAACGACTGGTGCCCTGATCCCCCAGAGCCCGTAACCTGGAGTACCCTAGCAATCCACTATCGAATGTGGAGAGGCAACCCTTACCGTCGAAGATGTCATTCACGGGAGCAAGTGCGGAGAAGCATGAAGTGGAGACAATCAACCGCCTGATCGTCATTACTTGAAGAAGTTGGTGGCTACCTATCGGAAGATGACGCTGTTATGCCATGCGTGGTGTTCAGGTATTATTTTAATATGACCCTTTTCCTCGCTGCAGCGGTCTTTCTGGAAAAAGTGAAGATTTTCGGTCTTTAACAGCTTCCATGATGCTGCTTTCGAAAATCCTCCTCGCCGCTCTGCCAAGCGTGGTCGCTGGCCTTTCCCCAACCGCCACGGTCAAGAACGGCACTTACGAGGGCAAATATGTTGCCTCATACGGTCAGGATCTCTTTCTCGGCATCCCCTTCGCCCAACCGCCCGTTGGAGAGCTCCGTTTCCAGAACCCACAAAGCTTGAATAGCACCTTTGGTACTAGAAAGGCTACAGAATATGCTGATTCTTGCGTCGGATATGGAGTAAGGTTGGCATTGACTACCAAAATCAGTACCCTTGCTAACCCAACCCAAAGAACAGTGATGCCTGGCCTTATACCCTGAGTGAAGACTGCCTGACATTAAACATTGTTAGGCCTGCTAAGTCAGGACAAAGCAAGGATGATGAGCTACTCCCCGTTGGTTTCTTCACCCACGGGGGAGGGTGGTCGATGGATTACAGTGCCAACGGCGTGTATAATCTGAGCTTCATCGTCGAGGAATCGGTCAAAATGGGAAAGCCGTTCATTGCTGTCTCTGCAGATTGTCTGTATACGTTCTCTGCATAAACCGAGGAATAGATGCTAATGCCGCACGTAGATCGAATGTCTTTCTGGGGCTTCATGGCCAGCCAGGATATCCTCGACGCAGGCGTGGCCAACCTCGGTCTCAAGGATCAGCGAATTGCTATGCAGTGGATCAACGAAAATATCGAAGCCTTTGGCGGTGACCCAGCTAAGGTTACCATTTGGGGTGAGAGCGCTGGTGGCGGTAACGTTGGATACCACGCCACTGCCTATGGCGGTCGTGATGATGGCCTCTTCCGTGGCATCATTGCTGAGTCTGGCGCCGATGGTAGCCACATGAAGAACTTGACGGAACCTCAGCAAATCTACGATACCATCGTCAGTGCTGTTGAGTGTGATGGTAGCTTAGATAAACTTGCTTGTTTGCGTACGGTCCCCTTCGATAAACTCAATGCGACAATCACCAAAATCTCGGGTAGTTTCTACCCCATCGTAGATGGGGACATCATCCCGGATCTACCATCGGTTCTACTCGACGCTGGGAAGTTCACCAAGACGCCTATATTGCTCGGCACAAATGCCGACGAAGCCACAATGTTTGCTGGCACCGGAGCCAACACGGATGAGGACATTGCAAGTCTTATTCAGTCATCAGGGCCGGATGCCAACACGGCCGAAATACTCATGGCGCTCTACCCCGACATCGACTCACTTGGACTGCCGGCTAACTACCACATTCAACCAGATGGGCCCGTGGGGAAACAGTTTAAGCGCTCGGTGGCGTTGCTGACGGATCAAATGTTCCTCTCATGGCGACGTCTGAGGACAGACGCATGGTCCAAATACGGTGCTCCCGCTTATTCATACCTGTTTGAGTCACCAAAATCATCTAGTAAGAAATACCCAGACCCTCACTCATTCAAAACAAGAGGCTAACACTGGGTAACCATAGCCTCATACACAGGAACCAGCCATTTCACCGAAATCGGCTACATCTTCTACAATAGAATCGGGCTCGGATATGCCGCCGGCCAAAGCCCGCTCGCAAACGCAACACAGGACGTGCTAGATCTGGCCAAACTCACCACTCGCATGTGGATCAGTTTCATAACCGACCTTGACCCAAATAACCATGGAGGTAAGATTACTGCTGCAACTTATTATCATTCAGAATATAATCTAACCGTGACTTTAGTTTCAGGGGTAGACCACTGGCCGGTGTATAATGCTACGGGTGGCTATGGGCACAACTTCTACTTACATCCTACTGATGGCGGCGTAAGGCCTGACACCTTTCGCCTGGCGGGGACGACGTTTATGAATTCAGTTGCGAAGGAGCAGTACGGGCGCTGAATACTATTATGAGTAAGACACTATGGAGACTCAGTGTTATTGTATCAGAGCCCAGTATACAATCTATTTCTCGACATGCATAATTCCTCTCTCGTGTACTTCCGTGAGACACTATGGCCTGAGTAAAGCCTGAAACCTCTGAGCCAGGCAGGCGATCGTATCGGAATATACGAATAGAGTATATTCCTAACTCCATAATTCTCTCCACTACCCCTACACCGCCAATGAATACCACAAAACAAAAACCGACATAAATATTCACAATTGAGATAGACAACAGATAACCCCAGAGTACCAGGCGCCAATCAAACTGGTCCACACCTCGGACACCAAAGAAAAGCCAAGACCCTAGCCCGAAGCGGGTGGAGGGGCGATCGATCGCCGCCTGGACAGACTCCATGCAATACTGGGTTCATGCCGGTTGTCTCCACGCCGATTTGTTTGTCGGTAGTCTTTAATGCGGGTGTCAAAAAGACATATGTAGGCGTTGTGTGCTGGTTGTGCTTCTGGCTCGCGAACGAGTGTAATGGTTGACCGCTAAGGTGATAAGAGAGCTGGTCAGGAACGGAAGAGAGAGGATGAACGCGAAGACGAGGAGTTGTCGGAGAGTTCGTGGAGGAACGAGAGAAGATGCAGCGAAGAGAAGAAGAGAGAGGAGGAAGGTTGATATGTAAACCATTGCGGAATTCATCATGCAGATATAATGTCCTTTGCGATTATCCGTGGAGTGGCAGACCGGGCAGTCCGTTCGGCTGTCTGTCACTGGAGGGGGCGGTCATAGTCCGTTAAAATACATGGTGATGCAGATTATCAGCCTTAAGGAATGTTTTCCTAAGCATCACAGATTATCTTTCTGGACCCCGCTACGGATTTAAAATAGTGGTTCTCGACGTTGCGACAAAGCAATGTCGGCGGTGGAGGGACATGGATGTTCTTTGTGGCGTATATTAGGGCTGGGTCTGGACGAATAGGCGTGGATTGCGTGGGCTGGCCAAGTCACCGTAATCACTAGGCCTCACGACAGTTACCCTACTAGGCACCTAATGTTGGTTTGTTTCTTTGTCCTTTGTTTTATTCCTTGCTGTATAATTTCTTACCCCTTCTGGTCCCCTTTTCTATCTGTTTTTGTTTTCTTTTCGTTTTTTTTACCCCCGGAACTACATCCATCAACATATTAGCCCTCATATGACCTTTTGAACACGGAAAGCCTCTCAACACGACAGACCAAAAAAAAAAAAAAAAAAAAAAAAAAAAAAAAAAAAAAAAAAAAAAAAAAAAAAAGAATTGGAAATAGAAATAAAACCACAGCAAGGACAAGAAGAAGGAATGAAAGGAAAAGAATAACATGGGCTATTTCCGAAAGAGGAAGAAAGCCAGAAAGGACTAAGAGTAAGCAATAATGACATGGTCTACTAGTGGGGGCCAAGAGCCAACTCCAAAATAGAGCACCTACTCTAACAGGTTGCGACTAAATAGAAGAGTCTACGAGAAAATTTGAATGGGTCGAAAGAAAGGCTAAGACTCAAAATACAACACAAAGATTATGCTTTCCCTGGTTTTGCGTCCCCGCCCTTCTACGTCTGTCTTCCCCTCTCCGACTATGCTTAGTCTAGAAGGTGCTACCTAGCTGGAAATTGGTCAGAGAGATAGGTACACTGCGATGCTGCACTTGAGGGGAGATGTTCTCATAAAGAGCAAGCAAACGCTGCGGCCAGTGAACTGGTGTGACAGATTTCCACAAAGAGGAACCAAATTCATGGGGGGGATGTATGCAGGTGCCTGCACAGCCAGAGAGCACTCGGGCAAAAGCACAACAGCGTCATAGGCGTAGGGAGTGTTCTTTTAAAAAAAGCAGTGGAATTCATTCTTGAATGCAAGTCCGATGTTCGCATGGTGGTTCAGATCTCTATATTCTCAATTCCACGCAACGCCGACTACGAGACATCCCGTCTCATCTTGTATGCTCCACCGACCTTGCTCCATCATTCAACTGACATCCTTAGGTCGGCTATATACTACCCTCGTCCGGTCCCTAACACAGTGGAGGATATCATCCCTCAGCAGGGTGCACAAAATACATAAGCGAATTGGAACCTAGCACTGATGAGAGTGATGTTGGGGGTTCGAACACTTCTTGTTGAAGACTTCATAAATTGATTGGGTTTCTCTTGGATTCTCTCCCAGTTTTTCTTTTATCCACGTAAACGGATCTAGTTAGAGAGGCCTTCGAGGCTAACTCGTTCTCGAGTACCTGGCTGGTTGAATTATGCGTTGATCACTGTATATATTCGGCACCAGAAGGCCAACCACCCTTCATATTGGGTACTGTAGTCACGAATGACATGGGATATGCTCCCTTCCCTTGCATAGATGCATCAAAAGACCAACATCTCCCCTCGGATGCTTACTCCTCCAGCAGGCTCCTTAGCACCTCCGCAGGCGTCCGCTTTGGCGCAGCAATCTTCAAAACCTCCTTACTAGTCGTTGAAGCATTACATCTCCCCTCCCACATAGTCCTAACTGCATACCTGATAGACCCAATGACAGTCTTCGATTGTCCCGGACCTCCAAAGTCACTGTCCAGAATTGCATCCAAGAAGCTCAAGTCCTGATAGTTCACATCCTTCACCTTCGTGCCAATATGCTGCTCTACCAAGCCCACTAGCTGCTCGCCAGTGATATCCGTCGGTCCATTCACGATATACTTGGCCCGGTTGTGCGCACTCGGATCACGCTGGGCCAGAAGGTGAGCCGCAAAAATGCCGATTTCATCTGGGTGAATGGGAGCAACAGGCGCATCTTTAGACGCCATTAACCTGAGCGTGCCCGGCTCGCCAGTCTGTCTATATTGCTTGATATACTCGGCGGCGACGGCAAGATAAAAGTTCAAAAATGCGTTTGGCTGGAGCGAGGTCCATCCTAAAGCACTGAACTCTGCTGAACCAAGCAGAGCTTCGATAGCCCAGTGCTGGCGCGGATAGTAGGCCTCGCAATCGGGACGGACATTGGGCGCCGTGGTGGAAATGCGCACAATATACTCGACACCGGCTTTTAGGGCGGCAACATGGAAGGCCGACTCTTCAGCGAATTGGTTAGGTGCGTTGTGGGAAGCAATAAAGGCGCGCACAACATGCTGTTCGCGGAGCCAGTCGGCGGTGATATCGGTCCAGTTATATTCAACAACCTCAACGCCGGGAATTTCCGCAAGATTTTGGGCCGCGGAGCTGGAAAGAGACCTAGTCAAGGCAAGCACTCGGTGGTTGGAGAAGGTCTCGTTTGCTTTAAGAATGGCTGGGAGGGTTTGGGTCACGGCCTGGCCGGTGTTGCCTGTTGCACCGACAACAAGGAAAGTTGGAGCCATGATTCGTAGAGTATGGTTGGGAGCAATTAGGTTGAATGGGTGTAATGATAATGTCCTACGAGGTGCGTCTCGGAGCTCTATATAGCTGCAAGGCCAGCGATACTAGCTAAGAGTCTGATTAAAAATGGTCAAGGACCATCAGTAAGCATTTTTAGTTTGGTGGGAGGCTCCGACGGCAGTGTGGAGCTGCGTCACAGCGGCCATCCCACCTTGTTCCATTATACCCAGAGTGGATTTAATGGACGCCAAGATCTTCAATGTGTTACATTAGTAATCCGGTTTGATTATCAAGCAACTTCACTGATATAGGAGCTCCCTCGATGGCGAAAGGTAAATAGAAGATCTGAGTAAATGTTCAGAAGCATGGATCAGTGCCAGACGGACCCGACTTCGAACCACCACAATAAGATGACACTCAAATATCTAATCACAGGCGCAACCGGAGGCCTTGGAAAGCAAGTGCTGAACTATTTCACCGCAAACGTTCCCCTTTCTGAATTTGCCGTGGCATCATCCAGCGCCGCTAACAAATCAATCTTTGAGAATTGCGGGATCGCTTTCCGCCATGTCAACTACGATGATCCTCAATCTCTTGAAGCGGGCCTGCGCGATGTGGAGAACCTGCTTTTTGTTAGTACAGGTGATAAGCACCGCGGCGAGCAGCATGCCAACGTTATAGAGGCCGCTAAGAACGCTGAGGTGAAGCATGTACGTTTTATTTATGGCTTTGCAGAAATCATGGATGATGTTGCTGACAAAAGGCCCATTACCCGCCTAGATATGGTATACGTCTTTGGCATTTGGGGGCTTCCAAGATACCTCCAAAGCTCCAGTGATGCAGGATCATCTTCTGACTGAAAGACTGCTTAAAGAGTACGTCGTGCATCCTACACATACATGAGTAATTTGCGCCAGTCTAAATATCTGGACCTAGATCCGGCCTTACATATACTTCCATCCGAGAAGGGGTATACGCCGAATGCTTCACCATATTTCTCGACTGGTATGCTGAGCGGAGTGGAACCATAACCCTCCCCGCCGACGGAGAGGTAGCTTATACTTCACGGGCTGAGCTCGGCGAGGCAACCGCGCGCATCATGATAAACGGTGGGTATGAAAATCAAGTTGTACTGTTTACTGCGGGGGAGACAATCACTGCTAGGGAAATAGTAGATATCATCAATGAGACCACTGATCGACAGATCAAGCTTGATTTGGTCTCACGGGAGGAGTGTCTTCGCGCATGGATGCGTGACCCGCGTGACAAGCCAAGGGAGCACTTTGAGATGATTGCCACAGTATGGGATGAGATTGTCAGGGGGGCGCTGCGCACAACGCATCCGCTTTTACGTGAGATCTTGGGGAGAGAGCCTACTAAGCCGAGGGATTTTGTGAGGAGGTTGTTGGAGGAGGATAGGAACTACGTTTTTCCATACTAGAATCGCTGCTTTACATACTATAATGGACACCAAGAGTGTTTATGACGTGAGTTGAGCGTCTAGTGCACTAAGCCTCCCTAAGACTTGCAACTCCTAAATGAGAGAGCCAAATATAAGGCCAACAAGTGGCCAGAGAATCAACCATTCGCGGGCACCATTACGGAATGCTACTGACTCCTGGGACTCCTCCCCAAATCTCATGTTCATTGAGTTATTCCCAAATCCAAGCGTTGGAGTCCATGAAGGGTTGCCTCCCTTGTTCGAAATGTCCGAGTGAAGAGGGTCTATCTTCCCCAGAAATTCAATCAATCCTTCTCCATACATAGCATCCCCTTTCTCATTATTGATCAAGAACCAGCCATTAAGAGAGAAACTGGCCGATTGGTTATCGAACATTACACTGGCTATGGGCTCTGTGATAGGAATCTTTTCCGGGTTATAATTGCCCTGGTCTAGGAAGGTAAGACCCCACCATGTATCGGCCGGATCATCACAGGAACTCATGTTCATCTCCACAGTCTTGATACCCCGTCCAGTGTCATTAGATACTCCTGTGATGTGGTACGGCGGACCGAGATCGTTTGCGAGCGAAAAATTGAAGTAGGGCTTATGCGATTCACTTGTGTAGCCTGGAATTATGTGCCTAACGAGTGTTACGTTACTTGTGGACATTCCGTAGTTTGGTTGGAGATAGGACGTATTCAATTGAAAGGAATTGCCACCTTAAGTTTCTTTCTTCGTTTCCCATATCGGAAGCGTGGACAAAGTCAAAGTCTGTTAATGCCGATTTGAGAGCAATTTGTACTGGATTCTTTCCCTCGTCATCGGGGTTTGTCTTTGTCACGGCCAGTATAGATTCAGATGCGAATATTGTGGTTTTATTTCGAAAGGTACGGCACACCTGATCGCCATTGCCATCTAGGAGATATTCCAAGTTGAATGTTGTGGTGCCGTTATAGTACCTGTGATCTATGAGCGAGGACATATTCCAAGATGGAATCATAGCTTACGATCCAATCCATGAGTAGAGGAAATACGGCAAGCCCGTTATGTTCCTAAGACGGAAGTTGTATTCGGGGTCGAATGTGGAATCCTTGAAAGCAAAGGATTTCAAGGGGAGGAGAGTCCATATTAGAAAGATGTAATTCATGTTTCGCATCAGGGTTGCCGTTTCACAACATATTTCGCTCTGGGGACCTCACATTGGGGAAGGGGAAACGCCGTCAAAAGACAAAATGAAGACTCGAAAGATTGACTATCACATGAGAGGGGGTAGCTCGTGTTTTCACTTGGCATACAACTCTAGTGGTTCCTCCATAGAGCTATCGCAGGCTAAGGCTCGCTAAATTTACAATATCCATACAGTGAAGGTTTATTTTCAGCAAGCAAGAAACACAAAATTGCGAAACTAGCAGCTTAGTATCTTGGCTCTGTCTACGGAGGCTTAGATGGCTTCGATAAAGCGGTCTAAACCCCGCCCGTAAAAATGTTCGTTTAGGAAGGCTTGCAGTTACCCCTCTTAGAAATCACTGAAGCTATTCAAATTACTGATCATTTGTATATCCTGTAATACACTATGTGCCTAGAAAGACCGAGGTTTATAGTCTTATGTTTCCCAAATTACAGTGCAGTTATGAACAGACGTGATGTACTACAAATTCATATATCTGGCTTTAGGAAACCGGGGCAACATCAGCAACAACCTTCATACTGCGAGGAAGACACTTCCCTAGAACAATACATTAGGCTATATAGTAAGAATGCGCCTTTCAGCCAAAGACCAACTCTAGGACTGAGTATGAGCTTTTAGCTAGGAGCGCGAGGGAAAACGCTGGACAATTCAAAGGTTCATCATTTCAAGAAGCCCCAGAGGTTATTCAGGCTTTCAGCAAAAGCTGGATGCGCAAAAACAGCATTTTGTAGTTTCCAATATGGAAGTTTTGCAACCATAGCCACCTCTACGATACTCATAAGCTCTCCTCCTTCTGTGCCCAGACATGTAAATCCCAGAATTTGTCCATCATCGGCATTAACGACTGCTTTCATCATCCCTCTTGGTTCATCGGTCTCCAATGCCCTGGCAACATAGCTCATCGGCATCGTTGCCGTTCGTATTCTTATTCCCGGGTATTGCTCGCGCGCCTCTCCTTCGTGCAATCCCACATGGGCTAGCTGTGGGTCTGTATATACCACATAGGGCACAAGCCGGTCTTTCACAGAGGGTCCTGAATGTGCCAGAGAGTCGGAGAACAGAGAGACCTTCAAAACCCGAAAGTCATCATAGGATATGTGTGTAAAAGCGGGAGGACCCTTAATATCACCTAGGGCATAAATGGAAGGGACAGAAGTCTCCAGAAACTCGTTGCACTTGATGTACCCTTTTACATCGAGTTCGATCCCTGCAGCGTCCGTATTCAGGTGATCCGTGTTAGGAATTCTACCAGCAGCAAAGAGAAAATGAGTGACATTGGTCACAATCTCATTGCCGCTTTGAGTCGCCACAGATAAATTAAATGTTTCCGCAGATGAAGGTGTAACAGATGTGGCTCTAGCCTCCAGATAAATCATCAAACACTCGTCCCGCAGGATATCAAGCAGCTCAGCTGCTATCTCCTTGTCTTCTCGAGGCAGCAGCTGTGCTCCCCGTTGAATAATCGTTACCTTCGATCCAAGTCTCGCGAATAGTTGCCCGAACTCAACTCCAACGTATCCACCCCCGATGACCACTAAGTGGCCTGGTAGCTCACCTAACTCTTGAATAGATGTGGAGTCCAGTAGTCTGTCTTTCCTTATTCTTTCCAAACCATCGAGCTTTGGAGGGGCCGGCCGGCAACCAACATTAACAACAATCTTTTCTCCCCAGAGAAGTCTGTGGCTCCCGTCGGGAAAGAGCACTTTGAGGGTGTTCGCGTCGTTAAACCTCGCCTCACCTCGCACAACATCAACTCCAGCAGTGTCTAGGCCTTTTTCACTCCCACTCCGGAAAGAACTCACTATATCGCGCTTTCGCTGTCTTACCTTGTCCATAGACACAGTAAAGTCATTCGTTGGTCCAATTTGTCCGGGCACATGGATACCGTAGTCTGGCCCCCTGCGGATCAAATGCGCGACGCGACCAGAAGCGATCATAGTTTTGGTCGGCGTACAGCCTTCGTTGATACAACAGCCGCCGATGTGTTCCTTTTCAATGAGTGCGGTTTTCTTGTTTGCACTAGCCAATGCCTTCGCGAGCGGAGTGCCCCCTTGGCCTGAGCCTATTATGATGGCGTCGTAATGTGTAGTCGTTGCCATTTTTCTGATGATCAATTGCCCTAATCGTTGACGTGCTTTGTAGAGGTACGGAAAGTATATCACCATCACGGGTCTTGGAAGAGATTTGATAGTATGGGTGCAATTGAGAAAAGTCCATTATATATGAAATGGTCGAGTCATTCAACTTAAGTGGTGTCTCAATACATCATAGTTCGCGATGTGGTGGCGTGTTCCGTGGCTTGGATCAACCTTATTGTATCTTATCGTGGAACCACAAGTTCTAGACCACCTTTGAATGTCGTGTTAGATAAAGGCTAACAACGAATTAAGGAAATTGCTATACGAGGTCACCGACCTACTTCGTAAGAGGGCAAATGCCACATCCAATTAATGTTTCGATTGAGACCAACTTGATTTGCTCTTCATGTATGGTTGAATCGATGAACATGACCTCCGCATATTCTAGTCACTGAATGAGCCCTGAACAATTGGAAACCAACATCATTCTATCGAGGAATCCCAAGGATTGATCTGACGCAACAAAAGACCTCACCAGCCCCTGCGTCGTAATATTTTCTGCTAATCCGAGGAGTCTTCTGGAAACCTATACACTTTCCATGTGCCCTGCACGCTTCCTTAAATGGTTATATCACGCGCCGTCAAGAGATGGGCCACTATAAACTAAATTATGATAGTGTTGGCTTCTTATGAGCTCAAATCATCTAAATATACTGATATAGCACATGAATCCACATGCTGATGATGGGCGATTGATCGGTAGGTCTAATATGAAAGCCTAGGACTCATACGACCGAGAAATCTAGATCCGCCGTGGCCACAGTCGGGCATCCGGATGCGGGATTTAGTATCAATATAGTACGGCATAACGGATTGATTTAACGCGGACTAATTATGGTATAGCCACTAGCGTTCGTGTTTCGGAGAGACAGCGGTAGAGGCGCGTCGAACGAGGCATAGAGGCACGATGCAGCGCTTGGGGGTAAACAGAGACTGTTCAAAATGGAAGAAGATGAATGGATGTCTCTAACATGATCACGGTCGCCCTTGTATTGCCTTCCCTATGGTCATCTGTGGACAGGTAATTGTCACAGCTCGATAAAATCATATAATCACTACTATCCTTGGCTAATACTAAGCACAAGTTCACGAGACCTTCCCAGAGTACTTTACATATTACAGCATTTTAGGCATGTGGAAAGCACCGGAAGACATGCCTCTACCGAAATTATGCCGAAGCTTGTGTCTTTCTGTGTTAGACCCTTTGGCCTCATCGGCATGTCGGCCTGCACCCCGCGGGGTGAAATAGTTAATATAACAAAAAACCGGCATCCGTCGGTAAGAATCCATGCAATGTACCCCATAGCTGGGCGGACAATTCGAGCCTGCCACCGTCGAGATAACCGCATACGGCAATTGAGCCCAATTGGTCGACATTTCCCTGAGGGTTCGGCCAAATTTCACTACTCGATTCGGTTCGCCGGTGGATGTGTGTATGTTAAACTTTTTTTGGAGGAATATAAATTCCGGCCTCTCTGACGAACGGGCGGCGCGGCCCACTCTACTTCTCGGGCTCCATTGTAGACATTGGGCTCATCCAGTTGTCCTCTCCTTCGATAAACAAGATCTTTAACATACGTTGGCAAGTGAGTAATCGCGGGTATGATGGGATGTGACTGGTCTATATGAGTGACTTTGGCTGTCTTTATCTTGTAGACTTATGGGTAGATGATAAGACAATGACATTTTGCGGAATGTCTTGTTGTTGGCCTCGGACCACTTCCGCGTACTAGGTGGAGAAGCTTGTGGGGTTTGGGGTCAAATCCTGGAGATCCTGGAGATACTGGGGTTGCTTGAGGCTTGAGTTTTAGAATATGCATACAACCACCTCAACTCCAAGCACCGATCTTTACCCGAAATGTGGTGAGGTGGCTTCCTGTCCCACTCGTATCTACGGTGCGATTCCTGGCAAAGATTTTTCAGGATCCTTGTGGGATTCTTCTAGTGGCCATCTCACGTATATATAGGCCCTAAGGGAGCCAGTATCGGTGTTATCACCAGACACTGTACAAAGCCATCGATAAACAAAACAAAGATGCGAGCTTCCCTGTCATGTGCTGCTTTATTGGCAGCATTGGCTGATGCACAGCAGCTGTACTTCACGACGGACGGTTATACTGAGCGTCCACAGTGCACTCAAGCAGCTGCTACTCCTCAGTACCATTTCCGGCCCTTTTCCTATACCCTAAATGAGACGGTTCGGTGAGTGCTCTCGTGTTTACATGCATTGCAAACCAAAGGTACAATCCAGCTAATGCAATTCTCCAGCTTTGCTACTTCAGTACCCGCGCCAACCACAACCCGGACATATGCGCCTCCGTACTCGAAGGCCGTCAAGCACCTCACGACAAATCCAGTGACTACGACATGGGGTAACTGGCTGCCTAATCAGACAGTGATTACGGCCACAGATACAGATGATCCTTATGGACAAGCCGCGTGGTCGTCTCTTTGGCAGCAAGCCGAGCTTGAGAACTACACGACTACCGGACTGTATTCGACTACTGTCAGTCCCACGGCGGTTCCAACCAGTGAACTAGTCCTGCCACCACGGGAGTACTTCGGGCCAACAGATTGCTATAACTTCCCAGATGGCTTTATCTTCGGAGTTGCAGGAAGTGCAGCTCAGGTCGAAGGTGCTATGGGCTTGGAAGGTCGTAGCCCTACCATCCAGGAAAAGCTGGTGAATACCACTCAGCCAAAAAATTATGTGACGAACGAGAACTACTATCTTTACAAACAAGACATTCAACGATTGGCTGCCATGGGAGTCAAGTATTATAGTTTCTCGATCCCGTGGACGAGGATCCTACCATTCGTGCTGCCGGGTTCGCCCGTGAACGAACAGGGGGTCAAGCATTACGATAACTTGATTAACACTGTTCTTGATGCTGGAATGCAGCCTATAGTTACCTTGCTCCATTTTGACAGCCCATTGATGTTTGTCGGAAGCGACAACAGGTCAGTCCATCCACATATTGGTTACTACAACGGCGGCTACCAGAACGAGACCTTCGTGGATGCTTTTGTCAATTATGCGAAGATCGTTCTAACTCACTATGCTGACCGAGTTCCGATTTGGGTCACATTCAATGAGCCCTTTCTCTATTCTTTTAACTTCGCCGGTGCCAATAATGTGGTGCATGCGCACGCGCAAGTGTACCATTTCTACCACGAACAACTTAATGCCACCGGTAAGATGGGTATTAAACTCAATGACAATTTTGGCGTCCCTCGAGACCCAACCAATTCCAGCGACATCATGGCCGCCAACCGATTCCAAGAGATACAACTTGGACTTTATGCAAACCCCATCTTCTTAGGCGAACAATACCCGGACTCTGTGCTGACAACTCTACCGGGGGCCAAACCACTCAGTGACCAGGACCTTTCATATATAGGTAACACCTCGGACTTCTTCGGTGTCGACCCATATACCGCCACGGTAGTCTCCCAGCCTGCCGGAGGAATCGAGAGCTGTGCAAAGAACCAATCTACAGAGAACTCCTTATTCCCTTACTGCGTTATACAGGAGACAAAGAACATCTACGGTTGGAACATCGGATACCGTGCCCAAAGCTACGTGTACATCACACCTACCTACCTCAGAGAGTATGTCAACTATCTCTGGAATACCTTCCGGAAGCCCGTGTTCGTCACCGAGTTCGGGCTCCCTGTATCCCACGAAGCCGATCAGGAGTTGTCAGACCAGCTATTCGACACTCCACGCAGTATCTACTATCTGTCCTTCATGTCAGAGATTCTAAAAGCCATCCACGAAGATGGGGTGCATGTCATGGGTGCTTTGGCTTGGTCATGGGCTGATAACTGGGAGTTTGGCGACTATAAGCAGCAATTTGGGCTGCAGGTGGTGAATCGGACGACGCAGCAACGATTCTTCAAGAAGAGCTTTTTCGACTTGATTGATTTCGTGGGTGCGAGATTACCATCTTCTTCATGAGTTTGCCATCCGCAAGATATATTAAAAATGTGAGCTACTTTTATAAATAGTAGTAATTTCATCAAAGTTTAACTTGAAAGCGGATTGGCAATATGTTGGCTGCCCAGACCAGCAACTGGGGCAAGCATTGCAAAACGCTATCGACAGGAGCACAGGGTCCCCTTGTTGGAGATTCATGGGCGATCGGTTGATCTTGTTGCCTATCTTTCTCAAATATCCCCTACCTGAGCTCCAACTATAAATCTATTCATTTTTTTCCAGCGAGTCAGGTTTGGGCTAAGAGGCAGTTAGCTAACCTTCATGGCGTAAGACTCTTGGAAATCAGTAATCAGCCCGTGAGGCGACCCCAGATCGATATGGCAGAGTCCAGTAGCCACAATCTCACTGGGCATTCATCGTCTTGAATGTCACGAATCGAGAGGTCCTTGAGCCGAAAGTCAAGATTGCCATTGTCCAACGGCGGAAATGAAACAACCCCACGATAGTGTTGTGCCATGTTTTATGCCTACCTTACAAAGTGGCAGGTTTTTGATAAATATATGACTCTATCTGTACAGAAAGTTTTACCGGCTATATATTCGCCCGTTGAAACAAGTGGGTTAAGATTTCCCCTTGGGCGATTGGTTCAACCTTAACTCCCCGAGAATTGGCCACTTCCTCAGCTCCTCCACAGTGAGGGCTTGTCTGGTCACGATCTAGACTTATGTACTAATTCTGACGAACGTAAATATCCGCGATAAAGTCTTGATAATTTCTTGAGAATTCTATGATAGACTTCAACAAGAGAAGCACTTTTTGGTTGTTGGCTGAGGACAGAACATACTTGGAAAAAGAGGCCTATTATAAAGTTCATAGAAACAAAGATAGAATATAGAAGTCTGTTCTCCATTCAGGTTTCATTCTAAAATTCCCATTCTCGATAATATTGCTCTTCTACTGTAGACTAGGTTTATTGCCGAATTATATCATACCCAATGAACACTGGAAGGTAAGCCAAAGCCAAACCATACACACTATATGGACATATTGGCTTTTTCCCATTACAGCTCTTCACTATCGAGACCTGCGTTTTGAAACTAACGTCTTACACTTTGCTCTCTTGTTCCCATCTTATTGACACACTAGTCAAGGAAGAGAGGAAGACGTGACTCCTCAAGCCACCATCACGCCAGGCACCTTGAACCCGACGAGAGCCAAACCAAGACGGTATACGTCACCCCAGCCGGAGTATATGAATTCAATCTTTAGACCGAGACTCTGAGTTCCTTGACATTGTAAAAGACGATATTACTATACCTTTAGTACCGCAAAGGGTAAGTAGATATAGGAGACTTAAACTATATATATTAATCACTATTTCAAAGCTTCTGAAGACAACAATCTAAAATGCAAGAACATTAGTATATAGAACTAAATTAGTGGTATATATTAAGAGCGCTATAGTCCTGTGGGTAATACGATATGTAGGAGTAGGGAGATTAAACGTATTTAGGCCTTTAGGAGAGAATATGTTAGCATTCAAATAGCCTAAGTTACAGACGGTTCTAAATCCCTATATAGGTGGTAGGCCGCTCTTCAGGCTGCTATCGCCGTATAGGGGGCGGGGTAATCGCTGCCTGACGCAGCCGCCGTTACAGCTCATGCTTCGTGAATTTCCACAGAAACAGGGTTTTCTTATAAACACCATCAGTAAGAACCAACCTGTTCATTCCAATGTCATAACTATGCTTAACCACTTACCGTTCATCAAATCACCGCAGATCTTTTCATCAATTACTGCCAGAACCGCACCTATATACATACATCCGTCTGTTAGCTTGGCTCTCTGTTATTCCCGAACCCAAACTATCATAACCCCAATGTTAGCTCTATATTAAAAGGTCAATACATACCACCATTCCTAATGACAAGCTCTCCATTTCGCTCTTCAATCGTAGTCTTTTGGATCATGCCCACATCAATCTCGCCCCCCTTCTTGTGCCAAAGTACACGTTTGGGAAGCAGACTGCGATCCTCGACGAGGAATCGTCCAAGGTACCAGTCACCAGACTCGAGGAGGCCATCGTTATTAAGAGTAAAAATGGCTGGGTCGGTGTGGCCCACCTCTGCGTGGATTTGCTGTTCGTCGGGGTCGATGTTTTTTCGGGTAATGAGGCTGCCGCCAAGGGTGATGGTAAAGTAGTCTGGGAGAGCTGCCATGGTTGTGTTTTTACTTGCTGTTTGGGTCTGATCAGAGGGGGCTATGGAACTATGGAATAGAGGAGAGGGTATTTGAGGCGAGAAGAAATGAGAGTAAGATAAAGAGATGAAGAGAAAGAGAGCCGGCTCTTAATCTTTAAATACAGTAAAACCCGGGCATCCAGCTCCAGTTCCGGTGGGGGGGGGTCAGGATTTAGTGGCTTGGGGTGGGGTCCCAGTTCCGAGGGGGTCAGGATTTAGGTAGTAGTGGCTGGGGGTCAGGGTGGGGCGGAGAAACTATCTCCGAGAGGGTCAGACGAAATACTGCCGCTTCACATAATATTTTAATTTCTGATCCCCTCAGAGCTATTTCTTACTAATCTTTAAAAATTATAAAAATTACGATAGAGGGGATCTACGCGTTATAAGAAATCTAATTGGGTGTCGGGAATGGATTATCCACAAAAGTTCTCAAAACCCCGATGTAGGGAAATTTTATCATTCTACCTAATCCCCCATACAAAATTGCTCATAAAGGAGTATAGTGGGTCTCTTAAACCAATTATATAATTCCTAAGAAATATAAAAGTCACGTGGCCTACTATCTTTTAGTGTTTTTAAGTTTAAAATCTTACCCCCTTCCCTACGCAGAAAGACTAATAAGTATATAATATAGTATATATATACTACTTAGAATCCTAGTTTAAGCAATTTGAATGGCTTGCTGAATTGGTTGCTTACAAGTTATATGGGGGGTTTACTGTACTGTAGGTAGTGGAGTAGCTGCCCCACTGGACTTGTGTTGATCTTTATTCTTCAGCAAATACGATGCATTTAGGGTGCAGTGGCCCCCCGATCGCCATCAGTGATAGGTACATTCGGCTAAATCACTGCAGACTTCGGGGAGGAACATTTTCTTCTTTAAGATGGTGCAGCGTCAGCAGCCTTAAGACTGTACAGAGAAGCCATCGATCTGCCGCGTCATGCCCTAGACAAACAGTACGTCACTTCGCAACTATCTGCCTGCCTGAGTCTCTCTCTCCCCTGTGATAAGCACGGCTGGTGGGGCTCACAACTCATGTCCCACGAGGAATAACAGGAGCATCGCCGCGCGCTTTACATCGAGGACAGTGTCATTATTCTAAGCCCTTCTTCCAATACCTCACGCGCATGTGCGATGACCAAGCGAAACCACCCTGCTTCCTCGCTCTCATAGGTCTTTCCCGAGGTGATGTATTGGTTCTTGAACTTGTATATCTGCCTCACAATCACCCGAATATACGAGTGATAACTAGGAATGGCTGCTTAAACATAGGTTATATTACATTTTCCACCCGTGCTTTTTATCATTGCCGGTAGAGAAATGTACACCTTAGAGCCCCAGTACCATCTTTATTCAAGAGATGTGATCAACATCGAAGTTTGCTTAGACTAACAACGTTGTATAGATAGTTGCCGGTATTTAACAAAAACCAAGTGGGTTTTAGTTTTTAAAAGATAGAAATATATTGGTTATGGGTCATAAATGCTTTATTCGCTAGGGGATAAATCTGACCAATACAGCAACACTTTCATCAAAACAACTTAGGTTGGAAATCCTATTCAAATACGTACTGGTATTGTACGCATTTATTTAGCTGCTATTATTGACATTTTCCTTTTTAAATATCACTCTTCTGCCGAACTAAAGTATAGCAAGCATGGCAGTTGATGTCCCTACACTCACTGTATACTGAGTATATTATTTGAAGTATGCTTGGTAATGAAAGTAAGCATCATTAACCCCCCAGCTAACTAGTGCGTAAAGCCAGGTCGTGTTAGTCTTATTAAGCTATATTGCTTTATGTTAATCTAATGTGAATATACCTTGTCTGTCACACTACATCTCACTGGATGTCTGAGTACCAGTAAGTAGGTTTTCAAACCAAATAGTTGGAACAAGCTTTACTATTCGCGTTTACGACATCAGACATCTTTAGCTTCCTAGATTCATTCCAATATAGCTATTGAACACCATTGCCCACTATAGCTTCGCTAGAATGCCGTCTGACCGCAGTATGGAAAGGTGATTGCGGTTAATGTCGCTTATCGATCGACACCTACTCGAAAGTTAATAATCACTTTGGAATAATGAATGTGTTTCTGCAAGACAGGTTTACCCGGCTAGTGCCATAGTTATCCTCAGCTCATGTTGCAGTATATCCACCGCTAGCTCCACACCACTTTGGCCGTTGTACTGCATAGCAGGCTATCAGTCAGCATTGGTACCCGCTTATTATACTAGATCAAGGGAGTGCAACCGCCAGGCCCCATATAGGAATCCTCCCTAAAAAGCAATGCTCCGCACCCATAGCAAGGGCTTTGAAGATGTCTGAGCCTCGTCGGATTCCGCCATCGACGGCTATTTTTATTCTCCCTTTCGCCACAGGCGCACATTCCCGGAGTGCATCCAATGTGGCGGGTATTCCGTCTAGCTGGCGACCTCCATGGTTGGAAATAACAACCCCATCAACTCCATGTTGAATGGCAAGCTCAACATCTTCCACAGTTGAGACTGAAAACACAATTTAATCAGCATGTAGCGTATACACGGGAAGATGAGGATGCCTCTAGAGTGTACCTCCTTTGATCCACACTTGCATGGATGTGGTTTGCCGAAGCCACGGTATTATAGTGTGCCATTCGATACTGGCGTCTGGGCCTTGTATCAGTAAACCTTGTCACCATATTCAAAGAAACAGCTTGATTCTGAGCATACCAAATTGCATGGCACTATTGCTCCCAAAGAATTCCTCCCTGCCCCTGGACAGTAAGTTTGGCCAGCACAGATTTTCGGGGATGATGAAGTTATTGCGGTGCTCATTGATCCTTTTTCCTAACGTTGGGCAGTCTACGGACAGGAACACTGCTTTATAACCAGCTTCTATGTACCAGAGGAATGAGAGTTGGAATATAGAATCACGCGAGGACATAAGGATAAAACGTACCTTCAGCCTTTGTTAGAATGTCCTTCATCAGTGCTCGGTCCTTGAGCATTAGCAGGTGTACTGCATAAGGATTTCCATTGCCTTGCATTGCGACCTCCTCCAAAGACACAGTGGAGTGCATTGCTAAGACCATGGCAAGGTTCTTTCTAGCAGCCGCTCGAGAGGTTGCCAGCTCACCATCGCGGTGAGCTAATCTTTGCATGCCTGTCGGCCCAAACGTAATTGGTAAGGCGACCTGGATAATTACTCAGCGACGTGTATAGAACAAGGAGCTATGGTAAAATATGAATACCTTGGATCCAAGGAATTGCGAGGACATATCAATATTTTCGACGTTCACTAGAGTGCGTGGTCTGATCTTATACCGATTGTACGCTGCTTCGTTCTCCTGCAGCCTGTCATTGATATTAGCTGCGGCTACCTTTTGTGTTAATGGGATGTAAATTTGGAATAGAACTATACGTTACTAAGTCCATGGCCCCTTCATCGTGAAATTCTGAGAATACTCTGTCAGTGAAAGAGAACTACAACATTTGAGTAGGTGTGTAGCACCTGCATAGCTCTTTGGCAGGTTCCGTCTAGCTGCTTTTTGCAAGTCCTTAATGGAAAGGACGCTTCTATCCTTCACCTCCTCGCGATTCATGTTGATATGCACGCCTACGTGCCGAATAATTTCGTAGAATGAAAAGCGTTAGAGTAAAGATCAGAAAGGCAAGCTAGCATAGCATCGTAGTTGATCCAAGAGATATGTGAACGAAGGGGAAAGCCATGTTCGCCGTCTGACAGAAATCTAAACGGGATAGTTATTCCAACCCAGCGGTCTGGATCCCACAATGACGCGTCAGGATGCTTCTGTTCAGTCTCCGGCCACTCAATCAAGAATTACCGGACAGCCTGGTTTACCTTTTTTCCGTACGTCATATAGCCCATAGCAAGTAAAGAGTCACTTCTATGGATAGGTTCATCCCCTCCGTACATTCCTGCCGCCTCCTGAGAGGGTAGAGCTGGATCAACTGGGTGTACATGGTGGCCAGTTGTGTGACAAATAGTCGGTCTAGCGCTGGCATGTTGACCCCAACCCAACGTCCATGGATTGGAACACTAGTTGAAGCCTAATTTAGCTTCTGGAACAAGTATCTTGCTGATGCACAGTCTGTATTTAGTGGAGCCAGTATAAGAAATATTGGTAGAGCTATTTCAGTGTGTGCGAACTAGTCCACTGTTCCAAATATTGACCCTGACAGGTCGCCACCTCGCTAAAGGGCCATATCCCGGACCCGGACCCCCACAAACAAATGCCGGACCCGGACGATCAACTTCCTATGTAATCCAGTAAGGGTCTTGCTTGGCGATCCCTGGGGCCTCGTTCCTTGGTTAATAGTGGGCCCGGTACCCGATCACTTGCCACCAAGTAGGTGGTGTTCCCACGGTTTTTACATGCGTGTCAGGGCTGCCCCAGTTAAAGCAGTCCGATACGTAGATTGTAGTTAAACTCAATGCCGCAAGCGTCGCATGGGTGCAGTAGGTATCTAGTGGTTGGCTTATTATATGCCGGCTAGTCCATCGCGCCCGGACCTTGGTTCCAGAGGGTCTCTTCCACGACCGTGGATCAGCATGAGCCTCCCCACACAATTTTCTCGCAGTAGTTACACGGAGCACATATATATTTTTGACCCCACACTGAATGGAATCTACGTACGCGTATACTTTGAGTTAAAGGTACAAGTTTTAGTTAAAGGTCAATATTTGGGTTTTGTCTGGTCCTATCCTATAGTTTCACATCTATGTCATAGTGGAAACTACAGTTTTGCCTGTTCTAAGCTTGTTAGAACTCTTCTGGGTGGGCCAGCTCGGCTTCCGTTCATCCCACTAGACATCGGTCTGCCTGTTGGTTTGTATGCCCATCGGGCGCGATGGATCCTCGGGGCGCTGTGCTCAAGTATATCGACGACATACCGTCCTATAATTGGTAGAAATTTGAAGCCGCTAGAACAGGTTAGCCGTCACAGCGTCTAGGGCGCGGCAAAGGTATGCGGAAAGGGCTGTGGTAGACGGTACTTACTGACCGCTGTCTCCAGTGGCTAAAAACAAGCCAGCAATATCAGGGTGGTGATCGATGATAAAGTCCCCGTCTGGGGTGTCAGAATACCAGCAAAGCTTGCGATTGATCCATGGGTGGTCCTTGAATTGAGGCAAGAGCAAGGTGAGGCCCGCACGGAGAGCGGCGTCGGCCTCGTCTGGGATGAATTGAGACTTGAAAGAATGCCTGAAGAGCCTTGGGGCGGAGGTCGAACTCCACGCAGGAATGTGCCCTCTGGATTCAGCCGCCAATGTGGTTTCATATCCATAATCATGCCTTGCCACTTTCAAGACGTTATCGCTAGTCGGGGGAAAGACAAACACCCCCGATGTCAAATTGCATGTCACCGGTTGCTTTGCTAGCTTGGCGGCTTCATCTTTGGACAGTTGAATTGACGCCACTGGGTGGCAAGTGGAAACGACTGCCCCATGAAGATCAAGCAGATGGTTTGTCCATGACCCAGTTGCTAAAATCAGCCGAGCACAGGTCATAGTCTCTCCAGAAGCCACCTTGACGCCCACCACCCTTTTCTCTGCCTGCAACAGTGACATAACCATCCCTCGTTTCCCAGTTATGAATGAGATGCCGGCCTTAGTGCACTCGGATACAACTGCTTGAATAACATGCTTTGCATTGACCCACCCACAGACCTTGTTAGAATAGCCACTGACATGCAGGGGCAAATCTCCATCAAAGAATGGATACCTCGCCTTGAATTCATCTCTCCCTCTGAAGGTATGAACTGTTTGTCCAAGCATCTGCAATGCCTGCTTGGTGCGTACAACGCGGGGATCATCGATTGACTCCGTCATAAGAGTGAATTCACACTCGTTGAAATGGTCATCATACTTTTGTCTCCACATCTGCAAAGCTTCCAAGCCTAGTTTGGCATAGAATGGATCTGTGTAGTCAACACGTATTACCCTGGAAATGTCGACACTAGATCCATCAAGGACTGGGGGCATGTGTCTATCTAGTACGAATATCTGTTGGTAGCCCCGCTTGCGGAGTTCCAAAGCTGTGGCCAACCCAAAAACACCAGCACCCACGATTATTATGCGATCTGTGCTCGGGCATGGTTTGTCAGGGATGGAAGATGACTGTTGCATCATGAAGACACCAAGACGTTGCAAATTCCGAATCGACAGAGTCGTGCAATTTGATATGACGAAGAGCTACCGTGCCATACCAGGTTTATATATGTCAGCATCCTTCGTCGGGTCAATTTGTGCCCCCACAGACAACACCGTTCCGTGGTTCATGGGCCCAATTCCGGCACAATACAACCACGACCATCCAGTTTAAATCAAGATTAACGTCATAGCGTTTCGACAGACAAATCCCTCCATTCTCTCTATTCGAATTGAGTGAACGGCTTTCAGTAAGAATCTAACGCCTTTAGTTCGACAGCTCAGATATTCTTCATTCTGTACTTTATCCACTGGGTTTTAAAGGACAAAATTAGGTAGATCCCGTTATGTGTTCTCAAAAGTCCAAACCTTCGTGAAAGACAGTTAAGCAAATGGCTAAATATTGGACCCACGCCACTTTCTTCCAATCACTGTGAACATCTTCAGCTCGGGGACAATCCCATCAGAGTAAGCCGCTTCCATCTCCCGCAGCATGCGAGAGGCTATTGCATTGGCCTCAGTCTGATCTCCAGTCTGTCCGCTCCGTAGGATTGTGACTGGTAGTATGGCTTGAAGTAACTGGCTACACCATAGCTGTATATCTGCATAGTGCTCGGGGGTTGCAAGTGTGCTGTATTCGTACTTGCGAAGACCTTGCAACCCAAGGTTCCAACCTTCCCGCATAAGAAGGTTCGACATCCGCAGGGACAAACCAGCATCTGCCATATACTCAGAGACTAGATTTATGGCTCTTGTTATCTCCACAGACGGTCGATTAGGTGCCGTATAGCAAAAGTCGGCATCTTCCCATTGGAGGTATCCGTTCGGGCCTGTACACAATCCTTTAGATGCTACCGAGGTTGGATAGATAGAATTCCCTATACGATAACACACTTACGCAGTAGACCGATCATATTTTCTAAAGCCTTAAGCAGATCAGGTTCACGAAGAGCCAAAACAAACAAGCGAATGTGAACGATATCATAGCGGCCCAAGTGTTCGTTTGGGAAAGGCTGGGTGACATCATGGATTGTGAAATCGATGGTTCCCTGTTCAGCAGGAAACTGATCACTGGAGATATCAAATCCATGTAGGTGGCAGGGTGGTGCCTCGGGAACAGAGTTGATCCACTTCGACAGACGTCTCAACCATATCCTATAACATTGTTAATGAATGAAGAGAAGGATAGGGTGTACAAAGGCTGACCCTGTGCCCGTGCCCACATCAGCAACATTCACGCCATTCTTCATGTCAATGCTCATCGAGGGGTGCAATAGCTCATACCCCATGAAGTTGGCTAAAGTCCCATGCTGCATGTCTAGCCTGCATTCTGGGTTATTACCGTACATCAACAAGATTTGCTTCAGACATACCGCTGGGACTCTGTATGATCCCTGTTGTTAAGGAGGTATAATTCCTGGTTAGCCATATTTCATCCTATATGTACTGGGGAGTTGGAATCTTCAGAAAGCCGATTTGCGAAAGACTGAGTAGATAATAGTGGCCTGTGGTTGGGGGGCATTAAGCAGAATTTAAGTAACAGATCAGTCAGTTATTAACAGTTGTGACTGGCTGAGAACCATTATTAAATATTATTAAACTGTTCTAGTAATTGTAACAGTCCCTTAGTAGGTTATAGCTATTAATCAATTATTATTTAGTCATGTATTATCTCTAATATTTATTAATCTTTCAGTAACCAGTCATGACCATAGTTCTATCGTCCATTAGCGATGTCGAAAGATATGTGGAGAGGTGGCGACGCCCGGTGTGTCGGGTCGTAGATAGAGGATTTACCAAGAACACAAACCCTATTATGGGTATATTCGCATTCACTCAATCATTTGAAGATAGTGCTTGGAAACCCTTCAGGCCTACGTTGCTTTCCATATAATTTTTAGAGCAGTGCTTTTGCACTGCCCCGTACCCAGTACCACGGAAATATGTACCGCGGGAAAACAAACCCTATGCCCGACCACGGATACGCTCTTCGGTGGCAGCAAATAAAAGTGTTCTCCTGGAAGCTCCATTTGACCCAATGCTTCGGCCCCATCAAAAGTGACTGAAATGCCTCATAATATTATCGGAAGTATACCGAAGCGCGAACAATTGTTGTACTTTCCAATGATCAGGAAGACGAATGAGTTTTCACGGCCTCATGGTAAGCACCACCAGAGTGCTAGATTACGTCTGCTGTACCACGGGACCGTGGTGGAAATGGGAGAGCCGGTTCTGTTCTTCTTGTTTCTGCTTTGTGCTCATTGGCGATATCATTGTAATCTATGATAGCATATTCCCAGTCACCTAGTCTCTGGAACCCTATTCTGCAATAACCCGAGCATACCATGGTCATCTCATGCCTCTAGATCAAAGGAAAAGCTGTTTAGCTCCCTATTTACGCTCAGCTTACGTCTAGCTGTCGTTTTCGGAATAGAGCTATGGGGCATCAAGCCCTACTATGGCCATTACCAACTCTGGATATTCAGAGATACCAATACGTACTGTAGTCTAGGATGACGTTCTCGACAATGATCATAACACATAATGGCTAGGCGAAATGACTGTATATAAAGGATCAAGAACACTTGGAGTGAGCTGTATATGACTTCCTCAAGCTTAGCAATATAAAGATAACACCACAAGCTAAATCCCTTGTCCTTACCACTTTTGACTGTATACTTAAGCATTATGACTCTAGCCACTGTGGCCTTTGACATATTTCTCCGTGGCTCTAGAAGCCAAAGGCATGCAGCCGCCAAGTCGTTGGTTGGCTCTTTGCGAAGGACCGGCTTTGTGAAGCTGATCAATCATGGCCTTCCCCTAGAGACAATTGAGAAAGCGCAGGAATGGGTATCCTTATCTCACCTTTATACTAGCACAGCTCGATGCTAAATCCCATACAGAACACGAAGTTTTTCAACCTTAGGCCAGAGCTAAAGGCCAGGGTCGTCAATCCTCCTAGCCCACAGCCCCAGCGCGGATGGAGTTATAAAGGAGCCGAAACCACGGCCGGCCTGCGGACTCCAAACCCCGGTAACATCCGGATGGACGAGAAAGTAAGTCATTTCAGCCTTTGTTCTACCTTTTACCAGGGCTGTTTCGTCAATTACCATCAGTATTGTAGAGACTAGTCTCAAATGCTCATTTGTGACAGGAGAATTTCGATGTCGGCCCACAGGATGACGCTGTATATCCGAACAGATGGCCACATGACAGCCTTCCAGGCTTCCAAGCATTCACAGAGGCATTCTTTAGGGAGTGTCAGAACTTGTGCCTAGATGTTATGTCGGCGTGTGAGATTGGGTGCGATGTACCTGAAGGAACGTTCGTCAGGCGTTGTATGCCGGCTTCCAGCGAGCTGAGATACAACTATTATCCCCCTGTTAGCCTGTCCCGGCTGAATGAAGGTACGACTCGTCGGGGATGGCCTCACACTGACTTTGGAATCATTACGCTGCTTTTCCAGGATACCAAAGGGGGACTGGAATATGAGGACCGTCAGCACCCCGGAACATTCATTCCATTAGTGCGGGAGAGGCCTGATGAGATAGCGATCAACGTGAGCGACACCTTCCAACGATTAACAAATGACTTCATCCGAGCTGGTGTACATCAAGTCTCCCTTCCCCAAAACCTTTCCTCTATGCCACAAAACTCCAGTGACCATATCCTGCCCGAGCGACATTCAACTGTCTTTTTCTTCAAGGCTCATCGCGAGTGCATGGTGGGTGCTATACCGGATTTCGTTAACGAGCAGAACCCGGCAAAATATGATAACATCACTGCTCTTGAGTTTCATAATCGCATGACAGATATTTTGGTTCGCAACGCCAGTTCTCCTCCAACTGCCACATAGTCCTCATTTTGGGGCAGAGGAGAGATATGAGAGTACATCTTGTGATGTATAAATTTCATTAGATATTATTGCATCTCTAGAGTAGGGGATTCATTTAGTTGTTAGTTACTAGAGAAATATTCAATGAGTTCAATTATATACGAAATACGTCCTACATGAAGCTTTCCCACTAGATTGAAACTTGCCTTCATAACAACAAGTAGATCTCAGGCTTAAGCACCAAAGCGTACGGTACGTTGGGTAATTCAAAAGAATAGTAATAGATGCCAGAATACTGGTACACCACGGAGGGAATCGCGGCTCTCGCTCTGATAACAGGAAATTATTTATCTAATACTGCATCTAATATACATCCTGTCGTACTTCGACAGCGTCGGCAGACGGCGACACCTGGAATAGAGAAATAGGATCATAGTGGCTAGCACCTCGCTGCAGTAGATGCATGGGGCCTTGATGGATGGCCATGGCCATGAGGAAAAGCCTAGAGGACTTGCCTCCTGTATATTGCCTAACCTGTAGATAGGTATTGACAAGCACATCTATTCCATAGGTTATGAGAGGAAACGATACTTGTTGGGACTCCAAGGGCCGTGCTTGTCACAATCACCGACGGTTCGCCGATCTCCTGCAGGATGGCTCCTCTGAGCATCCCACTGTTGGTCTGGAATGGACACATTCCCAGGTCCGAGACACCTTTCAGTATAGAAGTCGTATACAGCATTTCCTGACCCTTCCTCTATACGTAATGGCCCTTTCCTGGGGCATATCAAGCTAGTATTGCATATACTGCAAATTGATATATGCGACGGCGTATAACTGAATTCGTCACATGTGTTACAGACGCTGGCAAGCCACATATCGACCGCCCGGTGTGCACATCCCAAACGGGGTATCATGGACTCTTCTTTTCCAAGCTGCCCTGCCTCTATCGTTAACTTGTATTCCACTCTGACTTTCAGCATGTCGGTTTCGCCCAGCTCAGGTAATATCTGAATTTTTATCTCCGAAGGTCCGTAGTTCATGACGCAAGAGTGCCAGTAGAAGCGTTCCTGGGCACTAACGCCACATTGCGTTGCTAGAGCCGTCAGAGATTGTTGTCGCGCTCGCAGAAGGTCAACGAGCTCCATCTTTCCGCGAAAGGTTAACTTGATGCATGGACATAAATCAACTACGCCAGCGAGATCCCCGAGATTACAAATTCGATCTTCAGGTTGCTTTTTCCGTTCTCTCTGGGGAGAGCTGGCCACCATATGTAGCTTTAAGCATCTGGAGCAAGCAAGCCACCGCTTGTTCTCTAGGAGTCTGATGAGTTGCCACCGAAGAGTCACAAAGTTGTATTGGTTCCGATAGTGCTTGAAGAGCGGCGCAAAGTCCGGAGTGAAACGCAGGATTTCTGAGTTCAGAACAGTAACATCTGCTAAGAATAGTCGCGTGCAGGTCAAGGCAAGACACGCCCGAGGAATCACCGGCAAATATGATGTGATCTTCAGCAATAATTCCGTCGGCAATTGAACAAGATAACAGCTACCCCCACTCTGTGCTTTTCCTTGGGCCCGAGCTAATGGCCAATGTCCCGTTTGTATCGAGGTTTCCCACTTTTCCTTCAGACGCTGAAGGCTGTTTGTCATGCTAATCGAGAATGTTCTTCTCAGATGATGCCTTGTAGAAAACGATATTATCTTTTTGCTCGGCTCTCGAGCTGAGGGCATCTTTTTGTCGCTATAGTCGCCCATATTTTGAAAGGAGTTCATTCTTGTGCCGAAGAACTTGGTCTGGCAGCGCTCCTGTCGTCGCCTGGCCTTGCAAAATATAACGATAACGTATGGAGCGCTCTTTCCCAAAAGATGGAAAGATTCTGTGTCAAAAGAATGAAAGTAAAATGAATGAAGGCGTATATAAGACAACCATTTCCTTCATTGGTAAGTCAAGAAGGATCAGACAAAGCGTCCATAACTAAGACGCTCAAAATTCTTGACTTATCTCCATGAGGCGGGCCTTGGGGGGTGAACGGTGTCATATAGCCCACAGCTCTGTGGTGCTAAAGCTATAGCGTAGGGCACTAGATAATCTCTATTGCCTAGCTTTAAGGCACACTCTCAGCAAGGATTATATGCAGGAGAAGTAATATATAAAAATTTGCATAACATAGGCTTGAAGTACCCACTAAAAGCCCCTACTCCGCCCTACTATCTTCTACTAGTCCTGGATATCATTATTTCCCAGGTGCTCCATATGTGAGATGAATAAAAGCTCCGTGCTTTTAATTTGCGCGAGAGGCGGCAGTAATTCCCGCATACGGCCTGAGCTTGCAAGATAAATCAAAGTCTACTTCCCTGTATTAGTGCTCAGCTGGTGGCAAAGCTGCATCTACTATATACTGACTTGTCCCACATACAGCATAGGATCCATAGGAACGATGCCATTTGGCAGGGCTGTCCAGTTATTAGCGTACTTTTTCCCGGTCTAGCCTTTCTATCCATGAGCAATGCAACCCTTCTCACAAATAATTCGCCGCTTCTCCACTTTGCCTTCAACCGAATAGCGCCGCTTGCTGTCACAGGGACGACCCTAGCTCGGTGGGTCTGCTGCATAGCGTACAACGAATAAATTTATCAGGCATTGGAGCGCCAGCTACACTAGCAAGGATAAAGTCGCATCACCACTTCCGAAAATGCCCACCTGCGGCATCCACTTGGGTAAGGAGCATGGAGAACGAAATACCCAAGTTGTTGATCAAGAATGATATCAATCTAAGGCCGCAGTATGTAGCCAGTCATGAACGACGCGTTATTGTATAGTAGGGGTCACTTTGGGAGTCTGTGCTAAGCACAGAGAATTGTTCCATCCAAGCCAATGCCAGTCACTTTTGTACGGAACTAGATTAGGTGTCAAACAGTTAAGGGTGGCTAGCAATGGGGTCCTATTATCTCCTGCATAAATGTAGAGCACTGCTCAGGTTCTAATTCAGTAAATCACCGTTATAAGCAACCCCGCTACAGGGAATCTATGCGTTAATCGTTCGAAGCAATCCAACTAAATGTCTAGGATAGATTTTCATATGACATTCCCTGATCCCCTGATACAGGGAAATTTTATAGATTTACCTAATTCTCCCTACAAATTTCCATATAAAGGAGCAGAGTGGGGTCTTCCCACCAATTATATAACTTCTTAGAAAAGTAAATGGTCATGTACTATACAATTATTTAGTTCTAAACCTTACCCATACAACATATTAATAGCGAATATATGTATATTTCTTTATCACACTATACATTTCTACTAGGATACTCTCTACCACACAGCAAAACTAATAAATATATAATATAAATTATATAGAGTCTTCAAATTTTCTGGTTATAAGTAGTCTATAAAGGAATTTAACTATAAGCAATCCCCCGGTTAGAAGCAATTTAAATCGCTGGGTAAATTGATTGCTCATAACGGTTGTTACTGTATCTTTTTTTTCCTGCATGAATGATTGCACCCCGAAACGAACCCAGTCAGAGTATACATAAATTGATCCACAGATGTGCTCCACTGAACAGATTGCATTGACCGTCCGTGTATGTATTCCCAGTGAGAGCCCCTGCCATTGATCATGAAGGTTGCCGCAGGGCTTTACTATATGTTTGCCTACGTTTTCACTCTACTTACTCGCGCACAATTGACATATCGTAGTCGTTAAGTTCAGTTGTCTATAGATAATTTGACAGGGTCCGATCGGCCTGCATATACCAGAAGCTAAGAAAGTGAAGGCATACCTGCTAATGTCCCCTCGTGTTGCATTGTGACGAGGCAAGGCTGGTCGAGGCTTCTACTAGGGAACCTGCTTTATCATTACCGCCATTTGAATATTCCACGTGCTCACAGGATCAATTTGTCGAAGGCCCTTGGATAAGGGCGAATTATGGCGGAATAGCTCGTATCATTTACCTCATCATTTGCTAAAGTCTTATGTTAACGCAATAGTGCACCTCTCGTATATACAAGCGCTATATTGGTAGAACGCAGGCCCTTTACTGTAAACGTCTTCGCCTAGCTCCCGAACGGCTAACCAGCATCTATGAAAGATATCCAATATTTCATCGAGGACCTCATGTCGGTCGGCTAGTGTCCGTCAAAAGACTGTCCGCATGAATGAAACACGTTCCGAGCCCCTACTTTGTATTTTTGTATCTATCAATCAACCTACCGGAAGGACAAGAGTGTTGGTACAGATTCATCCCCAACTTCTCAGCAACGCGGAATATACAACCAATACATATGCCACGAGAACATGTGGCTGCCATGCGAGGTACTCGTAAATAGATCGTCGAAGCTCCCTCCAGCGTTTCGCTCTTGATCAAACTAAGTGCTACCCAATGAGGATAAGGGATTTAGATCTGTGTCTACTCGTCCAGAGATAGGAGGTCAGACATGCATGGCCCTTGGAGGATTGCTCGGTTTCTTACATCCTTGTTACTTTACACACCTTAAGAAAAAGCATTCATTCACCTCCCATTTATCTCGTTTTCTCTGGGGTCATCATATACCCCTTTCCCAATATTAAACTATATTGCACTGATCCTAAACAAAGTTAACAGATTAGTATGGATAATAATTGGGTTTATGAAGTTTAGTGCTCCTTATATTCATCAACAAAGCATTAGGTGCGAGCGAAGCATATACTATGCAATCATATTATGACGCTCTCCTGTTATATGCTTCACCCTTGACTTTATAAGATATTGTGAGTAGTTGTATCAGACCTTAAATAATTATAGGGGCCTAAACAATATGCAATACTATCCCATAGGTTCTCTTCCAGGGTGGTATATGTCTGATACTATAAGGGCATGCATCATGCGCGCTTGGATGCATGACAGCCAAGATATGACGTTGTAGCAGTGCCGTGAATCTTTTAATAACACGGACGGCATTCGAACTGTCGCACTTTACGTCATTTTATTTTAGTGCAAGCCACATAATAAATCAAACTTGGTGAGATGAAGCAAAAGGTGCTCACTTTCCATCTTCTATACAATGAGAATTCTGCCCAGTTGCCATTATCCTCACAGGATTCTATGTGGAAAATAAGGCGATCTGATACTGCCGATTAGTAGTGAACAAAGGCACTATGCAGGGAATTTGACTGCTGGTGTTTACTCTTTCGCCATATTCATGTCTTGATTCGCGGAGCATGTTCCTTGTTGAATGTGATTCTGGGTCCACCCTGACGCACACCGTGATAATGGAGCATTCGCTTAATCGGGGTACTTTACCTATCCGGGATTAATAAATGAGATACCTTGCTAATCTCACATAGCCTCTCGAGAAAATGAGACCAACTCGCTGTGCATATTGCCGGAAGAACTAGTCGAAAACGTCGTCGCTTCTCTGGGTACTGAAGATACTGGAATAGAATATCTGTGCGCCCTGCGACTAACCTGCGCGCATCTCTACGAAAAGTCATTGCATTACTTTGGACGCGTCGTGCTTCATACTGTACGTACAGACCTCGGCTTGATAAGCTTACAGCGACTTATGAGGCTGGCGGGGGACAATCGTTTGACGGATCATGTGCGCCACCTACTCATCAGGGGAGTTCTGAATAGCCGCATGGGCTTTGGTTTCCAATGGATAAGATATAATTCGGGTCAGCTAAATGTGAAACAATCGCTGGGGGCTCGCTGGTTGCGTCATGTCGTCCTCTCATTGCCTAACTGCAGGTCATTTTCTGTCCATCTCAACTACGGATGGAACGATTCATCGGAATATTCTCGCTTGGAACCCAGCGATGGTATAACCATGATCATGGACATCATTACAGAGACCGGCATCCCTGTGAAATCCTTTTCTGTGTACGCTCATCCGAGCAGCAGTGGGTTTGCCTTCAATGATGTGGATCCACGGTGCCTTCAGTTTGACATGCTCAGAAACTTGACCTTCATGGCTAGCTGGGCACACGTTGAGAAGCTAAAATTCCACCACAATTTCATTCCCGGCAATATCGGAGAATGGGTAGCCAGTGCTATCGCCCTTGCCCCAAAGCTCAAGACGCTAGAGATTGGCTTTGACTACACCCCCGACGCACAAATAATCACGACCCGTCTAGCATCCGGGCCTGTCGTACTCTCTGAATTGCAGGAGCTCACCCTTACCGAAGCGTCCGAAATGGAATGGGATGAACTCCTGACACTTCTCCGCTTTACATGCCGCACTCTGCGATGTCTGAAGCTGGAGCGTCTTCAACTAAAAGGCGGCACCTGGATTCCTCTGCTTTCTCAGCTTTTTCTGTTCCCTTTGCTAGAGGATCTTACCTTATTTTGGCTCAGTACTAGTCAGAGAAGAGTTCTGCATTTCGTTTCGCTCACGAGCTACCTCTGCGGTGCTCTACAGGGCGAAAAGCTCAAGCTCGACTGCAAGCAGTTTCGGGGTATCTTGAAAACCGTCTATGTAGCATATCGTGGCGCTAACATGTCGGTGTTGCTGAATGCTCTAGTGCAGTCCGCGCGAGATGATTAAACATTTGTGTACACTGGGAGGATTTGAATGGTTTTAGCGTTACGGATTACTGTGATCTGGAGAAAATGCCTTGCAAATTCGGTTCTAATGGACAGTGACCTATGACACGGAGCATTTTGCAAGGTGTCAAATGAGAACAACAGGATAGTATATCAAGAAATATTAGTAGAATCCTGGTGAATATATGCTACCAGTAGCAGTAGTCAACGTGTTTATTAGGCCAATAGAGTTGATAACATGGCCTTCTATGCAGTTGTGGTATCAACAACCGGTCGTGTAATTCCGAAAGAGCCATCTCAAAGAAAACATAGTAGTTACCGGAAAGTATTTCTACCAGGTATTAGAGCTACTTTATCGCTACATCAGTCCATTGAGGAGGTTCATGTGAAAAGTCTACCTCCAAGTCCTTTAAATTCTCGGGGCTCTATAGGGCAATTTCTCAAATCATCCCGTTGCTTCTTTGCCATTACTAGTCCATCCTGGTTTGACGGGAAAATCGAAGCACAACCATTATCTCTTTTACTGCCTGATTCAATTGTGTGCATATTCCAAGGCGATCTAAAGTTTACCAACAGTGTGCTTGATAGTTACTGACAACGGGGGTGATGATTGGTAACAATGGCCTCAGAAGAGGATTACCTCGTCACCAATCTTAGAGCAAAAGAATATTGGATTTTTAAGGGATCCAGACATAAAACAGACCACGCAGTTATGAACTTATACTCTCCAATTCTGTTGACGTCCGTGCAGCATGAAAAAAACGAGATGTGATTAAAGGCAATCACCAGAAAAAAGAAAGTTTCCAAATGCTCCCACGCGGATTTGAACCGCGGACCTCATGATTACTAGTCATGCGCTCTACCAACTGAGCCATAGGAGCTACTTGACATATACCGCTAAAATAATAAGCCAATTATACTAAAGAACATATCTGTCTACAATCATCTTCTTACAAGCAATCTCACTGTAGGAAGATGCGAGCTTCACAAACTAGATCTCACTTCAAGGAAACACGGTTACGCCTTTTACTTGTGTTTCACTTTTCTCCTTCCCTCTTCAGCTTTTTATCGTTGATTAAGTCAATTATCAGCCCTCTGCATAACATCACATTATCTTGGTGTCACGAAATAAATGGTGGTTGATACGAATATATATTAACCATCTGCGGCCTTCACCTCCACCGCTTTTTATCTCTACACAACAGTCAGACTACGGTACCAAACTGATACACACATTCGCAAATAATATCAACAAATTCGAAAAGGCTAACGAAATAAATACAGGGATATGAGATACGCGCCACGTTGCAAGCTACAGGATATCATAAACTCCAGGCTGGAAGAGCGATGCAGGATGACAAACACACCACAGCTAAATTTGATTTATTTACTTCGCATAGACAATTAACCTTATTTTCTAGGCCTAGTTATAAGCAATAAGGTATTTCTACTACCATGAACGCCACGTCTATATCTCACCAAAATACTGACATTCACAAAGAATGTACTCTAACGCATCTCATCGAGTGACGGTTTCACAGATACCCTGCTTTATGATCCCGCCCTCCTTTTGATGCCGTCCTCTTTCAATCTCACTGCATTCGTAAAAATGAAAAAAAAAGTAAAGCGGAAAAGGGAAGGATGGGAAGTGTCCACCTAGCGGAGTTACAAGGGCTGCGGCTTGTGAATGTTCCAAATAACCATTTAGAAGGTGATGGTGTATATGCAACCCAGCTGAGCATGATCGAAGCTAGACTTCACAATTTGGCAACTCTTCACTAAGTGTTTAGGCAGAATTCTACTCCGAAGAAGGTGAGATGGTTACGTGCTCATAGTATTGACTTCCCCATGACAAGGCTGTCGGATATCCCGAATGGCCTTCCACGGGCTGTCAAGCTCTACCCCGCACACTTGGCATCAAATGCCAGTATCGCTTATTTTTCTGATCGACAGTCAAATGTATTCAAAGTTTCCAATAGCCCCGTAAGGTTCTTTGATGTACCAGTCACCATTCAGACCCGAGAAAAGGAAATGCCATGCCGTGGGGGGAAAACAGTAGGGCTACATTAGTCCCGTGATAAGATACCGGAGATACCCGGTGTACCTTCTCCCCTTCAGGAAAGGTTTCATATATTCCAGAACGGGCTTATCAGTAGGCATGCGGGGAAATGAATCCGCCACGCCATCTAAGTCGCTGTATCTCTGTTATCAACCGGTAGCACAACCGACGTGGCGGTTTCTTATCTTGTCCGAGCACTAGGCGAAGCACTAGACTCTTAAACACAGAATGCTAGTCCTACCCCGTGATAAGCACTTCAAGCTTCCGTTCAAAATGCTTATAACCTGGCCCAGATCATGCTGGGTTGTCCATGTGGCCTCCTTTTTATTGATCCGCAACTCTGTGGACATTATCCGACAGAATTAACAACATGGCCTCCATAGAGGAGCAAAGCGACAAATTAGCCAAGTCGCAAATTACTACGAATGTGGAAGTAGAGCAGGGTCGTCTGGACGAGCTACCAGAAGACATCGACGAAAAAGTCGAGTACGACTATGACTCTGAACGGTCACCATTTCCCGAGGGTGCGTACGGCCATAGTGCTCAATTGCTTTCTGCTAACAACCCACATAGTTCGAGCCGTCGTGCCTGAAACGGACGATCCAGAGCTGCCGGTCAATACTGTGCGCATGTGGTTTCTTGGTATTGTGTTCACGATTCTCGGATCCGGTATCAATCAATTTTTCTCTCTACGATATCCCTCCGTACACATCGTTTCGCTGGTCGCAGAGTTGCTTGCCTATCCATGTGGTGTTTTCCTCGCCAAGGTATTGCCCGTGGCAACAATCAACCTTGGCCCACTGGGATCCCTTTGCCTCAATCCAGACCACCATTTCAATATTAAGGAGCATGCTATGATTGTGATCATGAGCAATGTATCCTTCGGATACGGAAGTGCAGACTCAACCAGCATTATTCAGGCAGCTGGCCCCAAGTTCTACAACTTCGGCCTCAAGGCGGGGTTTTCAGTTCTGATCGTTCTATGTGCACAGCTGCTGGGCTTCGGTGTTGCCGGGCTGGCCGCGCCCTGGCTTGTAGAGCCGGCTAGTATCATTTGGCCTCAGGTATTGTCAAACTGTGCCATGTTGGAGACACTCCATTCACGCGCAAATTCAGTTGCCAATGGTTGGAAAATATCCCGTTTACGATTCTTCCTATATGTAACTGCCTGCGGCTTCATCTGGTATTTCTTCCCAGGACTAATGTTCACCGCGTTATCGTACTTTACCTGGATTTGCTGGATCGCCCCGCGTAACGTCGTGGTGAACCAACTCTTCGGAATGCAGACTGGGCTAGGACTGAGCCCTATTACGTTTGACTGGAGTCAGGTCGCGTACAATACAAATCCACTTCTCTCTCCGTCGTGGGCGGCCGCGAATGTATTTGCCGGGTTTGCAGCCTTCTTCTGGATTGTAGTTCCAGGCATCTATTATACCAACACATGGTTCACGTCATATCTTCCTCTGATGACTAGCGACGTGTACGACAGGACCGGCGGCATCTACGACACAGATCGTGTGATCAGCTCACAGGGCACATTCGACCTTAAGGCATACAAAAACTATTCTCCGCCGTATCTGGGAGCCACATTTGCATTCGTCTACGGCTTATCCTTCGCCTCGATCACTGGTGTGCTCACTCACATCGGCGTCTGGCACTACAAGGACATCTGGGCTGCATTCCGAGGTAAAAATAGGCTCGACATCCATGCGCGACTTATGAAATCCTACAAGCAGACTCCATGGTACTGGTACGCAGCCATTATCGTCGCCATAACCGCTATCTCCATCGCCATGGTTGAGGTGTACAAAACCAAACTCCCCGTCTACGGAATTTTCCTAGCCCTCGCCATTCCCGCCGTATACATGATACCCTGCGGTATTGTCCAGGGAATCACCAACGTCAACGCAAACCAACTGAACGTTCTAGCCGAATTCATCGGCGGCTACATGTTCGAGGGCAAGCCCCTGGCTAACATGATCTTTAAAATTCTCAGCACAGACGTTGTCGGCCAAGGTATCTACTTCGCCATGGATATGAAACTAGGCCATTACTTGAAGATCCCGCCACGAAGCCTTTTTGTTGCCCAGGGAGTAGCTACCATTCTCGGGGCCCTTACTCAAGCTGGTGTCACCATCTGGATGCTGGGTCACATATCAGAAATCTGTTCCGGAAACCAACCCGATGGCTTCTCCTGCCCGAATGGTAGGACGACCTATTCATCCTCGGTTATCTGGGGCCTTGTCGGCCCTCGGCGTCTCTACTCCGTTGGGAAGATCTACTCTTCTCTTCTCCACTTCTTCTGGATCGGTGCCATTGCCCCACTCGCCACCTATGCTTTGTATAAAATCACCAAAAAACAGTACTGGAAATATGTTAATTGGCCTCTGATCTTCACGGGAACGGCTAATGTTCCTCCAGGTGAGCTCCCTCAACTTTCCTTTTCCATATCAGTGTCAAGACAAACTAACCAGGATAGCCACGGGAATAAACTACTCCAGCTGGGCACTCGTAAACTTCATTTTCAACCACTTCATCAAACGCCGCTTCTTCGCCTGGTGGACCAAATACAACTACATCCTCGCCGCAGCCCTCGACACGGGCCTCGCGCTGAGCGGGATAGTCATCTTTTTCTGCATATCGTACCCAGGCGCCGTATTCCCCAATTGGTGGGGAAATACCGTATACCAGAACACCGCCGACGGTGACGGTGTGCCATATAAGCAAATGCCGGAGATCGGGTACTTCGGACCAGCAAACGGAACATGGAGTTGATGGAACGGTTTCTCATATTTCATAATATATAATAAGCCTCAACCGCAGGCCGTGCATCTCATGCTATATACAACAGAATCATGCAACTGTACACTGTACACACCGGCCAACCGGCAACTGGCCGTCGGCGAACCCGGCTTTCGCTCTAAGCGAGCTTTCTGTACATCCCGGGGTATAATGTAACATAACCCTCTATCCCCATCTCCATCTCCACCTCAATCTCCAAGTCTATATATAGCATGCATATTAAGTTCCACCACAATAACTTACCCTATCCCAAATCCATCATCCCGTGTAACACCCAGCCCGAAAAACGGCATATCCCTCCCTTAAGCAGAAGTGCACTTGCCATTCTGGCAGGAGAGATCACCGTCGCAGTCATCGTGACTAGAGCAAGAGGCACCTGTAAAAATTCCCAAGAATAATAGTTTAGTTCAATGTTTACCCGCACCAAAAGACTAAGTACGTTCAATCCCAACATACCCTCACAGTGGCCCTCCCATTCGCAAGGCTTAGTCTGGTTATCAACAGAGCAAACACCCTTGATACAAGCAAGCTCATCGGAGCAGTCGTCATCACCTGAGCAAGAAGCACCTGAAAGAAAAGAAAAGAGAGAATAGAAAATTTAGCCTCCGAAATCAATAATAGGAAAAAACATGACCAAGTTTCATCTCTTACCCTTGCAGTGACCCTCCCAGGAACAGGTCTCTGCGTCTCCGTCAGAAGCACATTTTCCGTTCTTGCATGCGAGTTCGTCGGAGCAGTCGTCGTTCGTGGAACAGCTGGCACCTTTATTTTTACAATCCCTGGCTTTAGTGGTTTATTCTTCTTCTTGGTTTTCTCCTTCTTCTCCTTCTTTGGATGAGTTGGATGGGGGGTTGTTGTTGTCCTCACCGGCACAGTGACCCGGCCACGAGCAGGAGCCGCCAGTTGGCTCGGGAACACTAGTTGTCGTCAAAGTGGTGGGCGGGTTGCCGCCGCCGCCGAGGTTGAGGTTCTTAGCAAGGGCGCCGACGAGGCTGTCGCCCATGGAGCGGAGGGTGTCGAAGTTGGTGATGTAGTTCTCGTTCAGGGCGCTGCTGGGGAGAACGGCCTTATCGCCGGTGAAGACGATGTCTGATTTCATAGTTAGAGATATGTCACCAGTAGAAGAACAATGGAGGATGATAAAAGGTACGTACAAGTAACATCGGCAGCAGTGTGGCCCTTGTTACCGTTCAAGTCCTCCTCGGGGAAACAGGTCCTGGCCATCAACCAGGAGGCTTCACCGGTGACCTGAGGGCTATCTCCGTTCGAGTCGCCGAAGATACCGTAGTACATCTTACCGTTGCTGGAGATGGCATTATCTTAGCAGGTCCTCCCAGAACTGACGTGTATCCTGGGTAACTGGCTTACCAGATAACGGCAGCGACGGCGTTTCCTTTGAGGGTGGCCTTATTCGCATTTAGGAAGTTCTGGGGGATGACAATAAAGGGCACTTCGTATGCGGACAGTGCGCCCCAGTTGGTTTCGGGTTGGCCGTCGGGGTTACCCTGCGTTTGTTAGAGAGTTTTCATGGTGGTTAGAAAGCTGAACGGAGTTTCAAGAGTTGCTGTTTACCTTGCAGCCATGGTTAAGTCCATCACAGTCCACGTCCATGTCAGCGATGAAGGAGAAGGAGGCGCCCTGGTTGGTGCGTTAGTAATTGTATGCTCGTGAAGGTGTTAGACGTTACTTGCCTCGGCAAAGTTCGCCCAGTCACTGTGGATAGTGGACTTGGTAGAGCCCTCGCCGATAGGATAGGTAGCATGGGAGGGAACCTTGCTGGCCTTAGCAGCAGCAGCCTGGATAGCCGCAACAGGAATGGAGCTCGAAGCCTGGAAGAACTTCGCTGGGGGACCTCCGTCTGGCTTGTTATAGTCGGGCCCGTTGACCTTCTGGCCCATGGCCGTACCACAGACGGCCAGGGAGAGGGCAAGGCAGCTAGCGAAGTTCTTGATAGGCATAGTGAATAAGTCCGTACTCAACAGGAAAACAAGACAGTGGTTGTAGACATAAGGTGTTTATTGACATGGGCGCCATGGTTGGATTTATAGACGAACAGACGTGTAGGAAATTGGTCCTCCTCTATGGAACGTTCCTTTGTCCTCTAACTCAAAGTTCGTTTCGTGTGTTACGGGCTAATTTCCTGGCCGTTTCGAGACCGTGTCTGGGCGGATATAGTAGACTCTGACGACAAATGATTCGCCAGAGCCCTCGCCACTGGTACGCGAAGGTAGTACTTTGGAACGCCTCCAATCGCTAAGTACGATGTTTCACCGGATTGTCCTGTTATGCTGCGAGGATGAAGCATGCGGACCACTAGTTCCAGAAGGATCATATGAAAGTGCTTGACTTGTGTTTTTGCGATGCATACTAAGAATCCATTAGGTACTAGTCTGTCGGCACTGCCGACTCGGCAGGGTTCCGATGGACAGTCTCCACAGTTGGGGATTATTCATGAATCTCCCCAAAATTGGTCCCATAGCTAGCCCTGTCCAGATCTGCCGGATATGATCTCCGACCACATTAAATGATTCTTGGCTTCAGAGGATGACACTGTTTGACAGAGTCGATGTTGGGTCTAAATTGTTCTGCGACAGTTGTGCAACACAACCGTCGCAGAACAAAGAAACAGAACCTCTGGTGCATGGAGTGCACACCTCAGACCATTTTCCAGAACCGTTAGAATCTACTAGCAATAACTTCATGCAAGTGTAGCCATAGCGCTACGTTAGACTGGTGTAGGAACTCCCCGGAGGTTCCTGAATAGGTAGGTCAGTAAACACCAGACTTTACTCAGGGGTCTCGCCTCGACGCTAATGCTAACGGCGCGATATGAAGGGCCAATTGGTTCCAATGTGGAGTTTCAGGGTGGAGAGTCGATGAACTACGGCGCGAAGCGAGAGCGATTGCCGAATCTAGTTAATCCTTTTTTCAAATGATTTTCCCGAGGTCCCACATGAGAAACAAGAAGGGTCTGATAGCAAAGAAAACCTATACATCTCGTGGTGCTGGGGGATGAATAAACATTGCATTCAGTCTGCATAATGCAGGTACGCGCAAAATCTGCTTATCTCTACGTGTAACTATTGGCCAAGGGGGTCAGGTGATAGCGTGTTACCCTACAGGCGACGGCGGACAGCTCATTTTCTGCAGAGGCTGGACGCTTGCATTGTTGGGTAATTAATTGGGCCCAGTCTCGGCCCGGACAAGGAACATGCCATAGTCCAGTACGATACGAGGTTACATTGCATGCCGCCCCAGCTGGTCTGGGCTTGGCATGCATGAGAATAGCTGCTTATTGCCTGTTCGGACTCCGCACACGTTTCCACTTAACCATTATTTGAGCTCGTAAGGGATTATCGTGAACACCTCTGACTATGCCGGCAAATGACGATCCTAGGAGAACCTCGGGAATGAGTTCTCCATATCCTTACTAGGGGCGGCGGCGAAGGGGGAGCTTCGCCGAAATGCATATAAAATTACCGCACGACCCAGAGAAATGATGGCTGGAGACTCCTTGTAGACGACCACAGACCTCGCATCATCTCACAATGCAGTTGTATAAACTCTTCGCTGTTCTGGCAGCCCTGCAGCCGGCTCTTGCTAAGAGCCTTGTGGACTTCTCTGCTGCTCGCGGCGATAATCCTTCTATTCTCGGCGTCCGCAACCTGGAATCGGTGCGCGGTTCTAAACAAAGCGAGAACAGCAATGACCTCTACATCAAATTGGATAAGGATCCAAAGGGCACTCCTGCGTTGCATTTCCACCGCAAGAAGGACTATATCCGTACCGAGTACCACTCACTAAAGGATGAGATTGAGGTCGATAAGACCTATTACATTGGCTATAAGTTCTCCCTGGGAGCCATCCAGCAGAGTCTGATGATCTGGCAATTGTAAGTCATTTCCTTCAACATTATCAACGAAAAATTAGATTTTAAATACTGACCGGTAAAAAGCAAGGAATATTCTGCCAACAGCCACGGCGGTGCTAACATTCCTCTCTCACTTGAATTCAAGAGCGGTAAACTGAACTTCCAGTACCAAGCCTCCGGTGACGCGAAGCGCGAGTCCCAGTGGTCCAAGGAGCTGAAGACCGACACCGTCTACTCCATTGGACTCGTGATTAACACCTCCCGCCCCGGATGGGTTGAGCTCTACTTCGATGGCGAGCAGCAGACTTTCGGCTCCGGCAGCACCAGACTGAAGGCCAACACGTTCCCCGGCCAGGCGGACCCTAAGTTTGGTGCCTACCGTGGTGAGGAAGTCCAAATCGACACCTATGTCTACAACATCCAGATCGGAACCTCCATTGATGATATCAAGGAGGCTGCTGGACTGGGCTCGGCTCCTAAGCCTACCGCTACTTCTAACCCCACCCCTTCTCCTACTTGCGCCTGGGAGGGTCACTGCGAGGGTATGTCTTTTCTTTGCCGTGTGCTGCGTCAAATACTAACCCAGAAATGAATAGGTGCTTCCTGCACCACGGAGAATGACTGCTCTGACGAACTCGTCTGCAAGAATGGAAAGTGCACTGCTGATGGAGCTGTACCCTGCTCCTGGGAGGGCCACTGCGAAGGTAGATCTTTCCTTTCTCCCTGGGTATTTCCACTGAAAGTATTAACTCGAATATTCTAGGCGCCTCCTGCTCCTCAGAGAATGACTGCTCCGACGAGCTTGTCTGCAAGAACGGAAAGTGCACTGTCGACGGAGCCGTGACTTGCTCTTGGGAGGGTCACTGTGCCGGTATGTATCTCTCTTCTTACCTCTGTTGTTCCGATTAACTGACTGTGCGTAGGTGCCAAGTGCAGCACTCATGATGACTGCTCGGATGAGCTTTCCTGCACCAATGGTGTCTGTGCCTAATCTCAGTATATTAGGAACCTGTGTGTTAGCCCCTCTCGGGGGTGAATATCTGATGGCTTGACATGAACAGAATAAAATACAAATCATCTAAGCAAGATATGGTATGAGTAAACACAGTAATACAAATATATCCCAACGCTAAACCCCCACCCTAAAGCAAAGACACCCTGGTCTAAACCGAATCGTTCTTTCAGACAGTGTTTTTAGAGCAAACATGCCGAAAAATAGACATCACACTATATGTAAATGATGAACAAACGAAAAATATAGAGATACCGTCCCACAACTCAGTGAACAACCCCAGCGAGGTATAATAATACTGTATACAGAAAATTAGACATGTTATTGACATGGTCAGAGAATAAACATAGGAAGCCAGGTGTGCTCGCTGGTAGGTCTTTCCTGGATCAATCGCAAGCCTAACGACTGACATGCGATGACGCTGCGATGAAGTGATTGGGTCGAGATAGTCGATGACCCAACCCCAAGGGATAGGGACGACACTGGCCAGGGCGATGAAGACCGAGATCGCCGGCGCTGCTACTGCAGGGGAGTAAGACGAGGCTGCCGTACTGTTCTATCTTCGTCCTGTTTTCGTTCTATTACCGGTCTTTCTCTTTTCCTATTTTTCCCCGGGGGGTTTGGTTTGAACCTGTTCTTATTGTCCTTTCCCCTAAAAAGACACAGCTTTCAAACTACTGACCGAAGTGCTGCTACCTTTAATTCTATACACATTTCAGACTATGTGTGAGGGTGCCGGCTTTCAAGACTAAGACCGACGACTTAGTTGTCCCAGACTCCACCGTTTGCGATGTAAGCCTGTTGCTGGTATTCGGTTCTTCAATTTTACTAACCAAGGAAATTCTAAAGTCGCCTGATGCCAGTTGTTCTGAGCTTCAGCGCCTCTACATATCAACCCCCTGCTAACCCTGGACTGTCTCGTCGCTCAGTCAGTCTAGATTCTAAGCAGTGCAATCAATTGAAGTTATTCAGGTAATTTAAATAATCTAGATCTTGCAATCAACCCAATCCGTTCAGACAATCTAGGCAGGGCGCACGCCTTGCCAGCACTCGAGCTGGCCCTAGTAAGATGAGAAAGTCAAACAACAGTTCGATGACACACCATATCAAAAGGTGATACAAAAACATACAACAGGAGGGATTCGCTGGTGGTCACCCACCCAACTACTAACCTCCCGGCGTGTGGCTTGAGTACGGCTGAGCGGACGGGAAGCCCTATTTTCCACACCCTGTGGTCGTATGTATCAGATTTATACCAAGACTAGTAATCAATCAAGATTTAACGAATATTGACCGTTAGTACAGGGCGAACGACCTCTACCGACATTTGCAACTCAACGCGGTCCTTCTTTTAAAATATCAAATTCACGCATGCATGTCTCTCCGTGGTTGTTAAATTGGAAAAGAAGCTGGCTGGAATGGCTTTCATTGAACATCAAGGTCTCCCCAAGCAGGTATCGGAATTTGTATTGATTTCACTTGATCTCATCACTGCGGAGAGAGCTCGCAGATTGTCCACGCAAGCGATAGCATCGGTACCTTGCTGTATTTAGCATATAGTCTACGTGCTTATACAGTGTACGTTGATAATTCCTTGGGCCAGGGAGGGGATACATATAATATAAGTAAAGTGCTAAGCCTAGATGAGAAATACAGCGGATAATGACAAGATGCTTCCTTATCAAGCTCTCGTGGTTCCTATACAGAAATGATTGCTCAAAAGTTGCATGATATGTATATTGTAGACGCAGTAATGAAAGCTAAAACTGTATAATTTTATTATCAACGAACTACCCGCTAATATGATTAATATAAGCATTGCGTTATCAAGCAAGAAGGGGAAGAAGAACAAAGAGGCAAAAGTCAAGTGATCGCTGCCTGCGAATATATATATCCTGTTGGTGAAAACAACATACTCTTTCTGTCTAGATACAAAAGCTCGGCCAAAAGAATATCAACCAGCCAGCTTAGCCGACTGGTTTACTGCCAAGCATCATTGGTCTAGTGGTAGAATTCATCGTTGCCATCGATGAGGCCCGTGTTCGATTCACGGATGATGCACTGACTTTTTTGCTCTTTTGATTTTCGCTCATTATCCTGGAAATCAACCGTCTGCTCTGAATAGTCCGCGAACAGGGATTACCCTAACGTAGTCTCCTTCGAAGCGCATGCTCAACAACACCACGGCTGTCTCCCATCATACATTATACTCCGACGAAGCTCTAAGATTCCAACCCCATGTACCTACTTGAAACTACACCATATTACCAAACATTCCCCCTAGTCTGCTCCCTGTCCAACTTCTTGACATTAATATCCTTCCAAAACCAAACACACCCAATACAAAGCGGAACGAAACAAACACCCGCAATAACCATCTTCCTTTGCACATCCGCATAAGCCCCCACGATAGCCTCCCTCTCTGGTGACCCATCCGCATAGGACATCTGCATGACCATATCACTGAAGATCGTGGCACTGATATTCTTGGTCTCCTCGGGGAGCCTTCTGTACAGTTCACCGGGCAGGATATTATTCCACATTCCACCGGCGATGGCTGATCCGACGGCCGCACCGATCGAGCCGAATAATCCCCAGATGGCGACGACGACGGCGATCTCTTGGTGTGTTACTGGCGCCATGATGGCTAGTTGGCCGCAGACGGTGAATATGCATGTGCCTAGCCCGACGAGGATTTGTGTCATGGTTATGATGCCGACGTGGGTGTCGGGCTGGCGGAAGGGGATTAGGAGGGCGGTGCCGAGGAGCAGGATGGGGATGCCGGTGAAGACGGTCCATTTGAATTCGCCGGTATAGCGGATTAGACTGTTGTTGTTAGATGTTTGCTTTTGTGGTGATGTGGGTAGGGTGAGGGGCTAATATCCTTACAGGCCGAAGATTGGGCTGAAGATGTAGCTGGTTAGGGAGAAGGCGTTGAGGACATAGTTGGCTGTTGTTATGTCTAGTCTGTGGACGACTTGGAGGTAGGAGCTGAAGTAGCTGTTCCAGGTGCTGGTTTGTTTGTTAGGAATGTGTGCAACATAGAAGGTGGTTTCCTACGGATGGCGGAGTAAAAGACTTACAAGCACGAGATGAACATAACGCAGTACAGAAGACAGGAACCAATGATCGTCGGTTCCTTCAAGTATTTCCAAGGGAGGAATTGGACTGGGGAAAGGTATCTCTCCCATGCATAAAATGCAGGGATGCAAACTACCCCGAGCACTTCCATCGCAATGATATATCCACTTGCCCATCCCTTAGGGGCATACGAGGCAAGACTGAAGGGGAGAAGAATCAGGGAAAAGACCGCCGTAATCAAGACGATTCCAATCACTAGAACTCTTTCGTTAGTCACAAGGAGTAACTTAAGCATCAAATCCGAAAGAAATACGCACCGTCAAATTCGATGAAATAGTGGATGATAGATTGCCACCAAGTCCGCTCGGAGACCCTCTTCTCGAGAGTACCAACCTTTTCGGCTCTCCGCTGCATGTACAGCATAACACCCACAACAGGGATAGAGGTACCAGCAGTCATAATTGCGAAAGCGCCAAATGCCCAACGAAAGTTGAGATTGGTGTAGAATAAACTTGCGATCCTGGGCCCAGCAAACGTGCTCGCGATGCTCGGCGTTCCGTTGATACCGAGCATAATCATTCGGTTTTTGAGGGTTGTCATGTCTGCCAGCATGATATCAATTACATACATCATACCAATATGGCCCACCCAATAGAGGGTATGCGCGGCCACGTAGGTTTCGATATTTTTGCAGGTAGCCTTCATTATCAAGCCTATCACGACGATCAGAAGCATGAATAAGAAACCTTCTACACGCCCCCAGATATCAATTATCTTGGCCAGAGTGAGCTTCGAGGAACCGCCGAGAATGGTGGACATGATGCTGACAACTGTGAGTAACCCATGCTTGTGGAATGACGATGTGATGTATGGATTGAGCGAGGTTTGGACGGAAACTAGAAGCATGTCGACAAAAGAGACAAGGTAAAGACTGCATGAGTATAAGCACTTGATTCCATCCAGCCCGCAATATGGCTGGAACTCGAGATCAATTGAGAGCAAGACTTACAGGATGAACATGAGCCACATCGTATTCTTGGACCATAACGAAGTGATGGCTCTCACTCGCTGAACGCCGCCTTGAAACAAAGTGGACTCCTTGTCCGAGATACTCGAATCATCCCTTGGGGTTTCTTGTACGATGCGATCGAGACCCGCATTGTTTTCCGTATCGTTTCCCGTATTGCTAACAAGTTCAACCTGGTTCGGCGCGACGGCCTTCGGTATGCCATCAGAGGGAACACCACCCATGACTGGCAGATGCAGGGACACACAGGCGTATAGAATGAGGCGGCTGACGTGGTAGGGGTAAAGGAGGGGATAAAGAGGCGAAGTTCAGATTTGTACGGGATTTGCAGCGCACTGCAATCTCAGTTCAGCAGCCAAGAGTGCCACAACAATAAGCGCCTGCATATACGCCCCCCTATCAGATGATCAGATAAGATATACGCGAACATATTGCCCAATAATGTGTTTACTGTGCTTTTAGCGCGAGTTTAGTATGGAACTAGAATACGAAAAGCGGGATTGGCGCCAAGGGTCCGAAAACGGAGGCAGTCAACTTGAATAGCTTTTGGAGCCAAGTCCTATACAATCAAAAGGCAGTGCATAGAATATCACACCACCAGGAAAGAATAAAATTCTTAGTACTTCTTAGCTACAGGATGATCTCGAAGAATCAAAAGCAGAAGGTGAATGTAGGGCAAAAGTTTAGTCGTGTTATACCACTGAGCAAGCCGTGAGCGCTTTGGGGCACTCACTCGTGCTTCTCGAAGCACGCACCTCCTCGTGCCAAATTCCACGGGGCGGATCATTCGGCTAAATTCAACCCAACCGCTGTAGATGTCTCTATCTGAACGTGTTTTAGAGAGTTGATATAGCACTAATCTCCTCTTGATACCCCTCCAACAAAGCACGACGCTGTACCGTTCCCTTTGCTGTCGTTGGGAAGGGGCTATCAATGGACGCAACCAAAATGCGGTCCTTGGATATGTTGGCCTCAACAGGTAGATCATGATTAGTCTTCTCAACCAAGGGCCAGATACTGCTCACAAGGCCTTCTGGTGAGTGCGGGCAGCCTTTCTGCTTCCAGTCCGGCTCTATTATAAGTACTGCGCGGAATCTGTGATCTGCCGAGACCACAGCTCTGGCAATGAAACTGTGTGCTTCGAATATTTCCTCAATGGGATTGGGATAAAGACAAATTCGATTTTGCAGCTTGCACATATTGTCCTTCCGACCAGCATTCTTCCAGAGCATTGGATTCTGAGGGTGCTGGATGTAGAGATCGCCGGTGTGGAATTCAGATCGACCAGCAAGAACAACAAAGACAGCATGCAAATAAGGTTCAACAGAGCGTCTGAACACCAGCTGGCAATATCCGTTGCCTTCGTCCTGCATGTTGATGGGATAGTGGGGGTTCCATTCAAAATACTCCCAATCGTTGCGTTGTTGAGGGCGCAGTGTATGGAAATAGCCGGCTTCAGTCAATCCGATTGCCGATTGCAGACGTGTCACTTGCGATATTTCATGTCCTACTGCCCGGGGTAAAGGCATGCCAACAAAGCTGATGCACCGAAGGCCTGCCAGGACATTAAGCACTTCTTCAGACGTGCCCAAATTTACTAGGGTATCTGGTGTGAACAGGGCGGACTTGGCCCCAGTTTCAGCAAGAACCTGCTCCAGTAGCGGCGCTGTTAGAGCCACGTCCGGGCTGATAACAAAGTGTATCCCGTGGAGCAGTGCAGCTGCCCAAGTGATGATCCCGGTTGCATGGAATAAATTGGTCTTTATCAGATGTGGATCCTTAGGATCACTCAACCACGGGGCAGTCGATACCCTTCCAGGAGGTACTGGGATGTGCTGAAAATAGTCCAACGCTGTAAAATACCCGTGAGGCAAAATGATCTCTTTCGGCAACCCTGACAAGCGATAGGATTCGAAGTCAACCACGATGCCCGCAGAATCTGGGCGAAGGGAACTTACCTGTGGTTCCAGAGCTGTAAAGCACAGCAACCGGCTCTTGTTCTCCGGCCAGGGTGTATTCAGAATTGCAGGGGAAGGGAACTCTTGGGCCGTCAAACAGCCTCCAAAGATCTGCCACTTCCCACAATTGGACCTCTTGATTGCAGCTTCGAATCATTCGTGCTTTCTCGGAGCATTCGTGCGCGTAGAGCACTTTGGAGAGTTTTCCAGATCGTATGAGGCAGTCTGCGACCGTCTTCGATGTGACTGGGGGGAGGAGAACGGTCTTGGAGCGTTTTGGTCAGCGTTGATATGCAGAAGGCTCCAGGCGGCATCACCTACACAATGGCCGAGTTTCATACACGCAAGCATGCATATGGTGTACCGAATGTCATTTGGTCCTATATAAACAAGCCTCTCCGGAGTCGACCTTGACGCAATCGTCTTTTCTAGCCACCATGCGAAATTGTCCACTGCGGAAGCTAAGGCACCGACAGTCACCCGGCGCCATCCATGATCGGCGCATCTGAGAGAGGATGAATGTATACAAAATAGACGGTCGGGATTGTTGACAGCCTCCTGGTCCAGTGCATGGGTTAGGAGGCGGGGCTGAAATTTCCAAGCTGTCATTGTGGTGAAACTGAGTGTCCTTTCAACGCATGAGCTTCAATTTACGTTCTGTCTTCTCTCAACGCGTAATGTGCAGGGGTAGATGGCTAATATATTGACCAGGTTCCACTCTGATCCACAGTGTGGTCAACATTGGCTCTTCAGTCTTTACCCTCTCCTTCTCTTGTCCTATTTACTGAAGGGGAGTGATTACTGTGCATTTCTGCAAATCATACTATGTATCTGCGACTAGGGTATCGTGCCCTGCGTCCCCCTACGTCGTATGGTTCCACCCAGAGCTCATTATTGGTGAAAACCATCATTCTGGTAGCGATCAGAGACTAGTCTATTTCTCAATCGAGCATGCGAGTGGAATTGATTATGTAGTCCAATAATGCGACACGAAGCAAGGAGGTTGTTACCTGGACAACAGGAGTCATTTCGTAGAAAGGAAGATCGACATACCCTTTATAGACTGTTAAATCGGTTACCAAGTTTTATTATATATCCTCAGAGCTCATTGAAAGATGGCCACCACCACATTAATCTCTCCTTGGTTCATACTGCATGCCAATCCCTTGTTGAGACAAGCATACGCCATATTTTCAAGCTATCCCCATGGTTGACCCCAGACAAAGCCCGGGCACGTCGTCAAGGAATATTCACAATGAACGAACAGCAAGCGATGGCCGTGCGATCGACCTGAAATCCCACTCGATATCGGAGACTCTGCCGCCTCCCGAGGCATCATCCAATGGGCCGAACGAGCTCCCTTCCACAGACACTACAGTACTACCAGACGAGAAGACCGGCGGTGCGGAATATTCCATCTTCAGCCGCCATGAGAAAGTCTGCTTTATCTCCTTCACGAGCTTCGGTATGGTGGTCTGTATGATGGGAACTAACAGCTATCTCCCTGTACTGCCGATACTCGAACACGAATACCGCGTGACGCCTACACTGATTAACCTAACGATTACTGTATTCAATATTATACAGGGGATTGTGCCAGCTTTGATGTCTACGCTTTCTGACCTTCATGGGCGGCGCCTGGCATGGATTCTCGCACTATCAATCTATATCATGGCAAATATTGGCCTTGCGTTACAGAAGAGCTACGTGGCACTGATTATCCTACGGTGTCTTCAAAGTGTGGGCAGTAGTTGTGCGATCCCATTTGGATTTGCCTTTGCTGCGGACATTGCATCGCCTGCGGAGAGGGGCAGATACATAGGTCCCATGCATGGCTGTGTAATGGCTGCATTCGCATTTGGACCGGTCATTGGGGGATTGCTAGCGAGCCATCTTGGCTGGAGGAGTGTGTTCTGGTTTCTAGCCATCAGCAGCGGGTGCTTTTTCGCCTTATACGTAATATGTATCCCAGAAACTGCTCGGACCGTGGTTGGGAATGGGTCATTGACTCCGCATAATCGGTGGAGGAGATCGGTCATGCAGAATTGCCGGTATAGCCAGCGCAGTTCTATGGGCGAATGCTCTCCGAAGGACGAAAAGCACTCTGGCCATGGCCAAAGAAAGGAGGATGCAGCGACTACCTTGTCGACCGTATTCAGGGCATTTATCATCCTCAAACACAAGGAGGCCCTCATTCTGATCGTATACACCAGCCTGCTTTATTTTGGAATATCCGCTCTGTGGGCGACGACTGCAAACAACTATGGCGAGCTATACCAGCTCAGTACTCTGCAAGTCGGGTTGTCCTATCTGTATGTCATCCCACCCGTGTTTCAGTTTCGTCCGTAAGAGACCAGGAAAGCTCACCATACATTTCCAATTCTAGCCCTTTTGGGATTGCTGGCGGCCTTGGCTCGGCAATTAGCGGGAGACTGGTTGACCTCAATTACCGCCGGATTTCCAGAAACCGCAGTGCGGCCGGTGACCTCCATTCTGTCGGCAGTGACAGATCCGGAGATTTCCCAATCGAAGTAGCCAGGCTACAAATCGCGCTGCCTCATATGTTCCTGGTTGCGGTGGGCTTTGCTGTCTATGGCTGGATGGTGGAGAAACGGCTGCCCCTTGTGGTACCGCTTATCTGGCAGGGCATCATCGGGCTGTGTGGAAACTCATTATTGGGAATTCTATACACCCTCCTGATAGATCTTTTCCCTGGTCAGGCGGCGGCGGCTTCGGGAGCTGCTGACTTCATCCGATGTTGGCTGGGTGCCCTCTCTGCCGCCCTTATCAATGACATGTTGTCTAGTATGGGGTGGGGCTGGTGCTTCACGCTGATCGGGCTACTTCTAGTTGCTATGTTACCGTTGATTGCTCTTGAATATATATACGGTATGTCTTGGAGACAGCAGCGAGAGATGAGCCACTCATCTGCCCAGAGTAAACAGGGCGACAGCTGAGATGAGAGGGCATCGTCGACTAGAAACGTTGACAAGCTGTTTGTAAAGGCGTTAGAATGCGGTCCTGGAAAGGGCATGGCTGGTTAGTGGGCCTGTCAGAGAGGGTGGAGGCCAACCTTGACAGATAGAGCGCATTCGCGAACCAGATAGAAGACCCTCCTGCGTTTAGATCGCGCAAGATAGTCGGCACCGCAGTCGATGTAACGGTGGCTTCAACGGCGAGGTGTTTGACAGGCCGGCCATTATCAGCCCAGATCGCCAACCATGCGACAAGGACGTTACATCCAACAACAAGGACAAATATTCCATGCGTGATCCATGTTCCTGGTCGGTACTTCTCACTGGTTTATAGACTACATGCATTAATGTACTACTAATTATTTGTTTCTTGTTGCGCCTCATCTGCCTTACCTTTCCACCGCGGCCCCACGCATTGCTGCAAGGCGACGATCTCTCCATTTCTGGCTTAGGGCCTACATTTAGGATAGAGATTGAAGATTCCGAGCCGAAATAAATCTCTTTTCTCTCCACCTCCCTTGTACCAAATGGCAGTCTTACTCAAAATCGTTAGAAAACTTTTGTATTATGTCGATCCCACTCAACCAAAGTGCCATGATATCAAGTTCGCGCATTGAACACTTTATCCCCAACATATTACAATCTCTGTTACAATGCCTCTCCTCGATCTTGCAGATGAATTACTACTTCTCATTATCAACAAATAAGATAGTGAGAAGGATATCCTCTGTTTCTTAGTAACGGACTCCCGAATCTAGGCTATTCAAAGAATGGGCCCCGTATATAAATATAACATCAAGTTTTCGGAAAGTTCGTCTCTGCTACGGTATACAAAGAAAGGAGATATAACAGCTGTGGAGAAACTACTTGAAAAGGAGCCGACCTTGAGTGCAGAGCTGGGGATTTTGAAACACCATTAATATTGCCTGTTATTTACGAATATAAGTATATTGTTAAGCTGCTCATTGCGAAACCACTTAGATGTGCTGTTATAGAAGGACATAATGGTGTGACTAAGCTACTACTTGAAAAGGGTGCCGACATGGAGTGCAAATCTAATATTCGTGCTACACCGTTAATGTCTTCTGTCAGATGGGGGTATACAAGTATAGTGAAACTCCTGCTTGAAAGGGTGCTGACCCCGGGGGCAAATATTGGGACGGCAACACACTGCCTCAACTTGCTTCTCGTCATGGACACGGAGACCTGGTTGGGATGCTGCTTGGAAAAGGGTGCTGGTCTAGAATACAAGGATGAGGCAGGTAGTACACCACTGATGTATCAAGGGACTTGTAGATTCTGTCAGATTAAACACGGTTTATAGATAACGTAATCAACATACAAAATACAGCTAGGTCGTCACAAATCTGTAGGGTAAGCCCTAGGTGTAACAGGGAGAATCCCTATTCGATTAAGAGCCTAACGAACCGTTTGGTGCTATCTAGCTGCTCACCAGTTTACCAGAACCACCTCTTCTTCGCCCCTTCTGGGGGATAAACCACGATCCGATCCAAATCTGCGCCCTTGAAATCAAACCCATTCCACAACCCGCCAACCGTAATTGTATTCTCCCCGTTCTTCAATGGCAATAACAGCGGGGTGGAGAGAATAATACCCTTATGCGTATCTTTCTGGTATAACGTGTGTACGTTCTCTGTGTCACCATTAACTACCACGCTGCTGATCCGCCGGAGTTGCCAGGTGCCGTTTATGCGGTCAGGCTGGCCCATTGGTTGATCACCGAAACCCATGTCGTCAATGTCTGAGGAGTTGTTTAGTGAGTGTGGAGTCGGTTTGGGGAAGAGAGGAGGGAACAACATACTTTGGTGGTAGAACGATACCCATTGGTCTTGGCCTTGGCCTTGCACAGTGAAGGTGATTGTGCTGTCATTACCGTAAATGCCGGTAGCGATTCGGTTTCCGCTAGCGAATGTCTGGAGCAAACGCCGGTTAGTTTCCATGTCAGGTTGTATGTATGCTGTGGTGAGCTTACCGCCTCTTGTAGGTACGCATCTCCAGCGGTCCTTGCGTGTTTGGAGATGTATGTCTCTCCCTTGATGGGCTTCCATTCACCGGTTTTGCTGCACATACTAAATCAATACTTGCACTGGAAAGACGTTGAGCATGCACGTACATGTTCAGATCGTAAACATCATGCCAGACAACCTTCAAGCTACCTTCGCGATTATCGATTTCAATAGGAAGCCATACATTCCGGCTCTCCCACAGCGAGTTCATGTCCCACTACAGGATTGTTAAATCTGGTCAGTGCTAGGCTGTTGCAACTAATCAAGTAATGTGAAAGACATACCTGGTCGGCCATATACAAGAAAGTAGTCTTCTTAGTCCCCTCGATTCTCCAAGAGAACCCAGACTGCGTACTGAATGTACGGGTATATGCCAGGGAAACGAAGAAGGGCTGAGACCAGGGGCCCTCAAGCTTGTCAGCGCGGAATGCTACCACATCTGCATAATGCATCAGCCTACAGTCTCTCAACATTTCTCAATAGAATGCGAAAGGACATACTATTAGGCCGATACCCAGTCTTGTGGCTCATAAGCGCATAGTAACTATTCTCTGTTTGCAGGATAGTAGGTGCCTCAAAGTCATACTTGGGAAATCGGTAAGTAACCTCCTCAACAGCTGTGAGGTTGCTATTGAATTTGCTGAGATAGACGTCGCGGCCCTCAACGCTATCGCCGTTCGAATAGAGGGCATACGAGTGACCAGATTTGTAATCCGTAAACGCGCCAAAGTCCTGGGACCAATTACCCAAGGGAGAGGTAGCATCCACGAAGGTATAAGGGCCAGCAATATTGTCGGATGTTGCAAGACCTTGGAGGAGCCAAGAGTACTTGTCATCATCAGCGTGCCACCACATCTGTCTGATTCTTAGCAGTTTTTTTATATGGGCAATGAAGGCGGGCCTTACATGATATTGACCGGTCTCTTCGCTGTATAACACCTTCGGACGCTGGATGCGATTATGCGGTGAGATATAAGTATGGTTTTCAATGGGCTCTGTGGCCTGTTAGAGTGCCTGTCGATCTTTTGGAAACTTGGAACTCACTGAGAGCGAGCCCATGCGACTCCCAAGTAGCAAGATCGTCGGAGCTATAGACGGAGATCCCACCACCTTCAACTTGACCCTCGACTTTGTACTCCCCAAACCAGTAGAACTTGCCAGTTTCCTGATCAACGCAAAGTCCTCCGGCATGAGCATTGAAGATGTTGCCGTCGGTATCATGCCATCGTGCGCCAGGAACAATCCATTTAGCATTAGCACAAGCAGCAAGTGCTAGGAGAGTGGAAGCAAATCTTCGAATGGCCATGATGTCTCAGTTCTAAGACGCTCCACGGTGTTACAAATTCAGACAAGGGATGTGTGGCGAGGAACACTGAGTGCTACAATCGACACAGCGTCCTATGTATAGTCTTTATTGTATACGCCATCCAAGCCCTCTAGACCTACTATGCAGCTTCCTTGACCCTAGCTATTAGAGTTCAACTCTACCCCTCAACATCGGCGGAGCAATACCCCGAGCAAAAGGTTCATTTATCTCAGACCTCATGTAGTTCGGGTAGAAACTGTGGTGACTTAATCCGCTACTGCTCAATAGCCGACTGCCAAGCAGAAAAGCTGTACCCGGTCTGCAACCGAGCTAATAAAGACGTTAGACAAGAGCCTAACTTCGGGCAAGCTCGGTTGAGGGTTTCTAGCTAGTGTGTGGGGAAATATCTTGGAACCCCGTACCTTACCCAAAGCCAAACATCGCAGCGTCATTACTTAGATGATAATTATCTGATCACCGTTTACTTCGTGCTAAGCGGACGAATGATATACTCTAAAGTAGGGTCTTGCCATAGCTCCGTGTTAGCTAAGCGGCATAGAGGATTCGGTATATCTTCTTCCACGAACAAAACCTTCGCTATGTTGTTAGGGTTCTAAAGCGTGGGGGCACCAGGCTGTCTCGTCCTAGCTGGGTGTTGCTATATCATTGCTCTCATGGAATTCTACTTGGCCTGGGTAAACAGAAGACGGGAATCCATTAGGGCTTGATACCTTCTCCGCGGGAAACCCAGACCGGATTAGTCAGAACCGCAAAATGAAGGGTTTCTACATAGTCATCCTATTTCTACATGGATTTGCGTTGGCGCTGTTAGAGGAGAACATAGTTGCCTTCGAACCTATCGACGGTTCCATTGAATTTGGCAATGCTCCTATATTGCGAGATGCAAGCGATCCGGTGGGTGTCAAAATTGCTGTGGACAGTTTAGCCGGTGACCTGGAAGAAGTGACTGATGTCAAGCGTCGCGTGCTCGTTTGGAATGAAACTGCATCCGTTGTTCAAGCAGAGCCGTCTACCTCTGGGTTAGTTATAATCGCGGCAACACTCGGCTCGCCATTGGTATCTCGGCTTGAAGAAGATGGCAAGATCAATGTTGATGATATCCGTGATAAATGGGAGAGCTTTCGCACTGTTCTTATCGATAGTCCTCTGCCTGGGATCAAACATGCTCTCGCAATTGTTGGTAGTGACAAGCGAGGAACTATGTTCGGCGTCTTTACGCTCACGGAACAGATTGGAAAATCCCCGTGAGTTACATTCTGGGTTCATTCCTCTGCGAAGGCTGACCAAACCCCTAGCCTCCATTGGTGGGCCGATGTTCCAGTCATAAAGCACCAGACGATTTATGCCCTGAACAAAACTACAACACAGGGAGAGCCCAGCGTCAGGTATCGCGGTATATTCATCAACGATGAGGCGCCCGCTTTGACAGGCTGGTGGGCAAAGCATGCCAGTGTGGACGATTATACCTTCAGTGCTGAGTTCTACGAACACGTCTTTGATCTGTTAGTTCGTCTCAAAGCCAATTTTCTGTGGCCGGCTATGTGGGGATCTTTCATTCCTACCCCTGGCAGAAGCTTTTTCACGGATGACCTGCGTAATCAACAGCTTGCGGATGATTACGGGATTGTTATATCAACTAGCCACACTGAGCCAATGCAGCGCTCTTCTAATGAGTGGAAGATAGACCCGACACGGGGCGCCTGGAACTGGCTTAGCAACAAGGAGAACGTTGTCAAATTCATGGAAGAAGGCGTTAAACGTGCGGGTGATAATGAGACTTACTTTACACTAGGCATGCGCGGAGAAAATGATAGTCCTATCGAAGCGGACGATCCTATCGCAGTGCTGAGGGATGTGTTTAGCACTCAAAGAGAGCTGCTTGCCAAGTATCATGGCAATAATACCTCTCTACAGGCATGGGCAGTCTACAAAGAGGTTATGACCTATTACACAGCTGGTCTGGTTCCTCCCGATGATGTGACATTGATATTCCCCGATGATAATTGGGGCAATGTTCAACGACTGCCTACGGAGGAGGAGCGACAGAGGTCTGGTGGTATTGGTGTAAGCTTGTCCTCCCCTTTTCTAGTAATGATCTTTTTCTTCTAAACGTACTGTCAGCTTTACTACCACTTTGACTATGTTGGTAGACCGAAGAGCTGGAAATGGCAAAACAACAACAATCTGGTTAGTCGCCTCTTATCTCGTTCAAGGTAACTATTGCCTAAACCTCCATAGCCCAAAGTATACAAAGAGCTGTCACAAGCCTACGAGCGGGGAGCGAACAGAGTTTGGGTCATTAATGTTGGCGACATCAAACCTATGGAAATTCCTCTCTCATTCGCCCTGGATCTTGCGTGGAATGTGTCCCAGTTTGATTTCAACACCATCCCCTCATACCTCAAAGCTCTAGCTACGCGAGATTTTGGTAACGAGTACGCCGACCAGATTGCATCGGCTCTGATGGAATATAGCCACCTAGCGGGTCTGCGCAAATTTGAAATGCTGGAACCAACGACATATTCCATCCTCAACTTCCGAGAGGCCGAGCAGGTGCTCGATGAGTGGAGAAAGCTGGCCGAGAAAACACAAGAAATTCAGCAGTCCTTACCTAGCGACCGCCACGATGCTTGCTATCACCTCCTAACTTATCCTGCGATGGCGGGATTCAACTACTACCAGACAATCCTTGGCCAGGGCAAAAACCGCCAATACAGCTTCGAACGCCGGAACTCAGCCAACATGGTAGCGGGACACGTACTCGAGTACTTTGAGGAAGATTATGACTTGACATTGGAGTATGACAACCTTGCAGATGGCAAATGGGAGGGCATCATGTCGACTCCCAAGTTTGATATGGGCATTGCAGACTGGCGTCCCTCATCACGCGACGTCGTCGCTAATCTATCGTATGTGCAGCTACGGCAGGACTTTGATTACGCATTTGGCAACCTGGGTATCTTCGTCGAGCAGTCGCTTAGTGCATATCGCCAAGGTCGGATCTGTGGGTCTATCAATCCCTCCCTACCAACTGAGGAAGGCTTTTCACCAGTGCTCCCGCTTATGGATCCCTATGGTCCAGGATCACGGCTCATTGAGCTCTTCCACCGTGGAGACCATCGCAAGCCGCTCAAATGGTCCATCTCGACTCCCTATTCATGGGTTCATGTCTCGCAAACATCAGGCACACTCTCGAAAGAACACCCCGAGGAACGCCTCGAAGTCTCGATCGACTGGACCGCCGCCCCAAGCAACTTTACCGAAACGATTCAGCTACGCGTAGAATGGGAACCGTCTCCGTATTTTGATTTAATCCACATTCCAATCCGCAACCACCGCGTCCCGACCAACTTCACCGGCTTCCCTGAGTCGGGCGGCTTCGTCTCCATCGAAGGCCCGCATTTCCAACGCTCCTCATCGGATACTGTATCTTTCAAACATATCCCATATCTAGGGTCGCGATCTCGGTCTGGATCCATCGCACTCCGGCCGTATATGCAAGCTCGAGAATCTGAAGATGACGCAAAAGCTGTGTGGGTTGAGTACGACTTCTACCTCTTCAATTCCACTGACTCATTCAATGCGACTGTCTACGTCAATGGCGCCCTCGACACGGATCCCAACCTACCGATGAAATTCTCGTTATCAATCGACGGTCAAGAGGCGAACTTCACAAGACTACTGGGCGAGCCTGAAAAGGCGGGGGATACGCCTCCTGGATGGACAGAGGCAGTGGCGGACCATGTTTGGACGAGGGATATTGAGATTGCGGCTCTTGACCAGGGCCTGCATACACTCAAGTGGATGGTGAATTCGCCAGAGATATATCTGGAGAAGATTGTTCTTGCGCTGGAGGGGCATTTAGATAGCTATCTCGGCCCGACGGAGAGTGCACTGATGGGTTGAACCTGGGAGGTTTCACATAATTTGTCGAATTTGTGTAGTTAAGATGTAGGAGACTATAATTGTGTTGGGAAGAGAAAGACCCTGAATCACGGCATTTCAGCCGACAGTAGGATGACCAGTTTGGCAGCCGGGCTAAAGGATGCAGAACCCCAGATAGTCGACCAGTAAGCCAGTAAACTTCGATAAACTTCGGGTGATCCAGTACCGAAGCAAACTCATTGCATGGTCATTCCCTACCATTCATAGCCAAGTCCCATATGCACGGCGCCTTGGCATAGGATATTCCACAAATGGGAGACCAAATAGTCAGCTCGGCTTGTGGGATTTCTCACATTCATGCATCGAGCTCCTATACGCGTCTCCACCTCCGCATAATTCCCCGCATGTTTGAGAGTGTAGTGTCCGGCGTGAGCTACCCCGTATACATAACCCTCGGTCTATCAAAGCCAGCGCCCGAAACAGCTGTGATTTCTATCTTTAAATTAACCCAGCTACGCGTGGAATCAACGATGATCGAGTAGTAGACAATAGTCCATTCTTGCTCTATCCTTCAATATCCAACAGAAATGTTGCTGCCCTCACGGAAGGCGTTGACCTTCCTAGCTTGCCTCGCAAGCCATTCCACAGCACTCCTAACAACATCCGAGAACTCCACACACTTCAATCTCGCCAATGACCGCTTCACCATCGCGTTGGCTAAATCTAACGGTCATATCGTTGACGTCCAACTAGACAACCAAGATCTACTTGGACCGGTAGACGGCAACACCGGAAAGGGTCCATACCTGGACTGTTCATGCATCCCGTCGGGCTTCTGGACCCCGGGTAGTGGCGCTACACTGGACCTGATCAACGGCACTGATTCTACTGGCACCGCGTACGGCGGAGTTTACATGACCGCTACCTATGAAGGAACCAATCAGACACTATCGCAGTGGTTCTTCCTCCGAGGCGAAGAAACAGGACTCCATGCATTTTCTCGAGTCACGTATTTCAACGAGACCACGCCTTTCCTACGAAGCCTTGGGGAATTGCGCACACTTTTCAGGCCAAACACGGACCTCTGGACGCACTTCTCCACCAGCGAGGGTAATTACGGGCCAGTACCGCTTGACAGCACGTATGACAATGGGTTGGTAGTCCAGGATGCGACAACCTACATGGGGAACGTTACCGATGATCCCTATGTCTCCCAATACTCTGATTACTTTACCAAGTATAGTCTGGCAGAGAGCTGGCGCAACCACGATGTCCATGGACTGGTTAGCGACGGCTCATCTAGTTCTGACGGAAGTACATTCGGTGCTTGGCTAGTTCATAACACCGTTGAGACGTACTATGGAGGTCCCCTCCATTCTGACCTCGTTGTCGATGGGATTGTGTACAATTATTTGGTCTCCGGTCATCATGGGGCACCTATGCCAAACCTCACGCATGGGTTTGACCGCACTTGGGGACCTCAGTTCTACTACTTCAACCGGGGAGACTCGGAGACAACATTGGCCGAGTTGAGGGCTGATGCTGCAAAGTACGCTGATCCGGAATGGAACGCGGAGTTCTATGATACTATCTCGAAGCATATTCCGAATTTCATGCCGTCGTCTGGGAGGACTACATTTAAGGGGAAGGTGTCGTTACCCGAGGGTGCAAGGAGACCGATTATCGTGCTATCTGAGGATGGACAGGACTTCCAGCTGAATGTCTTCAACACGGAGTCTCTACAGTACTGGGCGGAGGTCGACGAGTCTGGAAGTTTCAGCATCCCCCGTGTTGTGGAAGGGACATACCGAATAACCATCTACGCTGACGAGATCTTCGGGTGGTTTATCCAAGACCACGTCACAGTTTCAAAATCGCAGTCCGAAGAGCACAGGTTCATTTGGGAAGAGGAAAGCGCAGGCAAAGAGATCTGGCGTATCGGTGTGCCTGACAAGTCCTCTGGAGAGTACCTTCACGGCTATGCATTGGATTCTTCCAAACCGCTGCAACCAGAGCAATACCGCATATACTGGGGAAAATACGACTATCCAGCTGACTTTCCCGAGGGTATCAACTTCCACGTCGGAGAGAGTGACCCATCCCAAGACTTCAATTATATCCACTGGGCATTCTTCCCCTCTCAGGGAAATCACCTCCGCACAGAGCCATACTATGACAATGTCAACAACTGGACGGTGACATTCGACCTAACCGCAGAGCAACTCGACAGCACGAGCATGGCAACATTCACCGTGCAGATTGCAGGCGCGAAGACAGCGAACGGGAACTCAAAGTGGACACCCGTTGAGGGGAAGTATAGTAACCTTCCGTGGACGGTAGATGTAAATGGACGGTATGAGTCCACATGGGTGATCCCATACTGGCGGAGTGGATCATGTGGTGTGCGCAGTGCTGTTGCCTGCCAGAATATAGAGCAGAAGTTTGTTTTTCCGGTGGAGAATCTGCAACAAGGAAAGAATGAGTTTGTCTTGAGCTTGCCGTTCAATGCGTCGAGTACGGAGACTGCGTTACTGCCGGATGCACTTTATGTGCAGTACGATGCATTGAGATTGGAGTTGGAGTGATGGAAAAATGTGTAGCACCAACGCTAGTATGCATGATCGGACAATCTAGGAGATTCAGGTAATGATGGAAATTAGCAACAATGTCTATTTTTGGATGCGGTACAGGCGCTGTTAGAATTATATCACGCTTGTTCTCAGTAAGAAAAAGGGGCTGTCACCTTCCTACGCCTCCTTTTGGGAGAGCGATCAAAATATATGGATGCCGACATTTCTATGAATGTCTTCGAATATGGTAGGTCGCAAAACTGATGCACAATTTGAATCCTTTAAGGCTTTCCCTGAAATGCTAAGCCGCCTTAGGGGTCCGACCTATTGTACCTATTATTTCCATACTCCCAGTATTTGGTATAGGCAGTCTTGCTTTTACCTCCTGGGATACAAAACGAGCTTTTACAATAAACCTGAAGACTTTACATTCCCTGAAGAGGCACCCTCTGACGTTCCAGACGTTCAGTTACAATAATGTCGGAACATCATCAAAGGAGATCAATGCTAATTGTATCGTCGGAGAACAACTGTACAATCCTCTAATTTAACCATGGTTACTGGTTTCTTTTAGGACTTCCGATAGTGGCTCTCCGATGCCTTTGAGGTTAGGTTCTAGACCGGTCCGTTCGCGGAAATCAGAGCAGCCAAAGCATGGGTGGAAAGAAACTTACTTAATAATGTCAGGAGACTAAAGACCGCCAATAGAATAGAATAAAAAGGAATCCGTAGCATTACGGAACTAATGCAGTACTAGCAGATCATTGTTCTCCGTGGCTGATAAGGTAGCGGCTTAGGGCTTCTGGCAAGGGCTATGTGCTTGTCATTTCGAAAGGCTCCACGTTGACGATTAACCTGACAATAATAATTATAATGACAATTATAATCCTAGAAGTATAGTAAGCATAATTGATCTGCGATATGCAAATCTAATAAGATCAGTCAAGCAAACATCATAGCGCATATTAGCCCAGGGCGGCAGCCGAGGAGGTGACGTGCAGCGAACAGTGATGGGCTAGTTCCATGTTTGCCTATTTGTGATATCTTACCCCCTGCTATAAATGGTATATGAAGCCAGTAGAATAACAATGTAAGTCGCTGAGGGCCAAGCTGCGGTGGACGGGGTAGAATGGGTGGAGTGGATGCGGATAGTTTTGACAGATAGCTCACAAGCTTTAAAGCCTTGGGTAGTATCCCGATCAGAGGACAACCAGTCACAATATAGGTTGTGGGGCGGTCTAAGTAGGTAACCTTTTCTGGCTTAATTCATAGATTGGTTTGCCCCTTGCAGAATCTAGCGCGTGAGGGTTCACCAAGTATATATTGCCACGTCATTAATGGCAACTTTGGTGCATGGGTAGGTGATGAGATGCTCACCGAATGGATACACCACGACCCAACTCCCCAAAGACACCTGTATATCTACTCCGATTAAAAAGTTCCATCGTCAAATATACCGCGCACATAGCAAAATCCGCAGTGTCTGGCCTTAAGGTATATGCCTGCCGTTCCTTCTATATGCTACGGACCAACGGCGAATTGTGAAGTGCACCGATACGATTATGGATGAAAGTCACAAAACCTCAGACTCGCCGGAAGGACCATTCAAACCAGCTCCGTCTCCGTGGCATGATATACGAGCGCAGGTGTTTTTCTCCTTTGCAAGAGCCAACTGGGCAGATGGTCTGCCGCAGGGTTCATATGGTGATTTGGAAGCATCGGCCCCATTCTCGGATCCGGAAAAGAGTGGCAAATTCAAAGGAGGATTCAGTTTGTGCATGATAGTTCGGTATCTGGAGTCTCCTGTTGGTAGGCATTGGTCCTACCCATATTATGGGTGGGAATAGGAAGTTTACCCTTTTGCGGTTTTAGGGCCATATGACGAAATTCTCTGGGCCCCGGGACTTTTCCAAGATCCAAACCATGGCGAATTGGTAAAGAGATACAGAATTACCAGAATATATGTGTCCTCACTAGCCTCGATTTATAACGGTGCGAATCCTAACTCCCCAGGTCGATCGGTTCTATGGAAAAGCTAACTCAGGACCGAAACTGTACCATCAGGCCGAAGAAATTGGAATATCCCAAAGACAGTAAGCACTCCCATTCTTTCGAGAGCGGTAATTAGTTATGTTACTTGAAGCTTACTGTAAATATCTGCTTCAGCTGGCCAATTTCGAATTCATTCCGTCCGATTGCCTGTATCCACCGTATCGCCAGATCAGGGTCTCACTCCCTGATACTCCAGAACAACCATTCGTTTCATTGGATCTACAGCCTATCGCATTGACCTCGAGACCCATCTTTCCAATTTCCACGAGGTATATTCCCATGAATCTCGACATTGTGATGCCGCCCATACCGGAGTCTGATAACTGGAGGGAGAATGGATTAGTAGGTAGCAACAATGATGAATGGAGATCGGTACAGGTTGACATATCGGGTAAAGCTGGTATGGTCAGAGTAGGAGGAGAGCTTGGTGATGGAGATTCATTCCCAAAACTGAACTGGAATGGGTTGTGGTTCTGGTTGGATCATGCAAAAATGTCATGCATGAACGTTGGGGAGTAAGAACAGATAAATGGGTCTTGTGCCCTAATATAGTTTACTAGGGTAACTACGGTATTATAGCTCCAGTAAAATATGGCTGGTGGTAAGTCATGATTAATCCATCCTTGAGGACAAGGGACGTATACTACCGACATTATGGAATAAGTACACCTGTGGTAGCTACACAGAGCAAGATATATGGCTCTCACCACGTCAGACTGGACGTTACTCAACCTTAGCGGATCGTCTTACCAAGAGATGGTTGATCTCTGTACTATAGTCAACAAACAAAACAGATATTTGGAGGTAGAATTTAGTAATTGTTAGATATATAATTATGTACATGATACAAAAAATAAAGCTCTATTTGGGTTCTATTAATACAGACACAACTTTAACTTATCGAAAAAAAAGCTGTCTACTTCCCTCTAAAGTGAAACAGGTCCTTTTACTAGCTAGCCAGACAATGGTCCCAAGGGCAAACACCGCTTAGTGCTGGGCCAGAATCTTAGCAGCAGCTTGCTCGGCAGCAACCATGATGGTGGCCTGGATGTTACCCGTCGGGAGATCAGGGTGCATACTGCCGTCAACAACATACTACACTAGTTAGCGAAAGGCACACAGAGAGTTTAGTATTTCACTTACCAAGTTGTCCATGCCATACACCTTAGTGTTGGTGTCGACCACGGATGTCCCGTTCTTGCGTCCGTCGTCAGTGCCCATCTTGGCCGTGCCGACGTAGTGGACACCAACAGCCGGCGAAGCAAGGATCGCAGAAGTGTTAGTGTTGCCCTGCAGCTTGAATCCAGTGGATGGATCAGTGATGTCGTACAAAAGCTGGTCGATGAACAGCTTCGCAGCAGCCCAGTCATCAGCAGTTTGCATGTAGGGCGATTGCTCAATCACGGTGTTGCCCTTCTCGTCCAGACCGAGCACTCCGGCAGAAGTCAGACCATGGGTCATGTAGGCTGTGATCGCCACAACACCTTCATCGGCGGGGGCACAAGATCCCTGGTAGTACCGGGTGTGTCCGTTGACCTGGTTCGAAGTGAAGAAGATCATGCGGTGCTTGCCCTGGGTGAAGGCTCCGCTGCTTTGGCGGTACAGGTTGATGTCAGTCGTAGCAGACCCATTGAGGAAGCTGTCGAAATCGAGAGGGGCAAAGTCACCACCAGTGTTTACATTGATGCTGAAGATAGGGTGGTCCTTGAGTCCGACACCGACAGGCAGGTCGATCCATTCCTCTTGGGGAGGGACGGCGATACCACTCTTCTTGGCGGTTTCGATCTGCTTTTTAGGGCCGATACCGGAGTTGAAGAGCAGTCGGGGAGTAGAGAGTGCTCCAGCCGCCAAAACCACACGACCATGAGGAGCGAGCGTGACCACTTCAGTTTGTCCGGTGACGGCATCAACAACCTCAACGCCGGTCACCTCACTGCCAGTTCTCACAAGACGATTGACCTTGGAGTTAAGACGAAGCGTGAAGTTGTCGGCGTCCTTCACCAAAGGCAGATAGGTACGAACAGGACCAGCACGCTTCTCATTGGCGATGTTCCAGGCAGGGTAACTGTAGATCTGGTGCTTCTCATTCGGAGCCGCAATCATGTCGACTGACTTCCAACCCAGCTGGTTGAAGAATTTGGAGAGCACTTTGTAAAGACCTTGGTCGTAACGGTTGCCATCGGCCGAAGGTTGGGTGGTTCCAGGATTACGCTGGTACAGACGCTCGGACGCCAGCTTGACATCCTCCCATTTCCATCCCTTGGGCCACTTGTCGTCGAAATCGTGCGCAGGGGGGTGGACAAAGACCATGTAGTTGACGGTGACACCACCACCCAACACGCAGGCCGCGGTTCCATCGGTGTCAGTACACATGTACTGATTCCAGACGTCCAGGTTACCAATATCAGCCGACAGTCCAGGAACGTCGATTGGGGTCAAGGTACGGTTCCAGCTCAGCGTTTCATTGTTGCCGGTGCTCACAGTGGGGCCGACGCCTCGTTCCAGTAGAAGGACATTCTTGCCCGCTTCGGCGAATCTCTCTGCGGTGATGATTCCAGATGGACCACCGCCAACAACAATATAGTCGTAGGTGTTGTTCTTCAAGGCTGAGGCGGCGGAAAGCGAGGCTGCCAAAGCCCCTGCACGAAGGAACCGCATGTCGAAGGAGAGATGTGGAAGTCAAAATGCCAAGAGATGAGCACTGGAAAACACACTGGAGAAAGTAGATAACGTGTTATATATGATGCTGGGTTGGCGTGGAGCCACCAGTGTGGATTGGTCATCCTTTGATTTTTATTACTCAAAGTCCGCATGCGGGTAAGAGTTTTAGGATCCATCATGATAATTGCCATGGATAGAGTCCACTCAACCCACCCCATCTGCTTTCGTTTAGCCGCTGTGAATTCCCTCAGGGACTCGAGATTTTCTACCAAACGGGGTTTAGATGCAATCTTGACCCACTCTGACCACAAATATAGAGATGAGAGTGGAGCCAACTCTGCATTATCAATCAGCACATAAGCAGCTTGGCCATGCTGACTTTTTGCAGAATAACGGCAGAAGAATGTGGGTCCGGGTCTTCCTGGTCGAATCACGGTAGTTGAATGTCGGGATCAATCTCTGTAAATCCATAACAAGTTAGCAATATTGGGGCACTAGTGACAGGCCTTGAGGAAATGAAACGATTATTCTCGCTTCGATTATTGCCAAGGATTCGTCGTCTGCCCTGCTTGGTTCGACATGCACGAGCTCCGGGCTTTCTATACCCAAGCTACATATACGGACATCATCCTAGAGAACACCACTGGCAGCTCTGATGTACAAACTAATTCGTACTCACTACGTATCTGCATACTAGTGTTGGAACCATGGCGTTTATGCGTGGTGGTGTTATTGAAACCTGATGTGATCCGCCACGAGACCCACTACGACGTTTTTCGTTCACCTAGGGCTCGGCAGCTTGACGCCGTTAAAACCTAGCCCCTTTTAGTTTATATATTACGTACAGTTTTCAATAATAGAGTGCATCGCCTTGAAGCTGTATTTTATGTTGGAGATAGACCAGGTCGTAGCCATATTTCTCATCCAGGCTTCCCATCAGGCACGTACCACGCATCTATATAATGGGTTATCAAGGTGTGCTCCGAAAGTATAGGGCCATATGATGCGCGACAATGCTCCATAAATGCTGCTCCCAAAGCGTAGTACTGCTAATTCAAGAAAATTCCCATCCAAGCCCTATAGTTCGAGGTTCAGGTGCCGATACACTCCTCTTATCTAAACATTCTCCATTGCGGGTCGTCAAGTTCAATACTCTATATCGATCTAGAAGCATTACCGCCATAACTGTGTGGGTCTTATTGCCTAACTGGGCAAGTATCTTGCTCTTTACTAGTGTTCCCATTCCATGTCTAATACTCGGCTACAATATCATCTGCTTCATCATTCACGCCACTGTTGTCCCATATCCGGATATAACATCAGGTTCACTCTGGCCACGAAGTGGTAACACATCCTGATTGGGGTTTTTTGAGGTAGTAGTACTACCGGCGGGTACTCATCGCACACTCGGAGTTGCCATTGTCGACAGTACCCTCATTGGTTGGTAAATTGTGAAATTCGGCACCAAAATTATGAATATACATTGGCGATTGTCACAACGGCCTGAGGATCCCTGAATCTAAAGGGGCCCTGCCCACAGACCATAACTGAATGATTCGACAGTAATGATTTATTTTCAGCGGTTCTTGCGGTACTCGCCAGCTATATTCTTTACCACAACAGGCTTCGCAAGGGCCATGATGTTAGTCTCGTTTCTAACCCATAAACATCATGTTCCTTTACATACCTAAATGGTAGGTCACTTGGAATTCACGCAAACGAAGTCGATATCACATAGGAAGCTTTACCGGCAGGTGTATCAACTTGGCTTTGCGGCGTCCTCTAGGGCACAAAAAAAGAAAAGAAGAGAAAAAAAGAAAATCCGGAGTGACCCTCACGCCGCCAATTGGGATCGGGTGTGTATATGCAATTCATTTTGCTTCCAGCAGGCCCTCCTTTGGCTGTTCCTGTAATCGCATCATAAGCTTTATTTTGTCATTGAGTTGCCAGCAAGACTCTGGTATTGTTAGTAAGGTCATGCCCACAGCGATGGTAACAGCAATGATAACAATAACGCCAAGAGAAACATTGGAATGAGAATGCAAACTATTCTTGACATATGTCGAAGGTTTAATTGTTGAGAGACTCTGCAACTGGATCACCTCCGTGGCGCACCTGCTGGCATTTAGTCGCCTGTATATTCTTGCGGGAACCGCTACTCATACACTAGAACCTATAGTAGTAATACAAAGCAGTGCTCTATGAAGTCATAGTTTATTTCTGTTGCATATCCTTTTGTAATATGATATAGTAATGACCACGCAATTGACACGAAAACAACGATGATGTTTACGATGGGATTTCTCTCCGGAATTACGTGCGCAAGACAGCGTAACTGTTTTGTATGGACGCGAATTGAGTCTATATTGGTCAACGGCTAGAGAGTCACGTCCGGTTTCCACAAGGATCTACTATGTTTCTTCTGCCGAAACCTATTACGTATGTTGGAACTTATGTATGCCAATAGATTGACAATACTATTGCTTGAAATATGTATGTCTACGGTAGTACAAATATACCTATCCTGCATGTACACAGTTTATATTCGCCGTAAGTAATTACGGTTAGCAGGTATTGGCTTCGGAATATGCATTGTGACCCAATATATGAATTCCAGACCATCCGGTATAGTATTTGACACTTTAATATGTGATAATGAAAGAGCCAGCAAAATCTCATGAATTCAAGGAGGCTAAATGAGAAACTGCTATCTCAATTCTGACAGAAAAAAGCAGCAAATGAAGCTTTATCGAGGTCGCCATTAACCAACTTGCTCTTTCCCTTGACCGACCCTCCACGCATATAATGTTTCCTAGCAATCGAGGGCTTCATGCCATTAACCACATCTCCGTTAAAAACGTGAGAAGAATCGTCGATCTCAGTGTCCCGGTAACAATGACAAGACTCCTTGGCCTGTTCCTGTGGCTCTCCATCGTCAGATTCGGAGCATTCGCTGCTGGTATCTACTAAACTGTCATCAGTTGCTCATTCACTCGTGTGTAGGAGATGTGGCATATACACTCCCGGCCTTCGGTCTCCTGACGTCTGCTCATGGTGGCAACCATCGCTGCAGGGATAACGCGATCGTCTTGGAAGTGGAATCTTCGATATTGTTCTATATGTCCACTCCGTGTACGAGTGATTGTTGCCAGCCCTATGCCACGCTGTGGATCGACAGGTGTCTGTGTGATCTGCGGGGCGAGTTTAGTAGAGTTTCAACCAGCCTCTAAAGGGGATAATAGTCCGCATACTTCATTATTAGTAGGATTAGTCCTTTGAGATGAAGACTGAGATGAAGACATTTGCACGAAAGGATAATGGATATTGTGTAAGCCCGCACGTCAGAAGCAAAGGTGGTGAGTTCCTAAGCATGTGCAACAGGACAGCTTCATTCTTTCTTATATAGCTCATGAACACTCTCTAGACTTGCAGGCCCGAGAGCCAGGCCGCAGTGGTGCCTGATCAGACAGGGATTATATTCCGAGGCTTTACAACCCCACGCACATTCGGGCTTAATTGTGGTGGTTTGTTGATCGGACGGCGATTATGCACCGGGCTTTGCTATCGAGTAAGCCTGAGCGTCCCAAGTTCCCATTGGACACGGATGGATATAGATCTCGTTCTAAATTTCCTAGCGGCTTTAGTCTCTAAACGAGTGCTCCCTCATCACGTTCTAGGGATTCGTAAACTCGTCGAACAGTCACAATCTGTAGACCACATTGTGATATGTCAACAGGATCAAAGCACGTCATCACTTCGGTCAGATGTAGACCTTGCATATGCACATTGTGTTTTGCCAATGTATTCCATTTCTCGTCCACACAACTTATGGCAAGCTCAGGTAACAGAACCAAAGAGAGTGGGGCGTGACTGAAGTAGCGTATTCTCAACGGCTGGTACGCTAATTTAGAAGGCACAATTCCGTGGCCCCCGTCCGCTAGACGTGATAGTTCACGAGTCAGGTGAGGCGAAGTCCGCATTGCTTGTCCATTGAAATCATCCCGGCCGTTCCGCGTGGAGGGACGTGGTATGGAGGCCGTGCAGCTTTCAACAATTGCCTCAATTCCATAGATAAGACGAGACTCAAGGAAAAGGCACTGCTCGAGGTGAGTAGATCTTGTTGCCGTCTCATGTATAATCTGAAGAAAGCAGAATAGGGGCACGGCTCTGTTGCTACGTAGTGCAGCCGAACAAAAGGTTCGAGCTGTCCTTGGTATGGGCTACACAACGACTTCTCCGTTATCGAAATTTGTCGAGTCCCGAAGCTCATGTCGGATCACTCACCGCGCCAGTCGCGCCAATCCTCCACACTAGTTGATAGGGTCAACCATTCGGTTCCACATCCTCCGACGAGTCAACGTTACCAAACCCCGGGTCCAACCGTTCAGGATTTGCGGCGGAACCCCGCCCTGCCCTCTGACTGGGCTTGGTGGCATCATGTTGATTTGACCAAAGGCTGAAATATGCATACGGGCTTCTGTTGACCTTCACAGTGGCTCCACGTAGTTCTCGTTCTCCCCCGTTCCCGCGGATCGCCAGAGCAAGGCTGGCAAAATCATGCCTCGTTGTAGGAAGCGCCAATAGAATACTCCAGAATATGACGTGGATACGAGATACCAGAGGCTCAAAGTTTATTATAAAGTCAAGCCCACTTGTCATCCCATTCTATTCCTTGATTTGTCAGATGTACGTGCTATTGTCACCATCATGAAGCCGGGCGCAATAGATCTGTCCTTGGCACTCTATTCTAGAGCATTGGGCACCGATCGTCATCCATAATCGTGTTATCATACGATTTCCGCTGTGTTACCCTGCTGAGGACAACATTGCTAGACTACGTGCAGACGAAGAATACATTAGTGTCGCTCCTGATATGAGGGTGAGACGAAGCTATCATGCAGATGAAAGCTGGTAGAGATCACGTGTTAAAGGAGAAAAGGAACAAATTGATCAAGTAGCAAAGGGGGGAGAGTGAGGCTTGTTCCTGGAGAGCCTCGGGGCAGCTAGAGCTCTTGCCGGTCTTCCGCGGCCTCCTTGCGAACCATGGATCAAAGTGGAGCCCTTGTACGTTTACCCTTTTGTTATTAATATTGGAACCTCCTGACCAATAAGCTGGTGCTAACAGGACTGGCCCACCCACTTGAGGCATCTCTATTAAGTTCAACCATGGCTCATCAAAGACCGGCAGACAAGGTGGTTATGTTCCAGTATATTTATATAACAGCTGTGTTGAATTGCCTTATCGGTCTTAGTCTCTCAAAATTAAGAGATTTCCTAGATGCCCCGAGCTTGACGTCGTACCCATGAGCCTGATATATTAAGGATTAACTACCCAGACGATAGCATTTCTGTTACACCCGAGGCTTCATCTAAGGCTTCTGCGACTAACCACTTATGTTAGTAGGGAGTTCACCTACCACGATGACTAAGGTCCACTCGTGATCGGCAGCAAGACTGTGACTGTAAAGGCCTAGGGTAATTTCAATAACCTCGTAAGATACTCAATCCAAGCTCCGAGGGCCAGATCGATTGAGGAAGTTTCCTCAATATTCAGGATAGTGTAAACAAGTCGATCTGGTCCAAAAATACCAAACGAGTACTCTTATACAACCTGAACCCTATCTCTTGTGCTCATCAACCATCTTGGTAATTTGTGGGCCCCCAGTGGCTTCCCACATATACTGGTGATCACCCAGCTAGCAAGCAGCTGGTGTGTGCGTAATTTGTGGTTAAGTGTCTCATATACAGCCATTACCACCAACGACCTATCTCTATCATCGCATGTTGGGGAGATAAGATAGACCATCAGACCGCTGACTAGTTCCTGAAAATGCTGATGTCGAGAAGGTGTCTGATTGGTAGCATAAGTGAACATATCAGAGACCCGGCGTTTAGAGTTGCTACCTGGAATAGAGGATACTCAGCTACAACATAAATTCACGCCTTATCGTCGTTTCCCGCCCTCCGTTCCTGTAAGGCGTCCAACAACTGTTAATCATGCTATCCAATCTAAATTAGTTTTCCGCTCGCATCCCAGCTTGAATCCGCGTATACAAATTTATGCAAATTAGCGCCTTGTCATTATGATTAAACACAGATCTGTCCGAGCTTTCCGTATATTGAAAGATAACATTGGTACCTCGTTCGGAATATAGAAGATTTATAGAGATTTTCGACAATTGTGAGCATGGAAAAGAATAGATAGATACTAGGGTTGGGGGATTGGCTCGGGTTGCCCGCCGTGGGGCCGATGTCATGTGACAAACGGTGGAATTGAAAGTGAGCCGCCAGCTCCCAATTTGCTCATCATCTCCACCTTCGCAGTGGCCGAGCAGCGCAAGTAGCGCAAGCAGCAACAATGCCGCCTGTACGGAAGCAAAAACCAAAGGGCCCAAAAGAACAGGAAGAACAAGAACAAAGGATCCAGGCAGCAATTGCAGATCTTAAAGATGGCAAAATCTCTTCCGTACGAGAGGCAGCTAGAAAATATGACGTGCCGTCAACCACGTTACGCAACCGGATGAAGGGGGTTACCTTTCGGTCTCACAAATGGGCGAACAGTCATAGAATGACCCCAGAAGAAGAAGAGTTCCTAGTAAAATGGACCTTATCAGCAATTGAACAACATCAAACTGCCCCCTCGCGATCGGAGATCGAAGCAATGGCCAACGCCATTCTCGCCAAGCGGGGCACTACAATCGCTGAGACCGTCGGTGAAAGTTGGGTACACAACTTCCTCAAACGACGAGAGGAATTGCGAACCGTTTACCCTCGACGATCCTATTCCCGCCGGATCTATAATACAGTCGTCGGAAGTACCAACGTGTCAGCTGGGTCACCCTCGGTCAATCCGGACTGTGAAACCGGCCAGCCGAACAATCAACGCAACACCCTTCCACCACTTAGGAGGCAAGCGGCCTTTCCGGATTTAGAACCTCTGGACAGTGTTCAGCAATTGGACACGGTTGTGTCCACGTTCAAAGACTTAATTGCGAACGAGAAGGATACATCCGACCCTTATTCGCAAACTGTCATAAATAAGCTCATTAAGGGTTGTCAATTGATTATAGAAAGTAGTTCTAGTCTTCTTAAAGAGGCCCGGGCCCTACGGGATGCTCTTGAAGAGGGGGGGTGAGGGAAGACAATTTTAATAGGAGCATAACTTTTGACACTCAGGATAATAATCTCGGTACAATAATATATATATGCTCTTCATTTCTCTCATGTCCATCTCCCCGGGGCGTTTCCTTTTTTCTTTTTCTTCTTATTTTTCTCGTTTTTGTCTATCCTTTTACCTGCATATACTGCGGAAAGATGTGGAGCACAGAATTTCCAATCTGATCACCGATACTCACACGGACTGTCCTACCTGGACCTAAAGAACAAAGTGCTGTTTGAGATATGGGTAGGCCCACTAGTAAGTTCTAGCTGCTGCCCTGAATTCTAATGTACGGCTATAACTGATCACGAAAATTGTCAAGTGTTAAACCGGACTTCTCATACTTGATATTACACCTACGATCCTTGCATGAACAGCTTGGACGGGAGGAGAATATCTGGTGCAGGGCTTTATTCAATACTGCCATCAGATGAAGGAAAGGTGTGGACTTTACTAAGCAAAAGCGGAATCAGAGCCAGGGTTAGGGAACGATGTCCGTGAGCGGAACACGAGAAAAGCAGCAGACTCATGGTACTCAGGTGGAGGCAAACTGGTATGGTTCTGTGACAATCATTTATCTATTTTGAACCGCCCCGATGTGATTTTAACATCCGGCAAAAGGCAATCGGTCATTTTACAAACAACAGATCTTGTCATCAATGGAACACAGGACGACTGGGAGCTGTCAATTTTAGTACGGACTACAGTCCAGGGGAGCGCGTTAGTCTTTTAATTACTAGTCGCCGTGCCCGGAAATTGGATGCTAGTGGAATGGGAGAGTTCACTACGATGGACGGAAGTAGAGCCCGGGATATCTCTCACCTCTTCTTCAGTGCGACTATCCATGTGTCCATTGACCCATTAGTTTCTCAGCACGAATAGTCGAAATGTGAGAATGACATCCAGTCCCACCCGTCAAGATTGCATTATCTGTGGATTGCACTTCTGCCTCTGTTCCCACATCTAAGTCGGGTGGTTGCAGCTCGAGTGAATTGGAGAGTGAGCCGCCTCCCGGCCATCAGCTCAGAAGGCACGAAACCACCTACTCAGTAATTGTGAACTTCAGTTCCCACCAATCCACAAGATTGGGGGCAGCTGGGAGAAGTCAAGAAGAATATGTAGTAAGCAATGTCAAGGGGTATCATAGCTTTAGATAAATCGTAAGGGAAGACCCGAAAGATATGAATCTATCATACCTTGGCAAACTAGATTCAATTATACAGTTCAGACAGTACATACATTAGGGACAAACACCTTGGCCTGAGTGGGTTCCTCTCGGAATGTTGAGCTCTTTGTAGCCATCCAAGCTCTAAGTTGAGGCTCTCGCCCGCCAAGACCCCGTCATTAAACTGATTGTGCTTGTTAACCTGACACTACTCGTCCTATGCCGGTGCATCCGGATGCACATTTCCTTCACCTAATGACGTGACCCTGCAGTGTGTTGAGGCGAGCCTGGGGGGGTTCTTTTATTCTGATCGTCTCGTTTTATACGAGCCGTCTTTGGTGCAGGCCTTGGTTTAATATTATTATCAGACAAAGAGTATGAGTTGAAATAAGTAAGAGTGAACTAGATCTAGTTGGCTGAAAGCTTAGTTCTGCAAGCATATCCAATTATGTGTAAGGGAACCGAATAAAAGAAGCACCAGTATATGGCGGGTCCACTCAGTTGTTTCCAGTGTCGTAGCAGCGATTGTTAGGGGTCTTGCATAGTCTTCCTAACTCCAGATGATGAGTGCAACCATCCACCTTAAAGGTGACAGCAGGGTTCTAGACAAGTCATGCTTCTAAAACAGTAACCTAGATTCCATCTTCAATGGATATCACCCCATGACTGTACCAAGGTCGAGGAACCCATCGTCAAATTATACCCTCAGGTCACCTCTAACCTGTGATGATCTTCATTTCAGTACCGATGATCTTAATCGCTATGTTGATCGGAAGATTACGGAGACTGAGAAAATTCTAAGCAACGGATAAGACGATGGACCAAGCTAAGCTTTAATAGAAGTTGCCTACTCCAAAGATTCTGTCAACCTGAGAATACCCTACGAGATGTTTGGACGAATGGGATTATTCTTCGTGGCACAGATTCTGTGGCGGATTTACAATGCGATTAAAATTACCATCGTATTTTCGCTGTTCCTTGGATATAATTTTAACGCTAAGAGATACTAGCACCATTAGTGCCGTGTCTATCAGACTCCACACAAACTCTTACGAAGCTTTCAATGGTTCACGTAGTTGATCGACATTCCAAAACGAAGGAGGAAATGATAGATTATACAAAAGTCCCCACAGCTATTAAAGTTAAAAATTCCAGGTACCAAATTCGGTACAAAAAGGGGTCCATCCAGTTTATAAACATCCAACCAACACCGCATCGCCAGATAGTATCCGATATCTGAACGATTTATGCAACTTCAACCGATCCCTTGCGAAAGCAATTTTGTTTAAAGCTTTAAATCCATAGTCCCTTCTGTTTGCATTCAAAGAGCTTATTAGCTTTTAGCTAAGATACCTGATCGCCAAAATGAAATCCCCATTCAGCTTTGCTATGCTTACGCTATTGTGTTTTTCTGGGGCTCAAGCCACATTCACCGAGGCAGACAAGGTATGTTTGACATGATTATCATAATCAAACTGTGGATATATTCCTAAATATGGATAGCAACGTGCTGTTTCTCTACATAACAATCGTACGTGCGAAACCGAAAGATGATACCATGATATACTCCATCTTGACTATGGATACTCTAGACCGATCTTCCGTGATGCCCAGCGCTAGCAATATGAAGTCCATCGAGTGGGACGAGGGTCTCGCCACAGCCGCCCAGCAATTGGCCGACAGCTGCAAATTCGAACATAACCGTGCCGGGCAAAACATATACGAGGGCAGTGATGCAACAGATCTTTTGAAACAGGCAATAGAGGCGTGGCATAATGAACAAAAAGACTATAATTACGATAGCAATACATGCAGCCCTAATGCGGTCTGTGGACATTACACTCAAGTAAGTGATAGACACCAGAAGAACTCACTATATGACATTGCAAGTAGCTTATGAATCCTTCACAACTAGGTTGTTTGGGCCGACTCTTCCAAGGTCGGAATGGGTGTATCGAGGCGGTGTGAGAATGGCATGTATATTGTAGTTGCCAACTATGACCCTGTTGGCAACTATGCTGGGGAAAAGCCTTACAGACAACGGTGATCCATCTCCGTAGTGCATTGATGGATGGAACCAAGGCAGTGACAATCCATGTCACAAAGTAAAGAGAGAAATAAGGGCTTCCTGGGATATGTCCTGGTCATTGTGAAAGACATGGCTCTTGTATGTATTCCATTTGCGTACTGGAAGCACAATTGAGCCTCCAACACCCCCTGGTCAGAGTGGAGATTCGATCTAATAACGATCATGGAGGGAGCTTCGGACAAACGCTAAACCCTAACTTGTCAAGCTTGATGATTGGATAAATTACTAGCTTGAACAATTCTATGTCATATGTATGCATAATCTCCGGTCAAACCGTCATAGACAAGATTGATGATACCCATTGAGGATATTGACAACTGGTCAAATGCTATTATACAGTTCAGACAGAACAAACATTAGGGTCAACACCCCTCTCGAGAGATCATGAGGCAAACCACTGCTACTATCCTAATCACAATCTACTGCAGCCTGCAAGACGTTGCCAGGAAACACCGCCGTTACCGTTGCAAACCCGACGATTCCCTCTTCCCTTCCCACAAAGCCCACCTTCTCATTCGTCCCAGCCTTAATGGATACTCGCGATTTATCCAAGGAGAGTATACGAGCAACGGACGTTTTGAGTGCATCCCGATGTGGACCAATCTTAGGCCGCTCACATATTAATGTCACATCCGCGTGGGTGATGACGCCACCGGCATCACTGACAAGTCTCCTCGCATGTCGAACAAACTGATCTGACGAAGCACCTTTCCATTTGGGATCAGATGGTGAAAAATGGCTTCCTATATCATCCGCTCCAATCGTTCCCAGCAACGCATTGGTCAGAGCGTGAAGGCCCACATCAGCGTCCGAGTGGCCCAGCAATCCCGAAGAATGGGGAAGTTTGACACCGCAGAGGGTGATCTCTGTGGCAGCTATCAGTCGATGGGTATCGTATCCATGCCCAACGCGAACGTCGGGGATAGTAGTTTCGGGTAATCGAGGCGTTGCTTGAAGGATTCGCTCTGCCTGTTCAAAATCCGTCGCATACGTGAGTTTCATGTTGTTCTCTTCTCCTTGTATGACACGGACGGGTAAGCCTGCCCCCTCAAAGAGAGAGGCATCGTCTGTGTACTCGGCGTTTGTATCACTGGCCACCTGCTCGTGAACTCTGAATGCATTGCTTAGCGAAAATGCCTGTGGCGTTTGCGCACGGTACAGGCCTCTTCGCGATACTGTCCGGGAGATCAAGCCACTTTCATCAACAGATTTAAGTGTGTCGGAAACTGGAATCGCCAGGATTATTCCGATATTAGGTTCTTCACGCATCCCATCTCGGATTTTATTTAACAAGGACGACGATATAAATGGTCGCGCCGCATCGTGGATCAGGACGTGCGACGGGGGTTGTTCCAATGACGACAAAAGTCGTAACCCCTCAAGGACAGATGCCTGTCTGGTGTCCCCGCCGACTGTCTCGTATATCTGTGCACCGGATCCCTGAATTGCATGCGCAAGGAGTGCTGCATCATTCTGATGCCGCACAATTACAATGGGGTGGCGAGGATCCCAGGCTCGAAAGGCTCGCACAACACGGGAAATCACTGTCTGCCCCGCAAGTTCCCTGTACACTCTGGAACATTTGGCGTTTCCTGCTCGTGTGCCTGTTCCTGCGGCCACGAGAACGGTGCCGAATGTTGGTTGTGTTGAGGACATTGGACCGGGGAGGGACAACACTATCAGCCTTTACTGTACAGTGTCGTGTCGTAAGTCGTGCCCTACGCCTGCGATCCCAGGATAAAAGTCAAGTATAGCAAGAACAGAATCAAACACTAGACATCGTCGTCCATATATGTGATCGGCCGATCGACAAAACATTATATCGTGATGGGCAGTTAAACCCATGACAAAACCTGGCTTGCCCCACAGTTCAGCTCCAGTCGATCTTTACTTTTCTTATCTCACTAAGTACGAGAAGGCCCCACAAAACTATCAAGCGCGGAACCTCACTTGTGCTCCAAATGTAACTAGTGCAGTGACATATCCAGTTCTCGAGTGTATCTCCGCGCTGCCACGATCGATTGGAATGCGATCTTCATGATAAATCCCCCACTATCACTGACCGCAAGTTCGGGGATTTTCCTCTGTCATGTCGCGTGCCGGCTTGCCTTATCAGCTATTGCCCCTCCTAACGGCAACCAGAAATCCCAAGCCCCAACTTACATCTCCCCCTGAATGAAACAAACACGATGACTATACCGGATGTCAACCAATTCACCCCCATCACCCTAGAGATCCCAGCTAAGCTCAACCTCTATCTCCACGCAGGCGCTCTCCGCAAAGATGGATACCACGATATCACAATGGTCTACCAGGCCATCTCCCTCTACGACACCATGACCATTTCGCCGGCTCAGGACCCCCCAAAATTCACAATGACTGTCTCCGGAATAGATAGCAATCGTATCCCAGCTGATTCCCGCAACCTCGTCATCAAAGCGGCGCAACGTCTAGCTAATATCGCAGGCATCTCAAGCCAAGCCTTGCACTTCGACCTGGTCAAATCCATCCCTACAGAAGCGGGGCTGGGGGGAGGGAGTGCGGACGCGGCAGCTGCGTTGGTTGGCTGCAATCAGATCTGGAAGACGGGGCTCGATAACGAGCAGTTAATGGAGATTGGAGGCCAGATTGGGGAGGATGTCCCTTTCTTTATCCGCGGGCTGGTCGGCATAGGCACTGGGTATCACCAACCTGTTATTCCTGTGGATGTTGCCGCTGAATCTATGCGGACATGGCACTGGGTATTGGGGATAATGCCGAGGGGGCTGTCGACGAAGCTTGTGTTTGACAGGTCCGATAGGTTTATTTCGAGAAGGATAGAGAGTGGGGAGATATTATCCAGCCAATGTGACCAGCTGGAGAAATGTTTGGGGGTTGACTGGGGGAATACTCCCTTTCGTCTTTTGACTCCCTATTTGGATAATAATCTCCAGGAAGTGGCGGAAGATTTGGACTCTGATATTGGAGTTGCTTTGCAGATGGGGAGGGAGGCTGGGGCCATTGTGAGTTTGATGGCTGGGACAGGCACGACGTGCTTATTTTTGGCTGGCGATGAAGAACATGCGGAGCGTTTAGCCGACGGGTTGAGCGGTAAAAATATATTTAGGAGGGTTGTTAGGGCTGTGGGGCCGGTTGAGGGTGTTCGTCTCAAAGACCAGTCTCACTGAGGTGGGGGATCTTAAGAGCTCGAGAATTCTTCTCATCCAGTGCCCACTATACACCGAGCTAAGTCGGATAATGCTTGAAAAAGTTGGTCCCGGGGTTACAGCTGTAACGAGAGTATTCTCCATCCACAGAGAATGCCCTACGTTGCCAAATTCAGGCGCCAGACAGAATTGCTAAGCTAGTTTTCCGGAAGGCGTATTTCTGAGCAAGCAAGACAGCAGCAACAGGGACATAGATATGGAAACAAGCGTATAGAAGTGAAACATACATATAGGAACAGAGGCAGGTCAGCATCCGTAATGCAATCACCAGAAGGCTGCCTACCCGCAGACACTTCAGGGAATTGGCAAACGCTGAGAAGTGAGAGACTAAATGCTACAACCGCTACAGTTGTAACACATTTACGTGTCTATTAACTTTTGCATTTATTTTTCGCCTTCATATTGGCATCGTGGTATTCGATAGATAGACCTTAAGACAGTAGGATAGAAATGCGACCATTAGAGTGTTGGCGGCAGAGTGACATATGGCAAGGTAGGTATGTCTTGTTTATGGTTCCTTTCTTAATGATACAATCTGCTCTGTTACATTTCCGGCGACCAGCTAAGGGAACGATTTTGAAGGGCTCCGGCTTAGTGCGCTTTCTATTTTAAAAAACTTTTCCGAGGAAGCAACCGGCCACATGTCCGTGTTATCCGTGGGCAAAAGTCTAGCTCAAGGGCCGTTATGGTCCCTTGCTTGATTTTGGGAATTTTAAACTCCGAGGGCCTCTGGAATGTAGGAATTTCTAACTTTATATTGGTAGAGAACCATGGGTCTCTGGGTGCGGGTCAAGCGGGACAGGTGGCTAGACTAGGGCTTCAAGCTCGGCAGGTCGCACCATCGGTTGACAGAAGCTTTTATGGCATGTCACATGGAACACATGGTTTGGAGAATCGTCTAGCACTCTAAATTAGCCTAGGTCGTTTATTTATTCTTGGTTGATGCACAGTGAACTGTCATTGAACGCTTGAACGACCGTGCGTCATGTCACATATTAGCCTTATCATGGTGGCCTGTCTCCCGGAGTTCATTCCCAACCCTGGCTCGTAATCTTAGACGGACTCGGCTTGACGAGTTTCTGAATGGAAGAACCATAAGAAACAAGGCATATTAATCATGTAGTTGAACTGGAGACAGGCCAACTGTGACTGCAAGTGCCCTGTTGGTTGGGCATTATGCATTATCGGTGATGAGTAGATGGCTGAGACTATGCTACCGGTCTTGTACATTGATGCAGGGCCCTCAGTAGAAGCCTCGGATGTAACAGTAAATTCAGGAACAATGGTTAAAGTATCCCTAATCTAAAGATGGTGGCATCAAGATGGGGTTCATGAACCTGAAGTGGCAAAAGCAAGAGTCGATGATGACATCCACTACACGATTTCCTAAAGCGGGCAAAGGTATGGCTGTCATTTCCCCGGCCGGTATTCGGATGATCGTCTGATGCAAGAGACGTGGGCCTCAGGTTCACTCGGCCGGACGAGGAGCTAAGTTTCAGACCAATGGATCCAGGGCCGCAGTAACGAGCTTCCTGTTCTGTCTTCCGCCACCTGGTGATTGGCTTATTGGGATTCGCTTTGACTATGTGGCATTAGAGATGGAGCTCTTGGTTACAACCTTACAAGGCATTATTTCTATCGCCTGGACTCCCCTTCTTTCGTCGATAGACTGCAGAGTGTCAACTATATTCTCCTCGTTGAGTATGAATGCAGGTAATGATATTGAAAAGCAAAACGCGCTTAACTTAACGATTTCACTCGATCTACTCGGTCAATCTCATAATTCCAGAGTTATTGTGTCTTTTCATTATTAGCTGCTGTAGGAGATATTGTTCAACTCTCTTAATATATCACATACCTCCGGTCATTCACAGCCATTCAATCTTCCACAAACTTGCTGTGCCGACCGTGTCCAGCCGAGATACCTCCTTAAACCAGAAACCGAGCTGCCAATGGGCACCTGGTGGCACAAAGCACACCCGTTATGCCCGAGGAGCACGTCGACCACACTGTCCAGCACTGGAATACGGGGTTGCAGATCGTTTGTATCAGTGCCTCTACGCTTTGTGTCGCCCTCCGAGTTTACACCCGGATGTTCGTGTTCAATGGCTTGGCCAAAGAAGACGGTGCGTTCCGTGAGATGATATAATGGACAGATAACTGACTGAGATAGCGGCCTGCTTGGTTGCCTGGGTAGGTTCTGCATTGGCAACGTCCCAACCTCGTGCTAAAGATTAGATCACAGTCCCTTGGGGTCGGCTATTCAGCCATCGCACTGGCTAGTACGTATGTCGCCACGCCACGATGTACACCGCTAACCCGCATTAGTGGGCTACCATGGAGGGGGCCTTCACATCGATAACGTGTCGGACCACGATGAACGCATTTTCCGTAAGGTATGCCGAATCGTGACCATAATATGAGACAAGTAACGGCTGATAATATCAGACCGTCTACGGAACGATGATTATCTACGGGCCGGCAGCCTACCTAACCAAACTATGTCTCCTCTGGATCATGACGCGGGTGTTCCACCCCTTCCGCAAGGCCGTAATCTTGATCTATATCTTTCTCGGTCTGATGCTGGCTTACTACGTTCCGGCGTTGATTGTCAAGATCTGCATCTGCAGCCCCATTTCGAAGTTCTGGGCCCCGGCTACCCCCGGCACCTGCCTGAATCAATCCAAGATCACGCTGGCGGACGCGGTGATCAGCGTAGTCAGCGATCTAATCATCCTAATCATTCCAATGACCTTAGTATCGACGCTACATCTACCTACCCGAAAGAAAGTCCGTGTCATAGCCCTCCTCGGCGCCGGCGGTCTCGCCTGCGCGTCCAGCATCGCCCGTCTAGTCTTGATCATCAGCAATGCCGATTCCCAGGACATCACAATGGCTTTCATGCGCATTAACATGCTGGGGTAAGCTTTCTTCCCGAGTGCCAGCTCTCAATCGAGTTCACTAACGCTAGTCGGGCTAGAAATGCCGAGATCTCCCTAGGCATAATCTGTGCCTGTCTTCCCGCCCTCTCAGCCCTCACTACCCATATCTACCACCAGCACTCGCGCGGTCACCACTCCTGCAAATGTTCCCACACGAGCTCAGACCACTCCCGGCGTCGGGGCTTTTGGCGAAGAGCCTCAGATCAAGACACTTTGGTTGCGCACGTTCAAGCTGAACCCCAGATGCGGGCCGTTATGTCCGGGCAAGGCGAGCATTTTGGTAGTACGGGGAATGCTATCGAGATTTTTCGGACGGTGGAAATTTCCACTGAAATCACTCGTGTCTGATTCCTGTGGGTATGATGAGGGTGTGGTGTTTTATATGAGGTTCCGCGGGAGGATATGAATAAATATCAGTGAAGGCTAGGAGTGGGCGAGGAATATCTTATTCATATACCCATGCAGAACACGGACCCCCGGACATTATGAAAACGGGATGCAGCGCTATGGACAATATGGTCCCGTTATTGGACTGCCAGGGTCAGTCACTCTAAAACCTCGATTCCCGTCCAAACTGTGGATGGAGTCCCCCATCGGGGGATCCCATGAGGCCACAGTGGCCCTGTTCAGGTCATTCCTTGAAAGGAGCTCGGTTATCCCCTGGTTCCCCGTCTGACCACCCCGCTGGCTTGGGGAAGGATCGATATACTTGCTTCACGTCTGCGTGTCTGTGCCGTCGGATATATGTAGCGGACGTTCCTTCGGTCAGGATGTGCGTGGGGCAAGGTGAGGACGCAGAATGATGGGACGGTTGGCTAAAAGGGATATTTGTCATACGGGACTACCTTTCAGGTGATCGGCTTCTTCTTTTCCTAGACTAGAGAGTAGTATACTAGCTATTAAATCTAAGACCTATGGTAGTAATAAGTTTACTTTTTTTTTAATTTATACTCATGTACTTTCCGTATACCGACAGTTCAAGTGTACTAGCTAAGAGTACCACTTTATTTCAAGGAACAAACAAGAGAAATTAACTTTGGTAACTATCATCAATGAACCCACTCTATGATTCAGGTCACTTCTAAGTACTACAGAAAGGCATCGGAACAGCTATAATGGAATGCACGCAAATGACGAGCAATGGCCAAACAGGGAAATAAAAGATTGCCGAAAGCAAGTTTTGTAACACCAGATATGGAATCCAGATCCTAGACTCGACGCATACAACGCAGGTTATCAAGAGCCTTCCAGGTTAATAGTAGAATTGCATATTCCGGCCACATCGTGTATATTCAAATGAAGTAGTTCTTTCACGTCAGAAAGTAGGCGGAAGAAATTGCTCGAATCCGACAGATATCCCTCCTGACGCTCTCTGATAACCAGCAGATTTGGCTTATACTCCGTCTTATGCGTAAGGTTCATCCCATATTTCCATATATACTCTTGTCCGTCATCCATTATCATTTTATGCAGGATCATTTCATGCAGAAAGTGTTTGCTCCCGTCGAGGCGCCGAAGGGGAAATCCAGGACACCCCCCGGCTCCCCAAGGCAGCTCGATCGCAACTTTAATTGAAACATCATCCGGCATTTTGCCAAGGGCTACCCAGTGATAGAGATCCCAGTAACTCTCATCCCATCGGACTAACCGGCCCGTAATGTGGGGTATGCCGGCGTAGCGATCTACGCCGCATTGCTGACGATTCTGGCATTCTGCTAGAATAGCCATGATGTCGCCCATCAGGAGATAGCCTGTCATTGATACAATTTGATAGAACCTAGGCAATATATTAGCTCAAGAGTTTGTGGTAAAGACCAGAGGAGCTGTTTACATTGTCTCGTCACCGGAATAGTCACCGTAGCATTCAACCAGCATTCGCTGACAGGGCGGCTGCGTGGCCAGCATGGTCGTCCATGATCCTGGTGTGTCGTAGATGGGTTCCTCCAAGCTGAAATCGCCCTTTTCTTGCAGCCCGTCTTTTGGCACCCTATATTCTTCTGTATCTTTGGATACTGACACGCCTATTCTGTTGAAAGCAGGGTTCAGTTTCCATGTTTCTTCCCCGGAGATTGACGGCGTGTCAGCATCCCTGATATTGGACAATGGATACCAGCAGGCCTCCTGGAGCCTGGGGGATGCTTGAATAACATCTCTCCAGCTACGGCAAACACGCTGGGCGCGAATGATTTCCACAGGGTCATTCAGCTGCAGTATTATATGTTCGGCAAGCTCATAGATGCTGAAGACTTTCTCGACAGATGATGGCATTTCCAGGACTTCCGCGGGAAGGATCATGAACGTGCTGGTAGGTATGCAGGAGGCTGCAGTTTCTTCGGGCGTAACTCCACACTTGAGTAATAGTGGAGGGAGGGTTCTATTCCGCTTTTGATTTAGCGTGAAGACTGTGCCTAAAGGCCGACTACCAATATCATGGCAGAGGGCATTTCGCTATGCTGCTGCGATGAAGCCACCACGAGAAAGTCATTACGCCCGCTGAACAGTCCGAAAATGTGGGAGTCTATTGGCTTCGCAGAGCGTGCGGATTAAACCCCAGCTCACATGAGAATGCAACTAACGGCTGGTCATGTCACTCCCACATGCCTTGCAACCATGTTGGCACCGGTCCTACGCCCTGAGGATTTCCTAACATGTAATTCAATCTAGCCTACGTCCTGCCGTGCCTTGAACATCACTTGCTTCATCCGTTCTATCTGACTGATCATCCTGTGCCCTACTGCGTCTTTCAATCCGTGGGGGACGAGGCGGACTACGCGCTATTACCGTTGTCGGTCGTAGGGATGGGAATCGGTCCTCCTGGAGAATCTTCCAATCTCGCAGTCAAGACCTCGACCCCGGTTTCGGTGACCAGCAAGGTGTGCTCTTCAGGGATGTTAGCGTAGGGCTTTCTACCGAATATGCATGTTGTCCTCACCAAATTGCGCAGTCCGTTTGCCATCGACCGTGACGTTAGTCCAGTCATCGGGCCAATAGATTTCCCGCGGTTTCCCCAGCGTCAGAATAGGCTCGATCGTGAAAGCCATCCCGGGTTTGCACACCCCGGGCACCTTACTGTTGGCATAATGAGGGATCCACGGCGGGGGGTGGAATTCGGTGTTGATACCATGGCCGCCCCAGGTGGCGTGGACGCTACAATTTCGGGACTTGGCATGTTTCTCAATAACCTTGCCAAAGTCTCGGAAGAGGGTGCCGGGCTTCACAAGCTGGATTGCCATATCCAAGCACTCTCGGGTGGTCTCGACCACTCGGACTGAATCAGGGTCTGCCTGGGCTCGATCGCCCACGTAATACGTTTCGTTCACATCAGCGTGGTAACCTCCGTGATACAATGAGATGTCGAGATTCAGGATATCGCCGTCGAGAAGGATTCGCTGGTCCGGAATCCCGTGACAGACTACCTCGTTCGGCGATGTACATAGCGATTTAGGGAAGTGATTATAGTTCAAGGGCGATGGGTAGGCCTGTCTATATTAGTATTGATGTATCGATATATCTGTCATCAGGATGCGAGTGGCACTTACATCCCGTTCCACGCAAGCCTTGTGACAGATCTCGTCCAGGTAATCCGTGGTAATGCCCGGCCGGATCTCTGCTGCCGTGATATCCAGTACCTCCCGAGCTAAGCGACACACTTTGCGCATAGCCTCCTGTCCCTTGGCATCGAGAATTTCAATCTTCGACCGATGCAAGCGCCGTTCTCCCTTGGGGATGCCGGTCTCAGACCAGTCAGGGCGTCTGATCGACTTCGGAAGGGTGCGCATTGGAGAGAGTGGATAGACCGGTCGAACCGAACCGGTAAATGAGTAGGTGGGAAACGGATTATAAAGTCCTGTCCTGCCTTGAGCCGTCTTGTGGACGGTCTTATGTTGGGCCTACCCCAGGAGCTCGGTCAGCGACCAGGCTCTAGTCACCAACGGATCAGGAAACCCACCCAGTTCTTTTTGAAGCAATCTTGGGAACAGAAATAGCTATCCTTCATACCCAACTTCAAACAGGTCGGACACTGTAAGGCACCGGCTTCATTGTCACAGTCGACTCCGAGACACTTTCTCTTGGAGGGCAGTTCCGATGCGATGTCGCCCATGGTGGCTGGGCTCGGTTCCTGCTCCAATTGTGAGTTAGACAAGGAAAAGAAATTCGGAATCAGCCAAAGTGGCACTTTGTGTGGGTTGAAAGAGACGCCATGGTCAGATCGGCAAACCGCACCGAATGTAACGGGAGAGCACGTGAGGGGGGAACCTCCAAAGCTTCTTGACTTTTAACTCGTTCAGCTCAGGGCCAGCCCCTATTAGTACTAGTGCAGAATGTTTAAGTGCATCCCATTGATAGGCTGATCCTCGGATCTGTCCCGAAACTCCACTCTGCCCGGTGGGGTTAGCGTGGGGTCCGGCCCGAAATTTACTGATTCCATCTTGCTGGAGCGCAAAGCCATGGGTGTAGAATATCATTACCACCCTGATCTGATATCCAACTGCTGAGAACTGTGGGTTTGTCCAATGTCTGTGCAATTCAACTGATGTTATTCTTATTTCCACAACAGTGAACCTGGAGTTTACTGTTTGTTACCTTTGTATAAAGCGAGGCACGCCTTCCTCTACCCCTACGCCTCACAGTACTCCCAGCAGGTGGACGTCTATCCCTCCAACGAACACCAGCGGAGGTGTACCTGGGCTAACTCAACCTGGAATTCCGAAAAATTACAACAAATGGGTCATGCAACAAGACGGGAAGCACTGTCAAGACATGGCAAGCGATCCAGGTATTTCCCTTCACTGCCTCTACCCACCGAACCCTACCTCGCAACACGAAGAAAGGCAAATACCAAAGGGGCTCTTGCCAGGGGAGACCAACTATGTTGGGCCCGGTCGAAAATGTGTACATGATGAGCTCTCAATTCACGACGATGTAGAGTCACCACCACGCTGACCACCGCTATCCAGAATACTAGTGAAGGCGAGCCCTAGAGACTGCCAACCCTAAATTAGGCACCGACAGTCGTGAAATTAGGCAACACCAGACTAAAGTTAAGCTATATTCTAACTAGGCTAGAGTTTTCTAGGTAACGTTGGCGAGATTAGGCAGTCCTCTCTACCTGGAATTCCAGAGTAAATACTTAGTACTTTGCAATATGTCTAGATTAACTTAATTAAATAAATTATTGATTTTTTATGTATAATATATCTTATATGTTCAAGGTATCATATATAGAGTACTTTTTTTACCATCATCATCAGGAATTGTTAGTTTCTGAACATAATTTGGGTTGAGAAAATGACGACAGGAAACCCCGGATATAAGGAATCCATGTAGCTGGGTTCATAAATTTCTTATATTCAAGTCGCTTTATAAAACTCTACTCGGATATAGATATTCTATACAGAAACCCTATTGTATAGTATTGTATTGGGGTTCTTCGGCGTAAAGGTAGATAAAGCACCTTGGGAATGAGATATATCTCTCTTGACTTCCCCCGTTCTTACGACTCCTCCTCCACTGGAAGAGACGACTGAAGGTATCTTGCGCGTCAATGCGTCAACATATTTAAGGCAGCCTTACAGGCAGTGTAGGTGTGGTTGAACCAATCAAAATTTGGAAAAGAAGATTCCGCCAAGAGCGGAAGGGTCCGAGTGTGCAGTCGTGACGCCGGCTTCCAGACATGACAGGTGGGAATGATTCCAGTTGCCGGAAGGGTAACTGGGACAGTTGGCAACGCATGCAGGAGGAAGCGTCATGATATCACTATCAGCTGTGATCACAAGCTGAGTTTCTGGCCTAGGGGAAATGTTACCCTGCTTACAGCAGACTTTGACATAGTTCGGCCGCTACGGAATACATCATGAGTTGCTTTGATACCTGACCGATAACTTATGATTAGTACTGGTTGCATGTTCTGACCAGAGTTTACTAGTTAGTGTTAATCGATCTCGTTTTTCCTTTTCCTGGCCAGCGATACGCGCGCAATCCCCTGGAAAATAACCGGTTGAAAGGGAGGTGCCGAGAACCGAAGCCTAACAGCGGTCCGTGCGGTGCTGGTCTGTACAACTTCTCGTCCAGAGCGGTGCTTAACCCTTAGTATATGCATGACATGCCACGCCTGGACAAGCGATTCTGAGTCCAAACTTGCCTCTCGATGTCAATGTTGACGTCAAAAATGATCTGTATCCGGACTTGTCTAGCCCAGGTGCATTGGTGCAAACCATATTTGCAGCAAAAATCCCGATGATTTGACTGCTCCCGGAAAATGGAGTCGGTGACATTAGAAAAGCAGAATAATCGAAAGAAGATATGACGTAGTGCTGGGTGTTGCAGAGGTTGGAACTGGACTATCAGCTCCACTCCAGCAGATCGGAGTAAATGTAACAGCAGTTATGTCACCATAACTCTTCCACGGAAAGCGACGCAAGTAACATACCAGCCATGGCTCACCTGACTGAAGCACTAGGAGCCAGGGAGGGATATAAACACAGCTTCCTGATTCCATAATTTCTATTCTGTTCTTAATCTTCCCTCACCACAGATTTGCTCTTCCCTTTGTGTTTCTTTTGTTTTTACATTAAGGATCTTTTACGTGAATTGAACTTAACAAACACATATCATCATGTCAGCGACAACTGGCCCTCACTATTTGAGATCAAGTGATCTACAGGATTTCTATCTATCTCCGTCATCGGATGGGGACTCCCTCATTTTAATTTCTCAAAAACCTGACACCCCGGTAAGGAAGTCGTTCCCGTCTCTGCTTGTAGTAATAACAATTATACTAACCAAATATGGATCCTGCCAGTTCGACGTTGCAGCCCTATCTGAGGAAGATTTTGTACTCGTATTCAAACAAAATGCACTGATTCTTAAAGATGATGAGCTGGTCTTTGCGGACGAACGCCCTACTGAATGGAAACAAGAGGCAAACCATAATCGCCCCGGAATTACGTAGGCGATATCCAGATGATCTTACCAGTTTTCCTAGACGGAAGTTGGAACTGACTTAGGCGTGTACTAGCATTCGTGAAGATACGACCAAAAAGGTCTGGGTGGTCAGTGAAGACTTCAAGGTATGTTTATTTTATTGTCTTATTCCCTCCTATTCTTTTTACGCTACGTAAACATACCGCTGACCTGCCCTGCTCGCGGCATATAGATTGTACTGAAGGATGCCGATGATGTGGGGAATGGTCTGAAAGGTTTCGAGTTTGTCTCGGCGTCGGAAAAGTGACCTGAGACTGTAAAGTCAATTACGAACCATATATTCGGTATATAGCTGGCCAGTCCAGTTGATCTATTCAGGGTCGCGGTACTAAATCGGGCTCTACTTCCTATAGGGTCACATCCATAACACTTTCCTCGGGTATACGATATGTACGATATGTCATATCCCTGATAATATTCAACGTGCTGGTATTATTAAACCATAACATTCACGCCCTGTGATCGACTAGACTGCTCCTCATATATCTGGCTCTACATAATGTTCAATACACAAACGAGCACCAATGCCTCCCAAGGCATGACCGGTGAGCCGGCTCTGGAGGGTGTCCATTCCATTGGTTCTCCACCCTCGATCTCCAGGGTAGATCCCCCTTGTAGCTTCCATAATATATCATACGGTGTCGTAAGAAGAAACAGAGATGTGCTAAAAGATGACAGTAATACGACACTCAGCTCTACCCTGCATAACTTCAAAGGCTGTATATACAGGTTGTCAAAGCCTCTCCTTGGTGTAAGCTATATATAAATCAGCATTAACACGTCATCTCTTTACGTTATTATTACCTCGATATGTATGTATCAAGAAATTTGATATCTTAGCTTAACTTAGTCTTCTACACAGTAGCTCTTGAAATGCCAACCATATTAGATCCATATAAATTATATAGGTCAGCGCTTTCCATGCTCATCCTCCAATCACACTTACACGAAAATCGTTCCTTTGGTGCCCATTGTTCAGCACAGACGAAGAGAAAGCTATGGTATAGAATTTACCGAGGACTCCAGATCCGATGACCTTCTCTTCGGTTTACGAGGACTACCACAGTACCAGATACTGCACAATTGACTGACTACTATCAATAATTGTTCTTTGTGCTTTAGAGAATCCACAGCCGACCTTTTTTCTTTTCTTTTCTTTGTTTTCCGAGTGAACCTTTGAATTAATTGGATGGACCTACGATATCTCTTCGTAAGGGACTTTGTATAGGAAGCTTGGCATAATTATAAGATTTTCCTATATGAAGGTCTCTTTCTACTTGGGATGGGGGATTTAATCTAGACATTTATTTTAATTTCCGGTACCTGGTAAACTCCTTATATTGAAGTGGCTTATATTTAAGGTTTATTATAGTCCAAAAACAAAGCAAAAATCGGCTAAAGGTAAGAGAAATGCAGATTTGGGTATTGAACTTTTGACACGATGTATTGGAGTTCACAAATTACACTCAGTCGATGACAAAGGTCGCAACAGGCCACTCCTTCTTGGTAACTTCACGATACGCAGCACCCTCTAACAGATCCGTCATCGCCTCCCCTATATAGTCATCATTGTCCGGCTGTGAAGGCATAAGCCGCAACAAACCAACTCTACGATAACGTTGTGGTCCCGCACTGTTGGCTTTGTCTCTCTTCTGTCGCTGTAAAACGAGAACATAAAGCACGGGCCGAGGCCCTATACTCGTCTTTGCAATCTGGACCAGTGTGAATTCCGTGCTGCTGCTCGGAACGATGACGGAGCCGCTGGTTGATGTCGATGCGAGGTAGTCTGGCCTCGTCAGGGCGATCTCCGTTAACTTCCTCGTACGTGCCAAAGGACTGAGTCGTGTTAAGGCTCTCTGTATCAAAGCTGCAGGGCTCCCCGGGGACTTCAAATAGGTACCGAGTCTCAAATGGAGGTTCCGATATGGTGCATCCAAGGTTAGTACCACGCCTTCCGCGGAGCTGAATTCGTCGTGAAGCTTGTCGCGCGTCTCAACATGAACGACCTTTGCAAGGTAGTCGAAGGTACCACTCTCCTGTGGCCAGGTTATCCCAGCAATATCGTCAGCTCCTACCCAGCTCCAAGACGCCCCGCGATCCTTGGAAACGCCAGCTGGTATTTTCCTAGCAGGTAGTGTAGGATGTTTGTCTTGGTAGCTCAAAAATCGAAGCAGGGCGCGCCGAAGCATTTTACCAGGCGGCCCCGAACCACCGCTACTACAGTGAATGTTCCATAGTAAACCAAATAAGAGATCGTTCCTCCATAATCCCGCGCAATACTGTTCGTCCAGCTGAGTTTGGAAGGACTCCGCTATTGCCGCGATCGCCGGCAAAGGATCATCCTTAGAAGTGAGATCTCGTCTGGTATATTCTTGTAGTATCTCGTACCAAACCTTGTACGTAGCTAGGGCGGACCCTTTAGCGTCTTCGGAACTACCTGAGCCAGCGAGAAGCTCTTTTACCTTGGAGAACAGGGTTGGAGAATAGTTGAGCTCCTCTGCTGGTTCAGTAGCTGGCCCTGCGCGGCATTGCCAGATCATCTCTTGTTTCGTATAATACAAGAGACGTTTCGACAGCAGCTCTTCCTGGAGCGTCCAACCGCTGGTGGCCCAACGCGAATCCCTCGGCCGGTCTTTGTTGAGAGGGGTTCTACCCTTTCGAAAGAAGACGGGGTACGTGCGACAACCATCCTTGATGCTATCGGGATGATCATGTCGGCGCCAAGGGAAAGCGCAGTTAAAATGCGGTTCCCGTTTGTCTATAAACCCGTCGTTCACTGTTTCCACGCTCGTAGCGGCAATGGTGACAACCGCATTGCTATAAACGCGGCTCGTTCTCGACGCGTCAATCGCCAGGTCATTGGTGTCATCTTGAAAGACGCAGAGGAAGTCGACCCATAAGTAACGGACTCCTAGTGCCCGTGTCACGAGTACAGCATCCTGTACTATAGGTGGGAAGTCGGACAGTGGCAGTCCGCTGCGGAGATCGTTATATGAGGAGGCATTGAGAGTGATGGATGAGTCTGCGCCTCGGAAATAGCTCAGAGCCACCCATTTCCCGGTTTCACCATCCCCACTGACATGTAAATGAGGCGGTGTGCTCGGATCTCCGACCTCGATGACACGTGTGGGAAGGGAGGTGGGTTTGTTGTTGTGTACATCGCAGTCTGCGTGCTCCTGCGAGCACTTGTCTAGCCAGCCCGCAGCCAGAGAGAGACACTCCTCGGAGCGCAGATCTGAGGGCAATTCATTCCGGGCGAGACGTTCCAGCAGATGTGTGTCCCCTTCCGGGATCTCTGCGCCTTTTTGACATTAGCTAGTAGTCTCGCATCTATCGAGCCTCCGGGTACTTACCCTTTGCAAGACATATATCTAACTGAGCAATCCACGTCCCGTCCGGACGGTTGGGCTTAGGGTTGTCAGACATCGCTACCACCGTCAACTGGGGGTACGAATCATAGATCCCTTGGTAGATGACAAAGCGAAGCGGCCCTCGATATTGCTGACACAGGCATTTATCCGCCCCATAGCCAAAAGGTGAATGGTCGCAAGATCGTATTCTGCAATGGGCCCAGATCATGTCACACAGCTCACAGCCAGATTTACTGGCATCTTGGAGAGCCGTGATACTCGTGTGTTGAGGCTGGAAGTGCGGTGTGGAGGAAAGATATGGGTCCGGACTCTCTAAGACCTTGACCGAGAAGGCTTCCGAATTGTGGAAAGACTGCAAGAGGTCTCGGATATCGATGGTTTGACAGACATCGCATAAGTTCATCGTTCAGGGAACCCGCGATGGACTTGGAGAGGAGTAGAGAGGAGATCCTGACTTAGACCTATGACAGCTGGACTAGTAGTCAAAGGAGATATATTTTGCGCTCTAGTTGACACTTAGTTCTGTTTTGACTCGCCGTGTTGTAAGATTCAACTAGGAACTTATACACGCTCTTTACAATGAAGGAGGTTGCGATTGAGAAGGGGTGAAGAGAAGAAAATTTGTAGTTGACTCGCAATAGGCAGAACATTGGTTATATATGAAGGGCCATGGCGCTTTGTTTGCAGGAGTTTGTATGCGGCTTAGTAGGGCCCACAATTCAGCTGGGAACATGCGCCACTTGCGCCACGTACTCCACTTGGCTGAACTTTCCATCGCAGATCAATATCATTTGGACCACTTCGCTTAGATTCATAGTCAAACTTTCTTCTCCCCTGTGAGTCGACGCGGCAATCAAAGTGCTCAGCCACCAACATTCCCAACAAGGGGACCAGCTTGGGTCGGGTGCACTTCCACTGTCTATGGTATTGCACGTTCTATAGTGAGTCTTTCCTCATGTATTTTTGTGTAAGGATCGGTCTTAATAACTACTCTAGTGTTAATCGTGGAACATATACAAGGACAGCAGAGGGAAATTCCAGCAATGGTCAAAATACTCAGGGGCTTCTACTCACCCCGTAACATAATATAGCATCACCCAACTCACATGCACCCAACCTTTCAACCAGTGGTATTAGTGGGTAGATGGCTCATCCACTATTCGACCGCATTTAACCTGCTGCCTAAAGACGGCTGAGTGGGCGGGAAGATTAAATGCGGTCGAATAGTGGATGAGCCATGATCTAGGGATGATCTCAAACCCCTATTATAAAGCCACTTCATGTGTCTTAAGGGACGACAGGATTCGTCGTGACTTTCTCTCTTTACACTCTGGCCAGGATATCTTCTCGGAAACCCCATCCCAAGGCAAATGTTGCTGCTGGTCCGAGTAGGATAAGGCACAGAGGAAGAGCCATAGCTATATATAACCAAGGTAGATGTTGTTTCTTCTCTTGACTCACATCTTTCAACTCCACGATAAGCCAGATCATTGCGCTGCCAATACCTATTGTCTGGGCGTTTAAACCTCCCCCCAAAGACAGAGATTGTAACAATCTAGCCTGGCCAGGAACCTCCAGATGTCTGTATATAGAGATGCCGCCCGAAATTAAAACGGTCAAAACACAAGATGCCCTGACCCATGGCAGATCAGCTGTTGGACGTTTTATTCTGTCGTAGACAGTCGTATCCTGTATATAACTGGCCAGGAAGCGATGCAGGAAGCTAAAAATAACCGGTGTAAGGAGGTACTGAAAGGAAGACCATTGTGAGGTCCCAACCCATAATGACGGTACGTAGAAGCCAACTATCAGCGCGGGGATGATCGACTTGGCATATGACAATCGTATACAACGGCTGTCAGGAATGAGACGTTTTGATGCAGAGAACAGGTAGTAGAAGGTAAAGTAAGCCGGCACTGTTCTCCATAACCCTACGCTTGAGTGGGCTAGTATGGAAATTGGAAGGTGCCTGGGGGTGATGCTGAGATTAGCTTTTGAGTATCCCATTAATATTAGGTGAAGAAGACGTACAAGCTCATGAAGGTTATGGAGTTGCAAAGTCTTACGCTCTCCAGGGCCCAAATAGCCTGGAAAATTCCCAGGTCTGCAATGGCAAAATACAAGTCCCAAGAGCTCGAAGCTGGGGTCTTCCCCGGAGACATAATCACGCTTAAGGAGAAGCAAATCAGAAGCGGGATGCTCCAAAGCAGACGGTTAAATGGTATAATCGGGGACCCAATATAGTGACGCTTCCCAAATGGCATCGTCCCGGTGCTTTGACGTTTGGGTAGAGGTAGAAAAGATATGCATTCTCCACCCACGCCCATGTCAGAGATGAGATCTGCAAAGGTGTCCATATAGTACTTGGAAAAGATTGGGCCAGTAACCTCGTAGACCACATTGTCTAGCGATTGCATCCGAATCGCCATCTCTGACAACGTACAAATAAGCCTCATCCTGGGCTTGTTCGCAGTTGCCCACGAGTCCAGTCTGGTTTCGATATTTGGAGGCTGCTGTTTTTCCGGGCTTTGCACAATGTCTATTATTGCATTGGCCAAGGTTGCGGCACTTTCTATAGCGCAGCATCCTCCTTGACCAAGGTTGGGAGTCATCTAATACCTAATTAGCCGAAAGAGCCAATTGAAGTCATATCAAATAGGCTGAATAATCGTACCTTGTGAACCGAGTCCCCTATACAAGCTACCCTTCCACAATTCCATCGCGCATATATACCTTCTTCAAGGGGCAGATGGCTGCATCGAATAGTTTGTTGATATACAGCCTTAAATTGAACTCCTGCGCAAACGTATTTGTTCATCAGAAATGCAAGGTCATCTTCTAGTTGCGACTGATCGAAACGAGGTGCTTCTGGGGCATAGTATGTTCTTTTCATCTTGATTCCAACTATCCAGAACACATGGTCTTTACAGCCAATGGTAAGGATAGAAGCCCCCTTTACAAAGACATTGTGCATCTCCCCCTCGTTGATCCCTGTAACCGAGTTTGAAATGCCAAAGATACCTCGGTATTGCGTGACCATCTCTATATCGATTGTTAGAAGTCATTGAAGCAGGGTACCCTCAATCAGTGCATATACTCTTATTTTCAGAAAGCAATACATCACTTAGCTTCGCTATTTCCATTTCTCGACATATCTCTTTATGGATGATACTATGTACGCCATCGGCGCCGACGATGATATCACCCGTATAGGTCGACCCGTCAAGACACTGCACCGTCGCTTGTGTGGAGGATTGCTCCATCTTAACCACTTTTTTACCAGCTAGAACACGGCTCTTGTCTGGCAGCTTATTCCAGAGCACGTCCAGTGCTTGCTGTCGCATAAGGAAAATGACTGGGTATCCATGGCTACCATGTGTTTAGCAACAGGATACACTACGAAACTGGAGGATCATGGAACCAACCGAACTTGCGATAGCTTGAAGGCTTCCGTGTATCCAAGCCGATGACCTTTATCGTTCCATACGTAGTTGTTGACGATGGGGGTTGCGAGTTCGGCAAGTTCATCCCACACACCGAGTTGGTCCAGGATCCGATGAGCGTTACCGGTGAAACCAATACTTGCGCCAACATTTGGAGCGATTTCCTCACGGGCCTCTAGAACGACAAAGTCAATATTGTAGGCAGCTAAAGCATGGGCAAGAGTCAGGCCAGCGATTGAGCCGCCGACAATGACAACTCGAAATCTGGGGGGTTTTATGTCCCCTGAAATCGATCGCAACGTCATAATACCTGAGGCAATTGCAACAACTTAGGTTTAAGTTGACCACCAGCGTACGATTTATATTAAATACTTCTTATACCCGGCCCCTCTTTGAACTCCTTCAGTTGGAGCTTTTTTGCGCCGGTCAATATACTTAAAGGGGTTTGGTTAATGCGCTAGCCCGAATGCAACGTGGTCCAATAGAACATCTTCGCAAAAGGATTCCGGGAATGTGAGGCGCAGCGGCTCAGCTACTAGGTTACTCTCTCTATAAAATTCTTGCTTGGTCTATGGATTATTAGTGTTGCATACTCTAGTCTATCGACGTCAGTTAACGATTACGACAGTAGTCCCCGTAAAGGAGGGTATTCCGCATCTAGCAGAATGGTGTCCTGACCAGCGAACTTCGCTGGATGAACAGGAGGAGCCGCTCTTTCCGTATGAGCTTCTTGGTGATTATTTATGCATTGACGTAGACCAAATTCTCATATCTGTCACTTCGTCAAAGACCTTGTCCTATTCTTAATGCTTTCCTAGATCTGGCTGACGTTTTCTCGTGTCCCTGGATTCCGTGCCTGTTACCCTCGCTAGAGGTAGACTGACAACACAGTCTGGTGGCCCCAGAGTGAAAAGAAAAGTGTTCTAGAAACATACTGGTAATATAAAGATCCCAGCATCTACTTCGTGCCGTAAGCGCAAAGCTGGATTTATCAAAGTCTGGTAATTCGTAGGGGTTAGATATGCTATATGTTATAAGACATGGTTAGCGGGCTTGCTGCAAACTGGGCATTTATCACCAACCACAGGGTGTTCAGCGACCGGTGTTGAACTCCTTCCTGCTGAAATGCTTGTAGGGGTTATAATAGCTATCATACCCACGAAGTCACAAAGGGAACGCGTAGGGCAACTTTGTGCCAGGTGCCCACATGTTGACGCTGCTGAATAGGCCTAGCGCTGTTGTTCTTCCTCAGCGATTACTTCCTACGGCTATGTTGATAGATTGATGCAACGCAATCAACATACTAGGAATTGAACTAGTTTCCCTTTTTTTTTACTTAAAATGTTGAGGATCATGTTAGGATCAGGTGTGTAAGGCACGATATCGACGCCATATGGTGTTTTGGAGAGTACAATTGAGTAGATGTGTTAGGAAGCAGGACAGTCCTAGTTGGTCGTTCATGTGCTTGTCGGCTTTTATAGCTGATAGGCTTTGCCTTTGGGACCCCGGTCCCTTCCTGGCCTTGGAATATACATGGCATGTACTGAAGAATATAGACGTTTCTCATGAGAGACTAGCACAGTTTCTAGGACTCACATACTCGAATACCGAATAACGGTAGATCTTGGGTAAGGGGAGACCGTCGCTTCCAAGAATTGGTGGTCGATCTGCCCTGAACGGCACTAAAGTATCTATCTGCCTTGGTCTTATGGTCCATACCTTTCCGTTAGTGGGCTATAATGGCGGTTCACCAGTCCCTAGGCGCGCTATGCCATGGCTGTGGACGAGGGGACTTCGCAACTCCATCATCTTATGGATGTTAATAAAGGGTTGAACGACGTTTACACTCCCGGAACATCATCTTCCCACTTTATATCTCATTCCGCTCTGTACAAATTAATTCCAACTTCGGCCGAACATCAATCAATGATCAACCCGGAGAGCTATACCTCGTCTGCGCCTCTGGATTACTACTAGGTTTCTTGGCTCTTCCTATTCATTATTCATCATTGGTCATTGCTCTATTTGGGTGTTTCGGTAGGTCTATCTCCCTGTCTTCTGATCTAGATGTCTATAAGAGGATATATGTATTTCATTGGTGGATAATCATAGGTTAGATCAAGTTTTAAGGTCACTGAGCCAAGAAAACCAACACTCGTAGGCGATCAGCATTAGCCAACATAACCGAGTCATGTCCAACCAGATCTCGGGGAGTATTGGTAATCTCAACGATTCAGGCTAATGCCAACCTAGCTAGACGACCTATATTTTAGATACTAATAAAGCCAAAAAAGCTTTATCGACAGACTCCCACGACGGCCTACACCTGAAATTGAAGAACTGCTTATCCATCAGACCTGTACAATATGCCCTCCTTCACAAACCCCATCATCCCCGGCTTCTACCCAGATCCATCATGTATCCGCGTAGGGGATGCCTTCTACATGGCCAATTCCAGCTTCCAATTCTTCCCGGGTATCCCGATCCACAAGTCCAAGGATCTGATCAACTGGGAACTCATCGGGAACGCTATCAATCGACCGTCCCAAATCTCCCTTAATCAAGCAACAACAAAGATAAACAACGCATCCCGCCGTGAAATCTTCACAGGAGGTATATATGCCCCAACCATTCGGTACCATGACGGCGTATTTTACATTATTTGCACAAACCTCACCGGCGCACCCGATATGCCAAGTAGCACGGATTTCCACCCGTCGAACTTCATCATAACCGCGACGGACCTCTCAAATCCAGACTCCTTTAGCGAGCTCATCTACTTTGATTTCCATGGTATAGACCCAAGTCTCTTCTTCGATAAGGATGGCAGGGTCTATGTCCAGGGGAGCTGGATCTATGGATATAACCAGAATCCTGCGACTGTGATCCGGCAGGCTGAGATTAATGTTTCTACGGGACAGCTCCTCAGCGAGGCCAGGGATATCTGGTCCGGTGCAACAGGAAAAGTACCCGAGGGTCCACACATCTATCACAAGGATGGATGGTACTACCTGCTGATCGCGGAGGGTGGGACTCACGCTCGACATAAAATTACTATGGCTCGGTCACGAAGCATCTGGGGTCCGTTTGAAAGCGATCCAGCGAACCCCGTGTTGACGGCTGAAGGGCCGAATGGAGTCGTCCAGTGCGTTGGACATGGGGACCTCGTCCAGGATCAGGATGGGCAATGGTGGTGTGTTATGCTCGCGAGGCGGGAGTATGGGGGCTCTTACCCGTTGGGAAGGGAGACGTTTCTGACAAGTGTTGAGTGGGTTGATGGAAACTTTCCTGTTTTCAAGGACGTGGAGATTGAGCAGGGGACTGGAAGGCAAGTTGCCACAAAGGCTGGGTGGAAGCAGTCTGTGGGCGTTGATATAAAGTCGCCAACAACTTTGTATCTACGAACACCGCACTTGGAGAATTATCGCCAGGACGGGAATCAGATCATCCTTACGGCTACTGACGCGGGCTTGAGGACGCCAAATGGGACGATGACATTTGTTGGAAGGCGACAGACAAGTCTGGATTCTACCGCTAGTGTTACAATCCTATTGAGCAGTGTGGCCAGTAAAGATGTATCCTATGGATTGACGCTCTACAAGGATGTATTTCGATACGCGGTGATTCAGTATAGGACCCACGACTCGACTTTGGCGCTGGTCGTTCAAGAAGCTGGAGAGTCGCTGGCCACGCTGTCTTCACATCCGGTACAGGACGCGGCATCGATTCGGTTGTCGATAATATCAAGCGTCGAAACATATAAATTCAGAGCCCAGATTTGCTTTGCCAATGTTGCGACAACAGACATAATGTTGGGAGAGGTGCCTTGCTCCATTATGAGCGGTGATGATTTCACAGGTACATAGAAGGGTCTACCCCTATTCCATTGTTTGTATACTAACGAACTCACAGGAACTGTTTACGGGATATTTTCGTCTGGTGATGGCAGTACTGTGACCTTCCGGGATTTTGAAATTGAATCGAGATAAGTATTTGAGTGCTAAATTTGTGGAAGACGAAGGGTAATCGGCGTTCCATATGGCATTAATTTATTCCTATAGAATGGACACCATGACTCTCAATGCTATACAAGACTGCGCTCAAAGTAATCCATTTCAAGCCTGTCACCCCGAAGAACCAAACCCTACGTACGATGGCTCCGGTCTTTGCATAAATTCAGCAGCTCAAAAGGGTTACTGCGAGCTGTACCTATTGTAGGAAGAAATGGACATTGTGTCGAGATCAATCCGAGGCTTGAAGACACAAATCTGGTCATCAGTACTGGAATTCAGATGACGTTCATGAGACATCTCCAACAGAAGTAATAATCTCCAAAGCAAATTACTATTGACGGAAGTCTCTTAGCCAATCTGTCCGATGGCGTCATAGAAGGACAATAGGGTGGCATCTTAGAGATGTGGAGAGAATATGGTTGGTGGAATATAGTCTTGGATTAGTCCGAGGCTCAGTACCAAACTATATGAATATCCCGAGGCAAGGCTACTTCTATGCTAGAGGTCTCCCAGGGAGTTTATTGAATTAGGCGGAGGATAAACCGGTAAAAGCCAACCCCTCTGAAAAACAGGCAAGTTCGTCTAAACTCATCTTTGAAGGATTGAACGACCATGCCGCTCCACGCGAGAATGAGGACGTGTAAAAACGTGGTACCATCAACATCCATAACGGGGAGATAGATTGAGTCACATGTCATGGCCATGCCTCTCTTTTCATGGTTCTTTTGTATTTGGATATGCACTAGCTCTCTGGCCTGGGGGTACCCATCTGAAGGAGGTTATTCATCCCCAGAAGCATGTCAAGCCTCAACGGCAGCAAACCCCCTTGATGGTTGTCCAGAGAGTACAGTCCTCGTCTCCGCCACCCATGAACAGGCACATTTCCGCACTATCCAAGGTGCCATTGACTCCCTCCCGCACGATGACACGAACCAAACAATCCTCATCCTTTCCGGAACCTACACCGAACAACTTAATATCACCCGGCCAGGGCCTCTGACACTGCTAGGCGAATCCAACAGCCCACACAATGCCTCAACGAACTCTGTTCACGTCGAGTGGGCTGCAGCCACCGAGCAAGGAATCTACACCGACAATGTCTACACCAGTGTTCTCATCGTTGCGCCGACCCTCAACGCAAGCCTCACAGGGTCCGGGCCAGCAGGACTCCCCGTCCCGCCCGGTACGCCCTTCGGGTGTAGCGACTTCCGGACCTACAACATTGATTTTCGTAACGTCTACGCCGAACAGTCGGCCGGCCCAGCACATGCGTTGAGTTTCTCTCGCGCGAACGGCGGGTTCTATTATTCCGGGTTCTACAGTTACCAGGACACGGTTTTCGTTGGCAAACTGGGGAACGCTTACTTCCACTCGAGCATCGTCGCCGGGCAGACTGATTTCCTGTACGGGTTTGGCACCGCATGGGTCGAACGATGTGAGCTGGTTCTTCGGGGATGTGGAGGCGGCATCACGGCGTGGAAGGGGACGAATACTACGTATGCCAATAAATTCGGTGTGTATGTGCATGATTCTACCATCACGGCTGTGAATGCTTCCGTTGCAGTGGAGCAAGAGGGACAGTGTGCCCTAGGTCGACCCTGGAATAGTGGACATCGGAGTATCTTTGCAGGGACTTATGAAGACGATACAATTCGAGATAGTGGATACGTGCTTTGGGAGGCGCCCATTACGGAGCAGACGCTCATGGGAGAGTATGAGAATCTTGGGCCTGGATGGGGTGTTGCAGCGCGGCGAACGTACAATTATAGTGTGCTGTTAGATGAAGAAACGTGGAATGGGTATAACTCGCCGGCAAAAGTGTTCCTAACCGAGGAAGGTAGGCCGGGCAATGTTGGCTGGATTGATCAACGGATCCAGTGGTGGTAGTCTGCATTGCATACCATTTGTATATCATATGTATGACACGATATATATTGTCTAAGATGGGACCTTTCTGAGGATGGCCATTCAAATCGAAAGCTGCTTATAACCTTTCCTTCAATCTTTATACAACATGATGTCTATTCGTATAGCACAAGATTGAAGCTTTGGTTTAACGAGAAGGAAAATTCTCGACTTGAGCTTGGCCGCCGTATTCAATAGATCCAACCCTTGTGGAACATGCTCGGGTCTCATACACGGGCAGAGCTAAAAGCAGAATTCACTCATACCTCAAAGGATCCGGACCCAAGAACCAAAAGTCTTGGTATGCTGTCCGCATGGCCGCATCCTTCGGCGGGCACGAATCGCATCGTCTGGATCAGCAACCGAGGACCAAAGCCTGCCCTCGGATCGCTAGATCTCGATGGTCTTAGGCCAGCTCCAGGATTCGTATATCTAGATTTAGCCTGTTTAGAAGCCTCTTCTGGGTAAAATGGTTGAATCCGGCGAAGGGCTCGACTTACGCTTCCCTGATGCATTTTGGCCATCTGCGGACGCTGGAAACTGGTAGCTCTTTAGCATGAATGTGCAAATCTATACCACTATTTGATTCTACTGGTGGTAGTTAATGCTCGCGATTCCTCCAATTAATCACGATATAGCTTTGCTGAACTTCATAGATCTCGTCTTAGCCTCACATGACGCTAGACCAATAGATATGAGTTTACGATAGGAAGGGCCTGGAGCATAAAATAAAGACGGACGAATTCCTCCATATTTCACCCGCCTGACAGCCGATACTTGCCATACACTTGCGACACAATGGTCCACAAGACGAGACTCTACAACTGGTACGAACATCCACAGCTCAACTCGCTACGCATCATATCTAACGGGAGCAGGTATATTTGCCTGGTGGCGGCCGGGTGCATGGTGTTGATGGGCTATGATGCCTCCGTCTTCAATTCCGTACAGAATTCCGATAACTGGCATGCTTATTTTGACAACCCCGTATGCGTCTCAATATCCTCGCAGGCTTGTCTCTGACTCGATCGCAGGACAGTTACATGCTTGGCTTAATGAATACGGTGTATACCATTGGTGGTATTATTACAGGCTGGTTCTTCGCAGGTCCACTGGTAAGAAACTAAACTCGGTGTCTTTCTATAGACACTGACTGACCTGTACCAGGCTGATTACATGGGCCGTCGCTGGGCAATGGGCATTGGATGCTTTATTACAATTATTGCGACCTTCCTGCAATGCTTCCCTCCCGCCAATAACGCAGTTCCGGTTTTTATGGCCGGCCGTGTCCTTATTGGGTGTGGACAAGCCTTGGCTATCGGTAAATCGCCAGTTCGCCCCTGTCAAGTACAACAGCTAAACCTCTCCAGCGGCCGGTCCCATCTACATCGGGGAAGTCACACCTTCCTATATCCGTGGTCTGGTCATGGCCTTCTGGCAGATGTTCTACTCAGTCGGTTCGTTTGTCGCCTACTGGGTCAACTACGCTGCAGGGAAGCACCGGGATACGCTGGGTGATTGGGATTGGAAAATGGTCGTCATCTTTCAGTTACTACTTCCAACCATCATCATCTGCCAACTTCCCTTCATGCCTGAGTCACCTCGTTGGCTTGTCCAACGGAAGCGCGATGTGGAAGGCGCTCGAAAGGTTCTCCAGCAGGTCCGGGATACAGATGAGGAGATCGACAATGAACTGGCTACCATTCGCGAAGCCATTCAATATGAACGGGAAGCACTTGACAGCGGCAAGAGAGCATACATGACTCTACTCAAGGACGCTAGTGTCCGCAAGCGCCTTCTTCTCACCTTTGCACTAAACATTGGCCAGCAACTCACCGGCCAAGGCACGTTCAATTCATACTCGTCTACTATCTACCAGAAGATCTGGACCAATGGCGATACCATCAACCTAATCAATGCGCTTAATGCAACATTCGGTATCCTCTTCACGCTCAATGCCACCTGGACTGTCGACCGCTTCGGCCGCAAATTCCTCCTCGTCGTTGGTGCTACCGGTATGGCCATCTGCATGCTCATCACAGCCCTCGTTGGTCTGGAAACCCCCACCACACCGGAAGGCGCAAAGACCGAACCCGTTGGCATCGCTATCGTCTTCCTCATGTTCCTCTTTGCTTTCTTCTATAAGCCATCCTGGGGCGCAACCGTATGGATCTACACAGCAGAGGTGTTCCCGATGAATGTGCGAGCTCAGGCAGTTGGTATGTGTTCCCAGATGCAGGGTGTTGCCAACACAATCTTCCAACAATTCTTCCCAATCTTCTACGAGAAAGAGGGACTGTAAGCTACTTCCCCCGTGCCCCATCCTATTCACCCCTTTTGCAGGTACTAACACGGTGTGGCACAGAAAATCATTCTTCTTCTTCATGGCCTGCAACGTCCTTCTAGCGGTATTTGTATGGTTCCTCATTCCCGAAACGAAGAAAGTGCCTCTCGAAGAAATGGATACCCTCTTTGGTGGGACGAGCCACGTGCAGAGAGGTGCTGCTATGCTGCACGAGCAGAAGCTGGAACGTGAGGATGTTCAGCCAACGAAGAGTAAAGAAAGTGTCGAACTTGCCGCTATTGAGCAGGCTTCTGCCAGGGTGTAGATATGGTGGTCCGAATGGCGAGAGTGTGTGCTCTGTGTCTTGAACCTGAACTTGTTACGTCAGTGGTTGTCAGACAGGTTCCATAGCTGAATGGAAGGTAATAAAAGGGGACAACGGATCTGTCAAGACTATTGAAGATAATCCGTTATACTGTGCCATATTAAACTTCACATGGCGTAGAGCTGCTTTAAGTATGTTCGGTTACGAATACCGAGGAAGAGAAGAAAACTGGCTGTTGCACTCTGTGGTTGCTCGGTAGAGTCGAGTACAGTACACTTTCATACTCAGATATGGACTGGGCGGAACCTGGGTGATCTCTAGAGCTCCCTCAGCACAGATATCAAAGCTGAGTCTGAATTCCTGCAGACTACTTAAGGGCAATACATCCTACACAACCTCTCTAGCACACCCATATCTCAATGACTGATGAAATACTAAATAAGCGGCCATCAACCGATCTAAATTCCCATTCCTTCAACTTATACCAAGCCATAATCAACTCTTAACCTCTCTCTTAAGGTTCATATCTTCAAACACGTCCAATTCCACAGTTATCTGGAACATAGCCCAGAGCGTCCGTTGCCGAGCCGGCCGGCGCAATCGTCAGCCCAGCAAAGTCACCAAAAAAGCCGGTATCAGAACTGTCAAAGGCACCAGAGCCACTGTAGCCATTGGGTTGGCATGCACGCCCAAACGCTGACTCACAAGACCCGGCGTTTGCGTCACTAGCACTGAAGAGCTGATTCTCAGGCTCAGCGGGGGCGATCTCGACAACATCTTCGAAATAGCACCCTTCGAAAACACCGCGGCCTTGGTCCCCGCCCTCAATGGCGTGTCCTGGGATTCCGGACCACACGCTGTTGACTGCGTGGAAGAGGGTCGTTCCAGAGAGCGCAGGCCCACGGCCGGTGGTGTGGTAGACATAGTTGCCTGAAGATAGTCAGTCAGATGGATCATGTTGAGGCAGAAGCTTGGGAATGTACTTTGGAAGGTGATCTCGTCCCCAACGCCGACCAGCTCCAGCGTCCAGTAATGGTGGTCATCGCACCCTGGGGAGTGTGTGGTCACGCCGTTGAGGAAGTTGTTCGACCAGGTCATGCGGGTGTTGGGGTTGAAGCCGGTAACGTAATGTTGGCGTCCGATGAGGGAGGTCTAATGATCAATGTGAGTAAAATGAAGCCCTTTGCCCCGCCAGGGGTTGTTTCTCTTACTTCGCAGTGGTCAATCCAGATCAGGTCAGCGCCGAAGAACGTAAAGGCGTCGCCACCCCAGACAAGGCTGTAGTAACATGTTAGAGCAATTGGTCAGAGCGTGCGTGATATGTAGCCGGGGGCCTTACCTAGGGTTGAGGTTCGTGATTTTAATGTTCTGCACGATGATGTTGGAAACACCACCCTCAAAATAGAGTCCCTTCCCACTTAGCACACCGGCATCTCCCTCACCAACAAGCGTCTTGTCCGACTTGATACGGATGCCGTTCATGGCAGCATTATCATAAGTGACGGTTGCGACAGGGTTGTCACCACACCATCCATTAGCGTTGATAGCGAGTTGGCAGGTCTCCCCCGTTCCCCAGGGTGCGCAACCATCTTCCGTCGTAGATCCTTCGGTGCCGATGAACTCAAAGGTCTTGGTAAGTACGACGACTTGGGGCTCGTCGCTCTCCAACAGGGCGACAAGCTCCTCGTTTGTTTCGGGGTAGCTAGGTGATACATCACCACCGCCAGTCACACCAGCTGCAAACCCCTCTGCAGCACCCGAGACGACCTGGGCGCTCGCCAAGGCGGCATTTAGGCATAGAAGTTGGAAAAAGGGCACCTTCATAGTGAAGAGAAACTAGAAAGAAAAGCTAGTTTTTGGACAAATGTAATCTGTAGAGTGCCAACCCATTCTTCTTATCTACTTCACGTCGGCTCCTGACACATCATAATAAAAAATGAATTTTGCCTAAAAAGCACGAAAGAAAAAGATAAGCCATGTACCGTGAAACCTCTTCCCTCTGGTCACGATCTTTACAAAATGTCCATAGTTTCTCCTGCCAAGAACCATTTCGCCCCGCTGAAGTGCGGATGTATTGCACAATTCGGAAAGGTCCATAGTGATAAGTGTTTCAGATATACCCTATCCATATTGCACGATTCTCTAAGCGAAGTCATCTTACTCCATATATGACCAGTGTAAGACCCTTGGCAAGACCCTAACCCACCCCCAAAGCCCCACGGCTTACCACGGAACTGCCAATGGGTGCGCCACCCGCAGGCTTTATATTCAAAATGAATCTTATATAGACAAGACGTATATTTACGACCCGATACATTTCATAATTCCTAATTATACATACATATATATACATATATTTTGCTTTCTTTATGG